AAAACGAATATACATCAAATAATTATCTTTAAACCACATATGGAAACAGCAAAACATTTCAAAAAAATACAGCAAACTAAATGCCTGGGTAAGCTTGCTGGAATAAAACAAGTTTTCAGCAGTCATCTAAAACGTAATGAGAGCACTTTTCTAATGTCAATTGGCAGGGAGTTCCAAAGGACGTATCCTACCACACTAAAAGATCAACTCCTTGAAAACCTAGAGTCAACATGATGTGGCATTTATAGAAGCAATAGATCCACAGATCAAAATATTCAAAGAGGGGTTGCCTGTGGCAAAGTAAACTGGCCCCAAGCCATTGATGGCTCTTATGGCAGATTAGAAACACTTTTCATTTTATATAACAATTTTGAATTGCCAGCATGCATTATTTTGCTGTACTCCTTACAGAAACACTCTCAGGTAGGTTAATGTGATTATCACCCCCATGTTGCAGACGGAATGGGTAAGGCTTGGATTTTAGGACAAGAGACAGGAATCAGTCCAGAAACTTCCTGAATGGTTGGACAGATGACCAGTCACTCTTCTCCTCAGACTGAACCTGTGTTAAGTGATCTTGATGACACTTGGATGTTTAAGAACACAATAAGGGCCTTGTGGGACCATACCAAGCCCCACCTAATCCAGCAACAAGGAGAAGATACAAATTAAAGGGGACACAGGTGGCGCTGTGGGTTAAACCACAGAGCCTAGGACTTGCCGATCAGAAGGTTGGCGGTTCGAATCCTGGCGACAGGGTGAGCTCCTGTTGCTCGGTCCCTGCTCCTGCCAACCTAGCAGTTCGAAAGCACGTCAAAGTGCAAGTAGATAAATAGGTACCACTCAGGCGGGAAGGTAAACGGCGTTTCCATGTGCTGCTCTGGTTCGCCAGAAGTGGCTTATTCATGCTGGCCACATGACCTGGAAGCTGTACGCCGGCTCCCTCGACCAGTATAGCAAGATGAGCACCGCAACCCCAGAGTCGGCCACGACTGGACCTAATGGTCAGGGGTCCCTTTACCTTTACAAATTAAGGAGCATGAACTAGGATGATCCTTGCTGGATGGACCATCAGTCTGATCAAGCAAGCATGCTCTGACATTCTACACACACCCTTAACCAGTTGTGTGGAAAGCCCTGCATCTGCTCTGGAAAGAAGCTTTTGTTTGACTGCTATGTGTGGAGGCGCGAGGACAAGACACCCCATGCACACCCAGAAGTATGTTTATCTCCTACTTTTCTGGGTTGGGTTGATGTTTTCAAAGAAGGGGCATGGTCAGAGGGTGCAGGGCTGAATGGGCGGGCCTGTCTGCAAGAACATTCTTCTGCCGAACACTCTGGCAGACAAGGCTCTTGCTTTTGCTTGGTCTCCAGAACTTTTGTCTCCAGCATGGCAAAATACCCTGGCACCATCCCGCACAGCTGCTTGTGTGTGAGAGAAGGAGAAGTCAGGATAAAACGGCCTCCTCCCAAGTCCCAGCTCCTTAATTAAATGCATGGCAAGAACCGGGGGAAGCACATCTGGTTTCAATCTGCACGGGCCCTTTGATGGCATCAGATGTTCTTTTCCCTAACGGAGGGTGTGTGGAAATTCTGGCCTGTCTGTGGCAGCTTGGAGCCCTGGCTGGCTCCTGTCACTGAACCCCAGGGGCCCTTCTCCTTCCCTGCTGTCGGCTGACCCCTGCACCACACTCAGCCCCACCCCCGCTTCAGTCCTGTTATTTCCCCCGCTCAGAGAGGCACACGGGTCTTGTGAACAAGGGCTTCATGTTTTGCCTGCTTCACCTCCACTCTTTTCTCTCCAGCGAGGCTATGGGACAATTCACACAAACTTTTTCAGCCGCACTAAAAAGTGTTCTTTTTTTTTAAAAAAAAATCATTCAAAGTTATAACAAGACATACCGTGTTATCCAAAAACATATCCTTATTCCCCCCCCATTTTTCCTCCCTCCCCCCCACAGAACCCAACCCGACTTCCCTCAGTTCCACTCTGGTTTCTCCAGTAATGCTGTTTTCTGCATGTTACAAAGTTGTATAGATCCTCAAACTGTTTAGCTGATTATTATCAGTAAAAAAATTGTGAATGTTTATTCAAAACCTGCCAAGGAGTCCAGTTTGCTTTGTTGCATCTTCAGATACTTTGTGAAAGGTTCCCATTCATCCTTAAAGTCACAGTTATCCTTGTCCCATAGCTTATATGTCAGTTTTGCCAGTTCTGCATAGTCCATCAATTTTTCTTGCCAGGATTCTTTAGTTTGGGTTTCTTCAGTCTTCCATCCTTGTGCAACCAGAACTCTTGTGGCCGTTGTCGCATACATGAAAATGTTTTTCAATTTTTTGGGCAGGTCTTTCCCTACAATCCCCAACAAAAATGCCTTGGGTTTTTTAACAAATGTTAAATGGAACATTTTCTTCATCCGCGCTAAAAAGTGTTCAAACCTTAAAATGTAAAATGTAACCCGATGGAAACATTCACCTTTGTCATTCAGGTGATAACTGGTGGCTAAACGTGCAAGAGGAGTTTGAAGTGCTGGAAGCTGAAATGTCAAGTTCTCCCTGCCTGTGGTGTTACATTTATGATGGCCCAGTCAGACATCATGGGAGGAACAGACATCTCTGTGATGGAAAGGACTGTGACGTTCCCAACTTTTGGATTTCCACAGCAGAAAATGTGTCTCATTTATGAAGTTTTCTTTGATAAACAGTTTCCTCAAACTTTGCAAATGTCTTTGTTTTTGTTTTAGCGACTTCTTTTAGCTTGCATTACTGAGGTTGAGCACATCCCTCTTGGAATGGCTTTGGGCAAATGTCTATCAGGGGTCAGCAAACTTTTTCAGCAGGGGGCCGGTCCACTGTCCCTCAGACCTTGTGGGGGGCCGGACTATATTTTTTGGGGGGATGAACCACAAATAACCCAGAGATGCATTTTTAATAAAAGCACATATTCTACTCATGTCAAAACACCAGGCAGGCCCCACAAATAACCCAGAGATGCATTTTAAATAAAAGGACACATTCTACTCATGTAAAAACATGCTGATTCCTGGACCATCCACAGGCCGGATTTAGAAGGCGATTGGGCCGGATCCGACCCCTGGGCCTTAGTTTGCCTACCCATGGTCTAGATCAGGAGTGGTTAACTACATCCCTGCCGCCCCTGGCCTTTGGCGACACTGAGTGGGGCTGATGAATACAACAACATCTGAAGGGCCATCTGCTCCTCACTCCTGAGCAAACCTTCCCAAGTTTTCACTCTGAAGGTCTCCTGAGAAGGAAGAAGTACTAAGCAAGCCATCATCCAATGTTGTATTGTGTAAGGTGCATGCACGATGTATGTTTGCATTTATATATTGTACATGTTCAAAGCAGTGAGAGAAAATTCACACACACCACACATGGATGTCTGTCTTTGCAGACAATGGAGTGTGCCTCTGGAGGTGAAGTCAAACAGCTAGGAAATCACAGTGCCTGAAAGGGTATCTCGCATCAGCTTATGATCCAGCCAAAGTTGGGAGCTTTTTACTTCCGTTGATTCTAATGGAAGAGTTAAACCAGGCTTCCTCAACCACGGCCCTCTAGATGTTTTGAGACTACAGTTCCCATCATCCCTGACCACTGGTCCTGCTAGCTAGGGATCATGGGAGTTGCAGGCCCAAAACACCTGGAGGGCCGAGGTTGAGGAAGCCTGAGTTAACCATTTCCTTCACTTTCTCATGCTGGAAACAACGAGCCTTAAATAGGTTGTCCATTGCCTCTTAGCTTTCTAGGGGACAGAAAAATAGGGGTTTTTTATGGCTGATCCAGCAATGGTTAAGAATGATGTCCAATTGGTTTCCATGGGAGATTTAAAGCACACTTCACCCTCCCACTGATATTTACAGGGCTTTAAAATGTTCATGCTGATTCTCTTAATTTGGAGGCGGCTACCTCTTTCTGATTCCAAAGACTGCATCCACTCTTGGCCAACCCTTTGGAGAAGCACAGGAGCTGTAGTGTGGCTACCCTTCTCTCTCTGACACCAGCCCCCCTCCATCTAAATCATAAACCCAGCATAAATAAATATACTGAATTTTATTGTCTACCTTATGTAACTATTGAAATATGTGCATACTGAAATATGGAAGCAGCAAGAAGAAAATATGGAAAGCAAACAAACACAAGACCTGGCTCGTGGATGTAGGTTCATCATCGTCTAGTGAGGCTTGCATATGTCAATGAACCATTGCGAGTGCAACAACCCCACTATAAAGCTTTCCTAACGAGTACAAGACCGTCCCTTGGAGCTGATTCACTCATCGATTGCTGAGTGACCAAGTGATGGACAGAGAGCTTAATCAGCCGTGTTTTATTCAAATTGATGCACAGCAATAGGAATAATACATATGATGTGCACGTCTGAACCAAAACTGTTGCAACTGCAGTAAACTTTTTTTTTTTTTTTGGTAACCTTCAGCAGAAGCTGAGCTGATGCCCCGTTTCCTAAAGTGCTTCTGCAACCTCCCCCCCATGCAAATGAGATTCTCCAGCAGGACCTTAAACTAATCCGCAGCAGTTAATTGGAAAAACAAATAAGCAGACCGTGTTGGGAGTCACCGCCTGCGTCCGCCTGGGCTTCCCAACTTTCGACCCGACGTTTGGAGGGGGGCGCGCGCAAAGCTTCAATCTTTATTGAAGAAAAAGCCTCTCGCGTGCGCTCTCTGGGATCAGATGCTTGCAAGCGGGTGGGGAAGTGGGTCTCTAAATCCGAGTGTGGGTTTGGTGAGTCTGGATTGGTAGGGGAAAGTGGGGTGGGGGGAGAGAGAGAGAGAGCCTGCCCGGGGTGGGTGGAGGAAGGAGGTCTGTAAAACGTCAGAAACAGCACAAAGCCTTTGCCACGTAATTAGAGGCTCCTATTAAGTCTGGGTCTGCCCTCCCCAGGGTCCCTCCAGCTCCCCCAGCCCCACCCACCCACATGCCAGGCTGAGCCTTTTGAAGTGCCAGAGAGCCGCTCGATCGGGAGAGGGAGGGGCGGGTGCGCAGCAAGCGAAAAAGAAACCCGCTCGAGCTCCCCAACCAGCCTCCTCCTCCTCCCCTTCCTTCCCCAGGCAGGCAGCAGAGAGAGAGGGGATCTGGAGTGGCGCTCCTGCGTCCGTCTGTCGGCCGGTCGGAGCACTCCATCTGCAAGACCTCAGCCCCTCCCGACGGCCCGCCTTCACTGCTAAGCGCGCCGTCGAAGGAGCGCGCCCAGTCAGGGAGACGCGGGAGGATCGCGAGAGCCACCGGCAGTCCCATTGGAGGCGCCCTGCGATTCAGCAAGAGAAGGCACCCTTTGGATCCCCGGCCACGTTCTGCCGCCTCCCGGGTTTGGGCCTCTTTGCGCGCTTGGTGTGGATTTTCCCCTCTGGAGTTTTACTCGACGGCACTTCGGAGAACAGGCGGCAGCTGCTGCGGGGTTTGGGGGAACGTGCTTAGGCGGGGACCCCCTTCAGGCTCTGCTCTTCTTCCTTGGCTCCCTTCCTCTCCCCACCCCACCCCACCCCGTCCCTGGCCTGGGGGCCCAAAGCCATGACTTCCAGCTACGTGCACGTCCTGGAGAGGCAACCGGCCGTCCTGCCCACGCGTCTGGAGAGCCCCGGGAACCTCGACAGCCTCCAGGCGAAAAAGAACTTCTCTGTCAGCCACCTGTTGGATCTGGAGGAAGCCGGAGACTTGGTGGCAGCGCAGACCGACGAGGGCGTCGGGGAAAGCGGCCGCAGCCTCCTGGAATCGCCGGGCCTGACCAGCGGCAGCGACACGCAGCAGCAGGACGGTAAGTGGCGCGCCGCGAAGCCCAGGCTCTCGACTTGCGAGTCGCCGAGACTTGGACTGGTCTTTTCTGAAGGGTCCGCCCTCGCCTTCCCGGAGAGTAAGCCGGAGTGGGGAACTAGGACGGGTGTGAAATAGCCCCGTTCAAGGGGGCTAGTTTAGAAGACTTAGGCGCCTTCGAAACACACCCAGCGCTTTAAAAAACAGCAACCACCCCGTGGGCCCTAGGTTTCTGAAAGTCATGTGCAAAGATAAACATGGGCAAAATAATAAGTAAAGTAAAACACACGGCGGAGGAATAATGTATGTTAATGCAGGGGAAGATCTGTGCCAGTAGTCAAGGCATGGTCGCATCACACCCGGAACCAAGCTTAACATTTATCGAATCGGTCCTACTCGGCTTTGTTCCGGACCCACTAATCCAGAACAGTTTAATTCATATTATCAGCCTCCCGTAGACGAATTGTCGGTGCAAATTAGAATCCCCACCGCCTCCTTTTACTACATTTTGTGTAAAGAGCAGGGAAGGTCAACACGTGCGGTTGAGGCTTCGGATGCCCGGGTTAATGAGATGCGTCGGGCAAAGGGAGCGAGCACTGCCAGAGACCGGGAAGCGGGTCCCGGGAGCTGGCGAGCCTCCGGTTGAGCTGTATCTAGTGGTGTATCTCTGCGAGCATCTCTGCTGCCATCATAGGGTAGCAGGGGAAAAAGCGTCGCTGCTCCGCGCAGGATCCACCAAAAAGTTCCGCTGCGCGAGTCTCGTTGAAACGAACAGCAGGGCAGATACGCGCGGTTTCCACGGGGCTTACTTACGCAGGAGAACTCCCTAGACCTGCTCGAGAGCTGAAATCCTGCGGACACTTTTTTGAGAAGAGGTCCTGTTGATGTCAGCATCGGCTTCTGAGAAAGCAGGCATGGGTTGTTGAGCCGTCCGTCGATCAAAGCCTCTCGCCCTCGCGTCTAATTCTCTAAGTGACTTTCCAATACAGAGACGCGCACGCAAGCAAAACTGCGAGCACCACAATCCCCAACCGGCGTCTTGCCTCCCGGAGAGGTTTCTGCGATTTGCATTTTAATTTTCCGCAGTCCAGGTTGTTCCAATCTTACCAGCGTCACTGCTGGGATTATTTTCAGTTCAGAAAGAGCACAGATTTCTCTTGTGTGTGTGCGTTTTAAGGACGTCTGTATAAAATGCACAATATAATAGTATAAATGCTTTTCAGTTCCCCCACCCCCTGGTTGGAAGAGTTAGCTCTGGAAGTTATGGATCCTTCCATAACTGCAGAAGAACGAGGCGGTGATGCCGGTATCTGAGCCAAGAAGATACTTGGAAGTCTGGTTTATTTTAAGCTAAATACAGACACTCGTTTTAAAGATAACTGAAAGTAGCGTCATCTAGGAATCCTTCTGCATTAAGCTCCTTTTATCCTTCGGTCCCTCACTGGTCAAACACGTTTAAACACCACAAAACCCAAGGCCTAATTCTCACAAACAATAGTTAAACTGTGTCGGGCTTCAGAATGCCACCGGACTGAATACTCCTTCCGCAGGGAATCCTCCTAGTTCTCTAGGGATGGTAAGTTATTTTATAAAAGAGGAACAGTCAGTCACGTGGGGGCCCTCCTGAAGTTTGAAGTGGTACAGCCGAGACCCAGGCTCCCCTCCTCATCTGTTGTGGGGGGCGCGCGGGGAGGGGGAGGTAGCAGGTTGCGCATCTTTCCGAAAGAAAGAGGCCCTTGCAGAATTTTCTAATATTGGGATCGATAAATAACAACAGCAACTGCTTAAGTCTGTCTCCAGGAATGAGTCTTGGGGAAAGATTGCTGGGCCAGTCTGGGAACAAATGTTGGGCCAGCCACACCCAGGGGCTCTGTAGGGAGGCGTGCTAGGCAGGCTTACTCCGAAGCAAGTCCCACAGAACTTAACTGGACCCCCTTTGCTTTGCACCAGGTACAGATTCTCAGGTGCACCTTTTCTCCTCCATCCTTCCGACGGGGCCTGACTCCCCATAGGCTGGAGGTTGCAGCCCGTTCCTAGGGATGTGGGTGACTTGGTCTGCGAGATCCAGCCGGCTTTCAAAGGCTTCCCGTCTCATTCATTGCAATGGAGGCAATGGGACTCACAATTGACTGGACTGGAGTGTGCCCGTTGTTTGTTTGTTTGGTTTGTTACTGTCTGTTGCATCTCATGCAATTTCCCCGAAGTTTTTTTTACTAAAAGCTTTTGGACTTTGCTTCGAGCTGCTACCCAAAGCCTGATTATTTAGGAGTCCAGCTTCACTTGAAATAATTCGCTCCAGATTGCGAACTGTAGGAGCCGAGCGAGGATCGACGCTGTAGAACCCGCCCCACTTCCCACCCCCGGTCTCCGCCGGCCTATGGAGAATTCACGCAGGGCGAAAAACAGCCAGTTTCCTTCGGACCCAGTCTAATACAAGAAAAACAGGGCCGCAGCAAGCTGGCATCCCAATGCAGACGCATTCCGATGTTATTCACTGGATTTAGGATCGCCTCGCTCTCTTCGATTCCGATCCAAGACATATTGGCTCATATTTGATCAGAATTCCTCAAGTATCAAAATCGTCCCGAAACTTTTCGGGACCATCAATTTATAGCCAGTCTAACTTACAGCGGTTTAGGGCTAGGAGCAAGTCGGTTAGGTTTACTGGTGAGTAAATACGTCGTGGATCGGAATCACAATCGAAGAGCGCCCTCAATCAAGTCAAAGGACATCATCCGATTAAGACTGCTTTGGGAGCGCAGCCTTGAAACACGGACTCTGAAGTTAAGTCTCCCCTTTTTCAAATGCAGCTTGTCGAGGAGGAAAGATGCGTTCATGGGCGTAGCAAAAGGGGGGGGCAGGGGGCAGCTGCCCCCTTAATCAATAAAAATCAATACAAATCTGAAGTTCTGCCCCCCCCTAACAAAAGCCTGCCCCCCAATCCTGGCTACGCCCATAGATGCGTTAAGGGTTTTCTGCATCGGACTGGAGTTGCTAGTTGACCTCTCCAAACCACTTTATCTCGGGCTATTGGAGCCCACGCTCAGCGCAGAAGTAAAGACTTGCTAGCTCTAACCGGTTTCTAAAGCATTTCGCCCAGGTTCTAAGCACCTTCCGAGGAAGCCCGGATCTATTCCTTTGCAGTTTAGGCCCGACGAGTCATGTATCCGCTTCCTTGAAAACAAAACCCATTTGGATACAGCGGGACGGACTTCCGAGTCGGCCTGCCTTTCATCCGCACGTGTGAAATCGGTCGCCGCACCAGCAAGCCATTGAAGCTGCGGGGTTCCTTCTTGGCTCCATCCGTAGCCAAACCTCCCTTGCCTGCCCCGCTCCTTTCACGCCAGAAGTTGCCGGAAGAGCTAAAGAAATCCCGCGAGTGCGTGCACAGGACTGCTGAGAAAGAGAAAAGCGCTGAGGGCAGGACCTGGAGCGGCATCCTGAGCATCCTACCCGGGGAAATAACGCTTCTGTCGCGGAAAGGGCGCAGACCTTGGCGAGCATTTGGGACGCGCTCTCCAACGGGCAATGGCCTTGGCCCCGAGTTCCCTGCTCATGGCGTGGAGCTGCCCAGCCAAAGGGCTGCCTCTGGGTCTGGCTGCAGGCGAGCTTAAATTCAGATTTCTCCCATGTCGCGCCCTCTCGCCCTCTTTTGGGGTCTAACCCCTAGGAAGTCAGTGCGCTTGTGGGACTGACTTCCAAGAAAGCGCGCTCAGCCCGGTAGCCTTTTAAGTACAGCGTCGCGGCTAAAAGGGGCGAAACAGCAACTCATCCTTCCCCGAGTGTCCTCCGTAAAACGTGCCAGGCCCGGATTGTCCTTGGGAAGGGCAGCCTGCGGGATTTCACCAGGCTGGGTACCAACGGGTTCCAATGTTTCTCAACCCTGACTCCCCAGCCGTCGTTGAACTACAACCCCCATCACCCCTAGCTAACAGGAGGGATGCAGGTTCAAGTTCCTCAGCTCCTCCGCTTTGGTTCTCTGCTCCCTGCCACAAGGGCGGGCTTCTACTCTCTCCCCCTGCCATCCGATGTGGCGTGGAAATCGGGACCGAATGAGTGGGGAGACTCCTCTCGGAAGACACAGCTTCTTGCTTACAGCGACAGGGAGCAGAGCTGTCCCGGGGAGGGGGGGTGCATTTTCAAGGGGGGGGGCTTGAAGGTGTGGAAGGAGAGCCTTCTCCTCGGGACCCGACTCCTTCCTGTGCCCGCCGAGGAAGAAAGGGTGTGTGCGGGAGAGTCAGGGCCGCAGGGAGTCTTTTCCCGGGGCTCTGAACCCTCTTCGGAGCATCGCGAGGGGCCTTGTAGAATTGGAATGGACCAAGAGGGCCATGTAGTCCAACCCTCTGCAATGCAGGCGTCTCTTGGGTGTTCGCTGGTGCTGCTGGAGCTGAGAAGCGGCTCCGACGCGGGAGAGAACGCGCGCAATATTTACTCATTCCGTGTTCCCCTATAGCTGTGCCGTCCGCCTACAAAAAACCCCCACATGGGTGTGTGTGTTTTTTGTAGGGAAATCAGGGCGTGGTTGTCCAACAACAGCCACCTTGGCCACACTTTTACCCCCCAAGAAAAATCAAAAGGCTTTGCAATTGCAACTGTGAACCAGGCCGCTTTGGGGAGGCGAGAAATTTAAAGTGAGCAGTTGTCGAGCGGAGCTGGGAGCTCCCTGGCAGAAAGAAATGGAGGGATCGCGTTTACAGGCCACCCTAGCCACGTCTACTAAGCTCTGCTGAATTAAGTAGGTGGGTGTGGGTTTACCCTCCGCGTCTTTCCCTTGCGTTCTAGCGCGCGGTGAACAGGAAACCCTCGCGCGCTTCCCCCGTTCGGGCAGTTTGTCTAAAACGGATTCTGCTTTGCACAGGGGAGCCGTTAACACGCGCGCACTTCTTGCGCCCGTCCAAGTCCCGGGCAGGCGATTCTCTCCCTTCATCACAATGACCTCCCCCCCCCCGCAAGGCGCCGAGGAGACAGTGCTGCGTGCGTATGTCTTTAAAGCGTTTGGTTCTTTCTGAAATGTGCCTTTGCTCCAGGTCCCTCTGTAGGTGGGGCAGGGGTGAACCCGCTAGCGAAAGCTGACTCTGTCCGCCTTGGCCAAGGACATAAAGAGAATATGAACGGGTGTCGGGCTGAGCTTCGTAGCTCCCTCCACCCTGAAAAGTTGTGGAGAGGGTGGGGAGGGGAGAGACAGCGAAGGTAATGAGAGGTAGGCCCGAACAAAGATTTGCACCACAAGCACAAGTGCCTGGGAAGAAGAAGACCTGTCCGTTTCACTGTGACTTACTTTCATGTAGAAGTCCGGGAGACATTTCACCAAGGAGATGTAAACTTCAATCCCCACAGACTTTAATGACCGGGAAAATGCACAACTGGTTGCCCCCAAACATAAGATGCGGGGACCCCGCTCCCCAAGCTGTTCGGTTTCATTCACCACTTTGGGCTGCAAGTTTTCCACTTGCACAGAATTCGTCACGAGGCTGAGTTGGAAAAGCAGCGAATCCCCAACTGTGGTGAAAAATAAGTTGTTGACAAACGACGCCTTCCTCTTAAAGAAACTGCATGGTTTTGTTGCAAACATCCGTTCAGTGCTCAATAATAACTCTGCTGGAGGAAGGACCTTCCCTTCCCATTTTGTCTGACGAAGAATTCTGTCTTGCCCCAAAGCTTGCCTGCTCTCACCTTTGGTCGGATAAAAGAGAACGACCAGGCATATAAATTTCGGGACTGACAGATAATCAGTTTATCCGATCTTATTTTATGTTCCTCGGGTGGGTGGGGGTAGAGAACCCTGGTGCAACTACGCTGCGATGCAGTTGGGGGGCTGGGAGTGCTGGGAGGGGGGCAAGTAAGCCCCCCTGCGTCTCAGCGCTCGCTGGGGGGCTTTGGACAAGGCATACAGAAGTGCAGGAAAGAACTTGCTTTTTCAGTGGTGGTGCCTGATGAAAGATTCTGTCTAGTTCGAAAGCTTGTACTGGCATAATTGTGAGACTACAGTGAGATGAGGATACACCTTGGGTACAAATCCAAAGGAAGAAAACACATTTAGAGGGAACCCTCGAAATATAAATGGCAACTCAAGGGCGATCTCCATAAATCTATCCACAATAGGAAAGGGGCCAGGAGGATACTGCGATTCGCAAGAGCTTCTTCTTTTCCCATCTTAAGGGTCTTAACAGTCTGCAGACAAAGATCAGCAAGGTTTCTCACTCTGCGCACTGACCGTATTAAAGATATTTGATTTGTTTCTCACTCTGCTTTGTCCAAACACTAGTCTCTTTTCCTCCCTCAGAAATCGAAATGTTATTGAGCATCCGATTTGAAGAAGAGTTCTGTGTAACTCGAAAGTTTACGCCCCACCATGTGAGCATACAGTGGTACCTCGGGTTACATACGCTTCAGGTTACATACGCTTCAGGTTACAGGCTCCGCTAACCCAGAAATATTACCTCGGGTTAAGAACTTTGCTTCAGGGTGAGAACAGAAATTGTGCTCCGGTGGCGCGGCAGCAGCAGGAGGCCCCATTAGCTAAAGTGGTGCTTCAGGTTAAGAACAGTTTCAGGTTAAGAACGGACCTCCGGAACGAATTAAGTACTTAACCCGAGGTACCACTGTAGGTTAGTCCTATTCCGGAAGTTATTCTACTGTGAATTTTGTTCTGAAGTGAGCTTAGTAAAGGGGAACTGGAACTGGAGCATGTCCTGTGATTTTTTTTGGGGGGTGAGGGGTAGGGTCCCCGCAAGCAGTTAGGGCACGAAGCGAAATCATTTGATTCCAAAATGTCTCCTCGTGGCCCACGAATGTTTGGTTACCACCTGGCCGTTACGGGTGCTTCGAAAGTTTCTTTGCTGTCTGGTTAAATTTAGAGAGGATTTCCTGCCTTTTCTTCTCTTTTCTGAATGCCTCTGCAGCTGACATAACTAACCCCTAACGCATCAGCACCTAGATTTAAACATAAACGCAGCCTGAATTAAGCACCTCGAAATTCCACAGATTCCAGCAGGGGACAGATGCAGCCGATGCCTGCTTCCTTGCGAAGCAAGGTAAATAAAGGAGTTCCGATGGGGCTTCTCCCAAAGGAAAAACGGATAAGATTTTTGCCTTAAGCATCTGCACAGTTCTTTTAAAATGAGCGCGCTTTAAAAGTGCTTAAGCCCGCCTTGGGTCGCTCAGTTAGGCTTCGAATAAAACTTGACTACCCTATCCTAAATTTGTTTGACAACGCCATCCATTTGAACGCGGCTTCCTTCGTGTTAAAACTACGTAGTTCCTAGAAAGCCAGTGCCATTCATTCATCCGTGGGGCTGTCTATAAAGCCAATTGCTCCCACCTGAAAATTTATGAATGGCTTCGTTTCGCTTGGCATTGCCCTTCCTCAGGAGGTTTCCAGTGGTCCCAGAGGCGCCTTCTCCTTCCAGAGGCCTATCCAAGGCCGGGGCGTCTCTGTTGAGCCTCTGGGAGCGGAGGGACAGCGAGAGACGCCGCAGAGCCCACGGACAGGCGCACGTGTGCGCTCCGCAACCGCTCATTTCGCACTCAAGCGCAGGAAGGCAAGCGCTCCGCGTCTACGCCTGTTCTTCCTTTTCGTAAGGCGGATCAACGGGGACTCGCCTCCTTTGATTCCGACAGCCTTGGATTGCGAACAACGTGCGCTTCCAGGCGTGAAAGGGTCGCGGCGCCGCATAATTTTTCCAAATCGGGGACCCAGCCTTACCCGCTCGTTTTTTATTTTTATTTTTTTAATTGTCCAAAAAGGAATTGTGACTGGCTTCTTTTTTAGTTTTTTAATGGGAGCGGCGCCTCTAGACTCCGATTCACAATGCAGGTAGCATGGGAGCTGGGATCCGAAAAAGTGAATTGGCACGGGTTCGCTGTCCAAAAGGGGAGAGGAGAAACTCCCTGCTTGGGGTCTTGCCCCGTGATGGTGGGGGTCATGCCAGCCTCTCCATCTGTGTGCTCTCAAAGGCCTCCGGCCTGGAAATGTACGAACGAGGACTCACGTGCGTCAGCAGGAGAAGCTGTTGCAGAGAATAGTAGACCCTACTCAGCTCCGCTTTATTTAAATACAGTGGTACCTCGGGTTAAGAACTTAATTCGTTCTGGAGGTCCGTTCTTAACCTGAAACTGTTCTTAACCTGAGGTACCACTTTAGCTAATGGGGCCTCCCGCTGTCGCCGCGCCGCCGCTGCGCGATTTCTGTTCTCATCCTGAAGCAAAGTTCTTAACCCGAGGTAATATTTCTGGGTTAGCGGAGTCTGTAACCTAAAGCGTCTGTAACCCGAGGTACGACTGTATAAGAGAGATCCAGCCCGATCTTGTGAATTATTGCTCAAAAGAGTTGCGAGGGATCTACTACTCTCGAGTTAACCCTTAACAAAGGGTTGCCGCTGAAGGCGCGCATGCCTGCGCGGAAACCTGTGGGTTTCTGACTGCTTGCCTCATTTGTGGGCATGTGGACATGGGCAGGATCTAACTGCGCGCCCTTCGGACGGCTCCTTGTTGCCTCAAGGGAGATTTCCATTTAAGGATGATCCGTGCATTGGATTGGGCTGCCAGTAAGAGCATTTGCGGCAGAATGTGGTGGCGTGGCGGGCAGGGGTGCGATCTTGAATAAAAAAAAATTGGGGGGGGGGGGGAGGTAAGCCCTGCCCCGCATAATCTATCACATGATGCGGCGCGCACACTGTTTGAATGGCAATGCCCATCAACCTTTGGAGGGCCTTGCCCCCTTAAATATTTCGGGGGGGCACAGACCCCTCGGCCCCTAGCAGTTGGCTCCTATGTGGCTAGGCCATTGTCTTCCTCATATGTCGGGTCCCCGCCTTCGGATGGAAGAGGTATCGTTTCCGTTGTGAAGCACACAATTAACACGCTAATTAACACGTTTCTTTTCTCTGCTTCTAGAATCCCGGTAACTCGGGGTGGGGCGGGAGGAAGGAGGGGGAAAATAATGGGATATTTTAAGCAGGGTAGATAATTATTTAAAATTACTCAGATTACATAATTTGAATTACTTTAATTATGACACTACCACGACTACAGGAATAAACCGGGGTTTGCTTCTGCTGCGAGACATTTTTTGGGGGGGAATAAAAACAGTGTTTTGTTTTGCTTTTTAAAAGGATCACACGTTTTAAAGTAAAACTAGAGTAATAATAAAAATAATAATAACATGAGCATCTCTAACCTCCTACACGCTGGCTTGTGGGCCCTTGCTTTAAAAATGTTTTTTAAATATAAAAGCAAGCAAGCATGTAGGAAGAGTGAGGCGGGGTCCCAGCGTCCATCCTGGCGGCCCCCAATGCTGAAGCGGGGTCCCTCTAGGTGGTGACTTGGGGTGAGTCTTTGGCTGTTGGGCCCTGGACTTTGCTGACCAGTAGCCTCCACCAGTAGCCTCCAGTGAAAGCTGGACCATAAAGAAGGCTGATCGCCGAAGAATTGATGCTTTTGAATTATGGTGCTGGAGGAGACTCGTGAGAGTCCCATGGATTGCAAGAAGATCAAACCTATCCATTCTGAAGGAACTCAGCCCTGAGTGCTCACTGGAAGGACAGATCCTGAAGCTGAGGCTCCAAGACTTTGGCCACCTCATGAGAAGAGAAGACTCCCTGGAAAAGACCCTGATGTTGGGAAAGATGGAGGGCACAAGAGAAGGGGACGACGGAAGACGAGATGGTTGGACAGTGTTCTCGAAGCTATGAACATGAGTTTGACTAAGCTGCGGGAGGCAGTGGAAGACAGGAGGGCCTGGTGTGCTCTGATCCAGGGGGTCACGGAGAGTCGGACACGACTAAACGACTAATCAACAACAACAACACCAAGCCTCCACATGATGTTGGGCTCCAGTTCACCTCATTCCTGACCATTGGCTATGATGGCCGGTATTGTATTGCAGGGCCGGGCCATTCTAGACTGATGTTATTTTCGGGTGGGATCCAATTCACAAGCTGGTTTGGGGCTCTTGCACAACAAACCACTCCTCACCCCAAACCAGACGTTTTATGATAGGGAAAGGAGCAGGAAAACCGTGCGAAGAGTGTGGGAAAACACTTCCTTTGAACCAGCACCATCTCACATTCCCCTCCCAGACAAATCCGGGTAAACGCGCCATAAATAGGTCGTCTGGAAGCAGCACCTCCGGCTGCTGGTGGATTTATTCCGCTTTATTAGTTGTTCTGCGATGCTTCCCCAATACAGTGGTACCTCAGGTTACATACGCTTCAGGTTACATGCGCTTCAGGTTACAGACTCCGCTAACCCAGAAATAGTGCTTCAGATTAAGAACTTTGCTTCAGGATGAGAACAGAAATCGTGCTCCGGCAGCGCGGCAGCAGCAGGAGGCCCCATTAGCTAAAGTGGTGCTTCAGGTTAAGAACAGTTTCAGGTTAAGTACGGACCTCCGGAACGAATTAAGTACTTAACCCGAGGTACCACTGTACTACCATGTTACAGCTGTGCGGAGAGGCTGCCGCGCAACAAAAGTGGGACGCACCCCCCCCATAAAAAACCCCCATTTGTGGTCTTGGAAAAGGATATGCTCTGATTGGAAACGTTTGCAGGCGGAAGCAGAATTGAAAGCAGGAGTTGTAGAACTTTACAGATAGCTTGACCAGCAAAGATTGTCGCGATGGCGCGGTAAAAAAAAAAGGTGTGTGTGTGTGTGCCTTGTATGGACCCTGGGACAGGTGGGAGCTAGAGGTTCTCTACTCCTTTTCTAAACCCTCTGTTTAGCAGTCTCGGTGGAATAGTACTGAATCCCAAATATAGTGACCATGGAAATGTTTTAAAAACGAAATTCCCTGTGTTGGATCGTATTATCTTATCATGTAGCGCACGTATTATACCTAGCAGTAAATTCTATTGTGTTCAGTGGGAATACTCTCTGGTTTAGTAATCTTATTTCGGGCGGCAGTCTTAGGGCGTGTTCCTATTCCCGGCTTAAAAATGCGGCCTCCCTCCCCCCCCTAATTCGGATCTAAACTGGCTTTGGGGAGAACGCGTGGGAACGCAGGATGTCCTCAGAAAGGACAAGATAGATAACGATCGTGGTTAGCTTCGTGCCTACCCGTTTCCCAAACCAGCGATGGATGCGCACTTAATGCAGACTAGGAGGGCTTGTGCGAACAGCGCGTTGGGAACTTTGGGAAGGAAGGATTAAAGCGCCTTTTAAAAAAAAAAACAGCGACACAAAACAAGTACTTCCGGGCTCAGAGACCTCAACAATCCATAAAACACCCAGGCCAGTATTAGTCTTCTCGCGCTACAGCCTGGGCAGGAGTGGGTGGGAAGAGGTATGAGCTAATGTGATGTTGAATCTGGGATTTTCCAGGGCCTCGATGGGTACCAAATGTGGTCTGACGCAAGGTCGCCGACGTCTTATGAGCCCTAACCACTATTCCTTTGAAAACGCAACGGGCCAACTCTGGATGTTCCAACATTATTATTGTCAACATGTTCGGAATAATTGCAGGGTCAGAATAGTCTCTGGGCATTCAGGCGCGCTCCTTCCCTCGATCCACTGCCCACTCCACGGCTCTGTGACTCTGCGGATCTTTCGCTCCTTTAGGAGAGCTAGATCCTCGAACCAGCTCGGCTCGCCGAGGCCTGATCCTGCTCTTGCGCGTCTCCCTTCCGCGCAACGGCGTTTTGCGGAGGAGAACAGCCCATTCTGTAGGTTCACAGTACAGAAGCACAAAAAAATAACATAACAAAAGCAATAAAAAACACCCTACAATTAAAAAGCTTGTAGATGGTTTAATTAGCCAGAAGCCTGGGAGAAGAGTGTTTTTGCCGGTGAATCTCCTCTCTCGCTTTCCAACTTGTCGTTGTTTGCCGGACAAAATAGACTTGGCCGCGCGAAGCGCTGCGCGCAAAGGAAATGCGCTCTCCAGCCCACTTCCTCCGGACAGGTGCGTCAAAAACGAGTCCTGTGAGGGGGCTCAGGGTGTGGATGGCGTCAAAGAGCAACGTTGGCGAAGCTGGACAGGTAAATCGAGGTCAACAATTAAAGAGCACACCCACCCACCACTCGCCCTAAGAATTCTGATGTGGGGACAGCCCTCTGAAAACGAGTGGGAGAAGCTTCTGAGAGTGGGTGGCCAAGAAGGATCTCTCAGCCGAGGGATTCCAAGCGGTTTTAGTCCCAGCTCCATGACGGCCATAGGCTACGCACCTAGAATCTTGGCAATAAAGGACTTCATCCGCTCTGTGAGTGTGTGTGTGGGGGGGGGGTTGTTGTCACCTCAGAGATTGCTAAATAGCCTGGAATAAATGTGAGGCCGGTGGAATCACAGAACTGCGGAGTTGGAAGGGACCCCCCTAGGGTTCTCTAGCCCAACCCCCTGAAGAAATCGCAAGAAAGGCATCCATGATAGATAGCCATCCATCCTCTGCTTAAAAGCCTCTGCGTCAGGTCTCTGCTTGCAGGGCTACAATCCATCAAAGTTAGGCCGCAGTCCTAAAACCCCGCTTACCTGTAAGTCCCGTGGAATTCAATAGCACTTACACTGGTAGCTCAGGTTACAGACGCTTCAGGTTACAGACTCCACTAACCCAAAAATAGTACCTCGGGTTAAGAACTTTGCTTCAGGATGAGAACAGAAATCGCACAGCGGCGGCAGCTGGAGGCCCCATTAGCTAAAGTGGTGCCTCAGGCTAAGAACAGTTTCAGGTTAAGAACGGACCCCCAGAACGAATTAAGTTCTTAACCCGAGGTACCACTGTACTTCTGAAGAGACGAGGCTAGGATTTGAATTCTTTCCACCTCCTACAAATCTGTTATGAGTCTATGAAGCGTGCTTAAGGGAAAGCTAGCAGCCATGGGAAGCTCTCAGTTAAGAGAATCATATCCTGCCCCTCCGTTGCTCTCCAGAAATGGAGAGAAGAAGCTCGAGATCGTGCTGCGCACCGTCAAGACGTGCCCAAATTATACCGAGTCCTTGTTCGGTACCTCGAGAACGGGCCGCCTGATCTAGGGCACGCTCGCCTGGCAGGAAGTGCCACGGGGCTCAGTGGACTGGACCTCCCTCCCTCCCAGGGAAGTGTCCATAGGACAATTCCCATCATCCCTAGCGAACAGGACCAGTGGTCTGGGATGATGGGAGTTGTAGTCCCAAACATCTGGAGGGCCGGGGTTTGCCTATGTCTGCAGTAGAAAGAGAAGTTCCTCTTCATCGGAACTTCCTCAACAGGCCATCTCCTGAAAGCTGACTGTGTTGGCTTCTCAGCCCAAGCAAGGGAAGCCGGTAAAAACGCAGCGGCTCCAGCCGTTCTTAAAATATAAAATAAAATCTGGATAAATTTTACAAGTTGTTTTTCCTAGGAGAATTTCGAAAGGCGGTGTTTCGCCAGTGCTCTTTTAAATTTTTTAAAAAGAAACGCGAACAGGTCGTCCTAGAAATTGTTGTTTTAAAAAATCCAGTGAAATCCAATGAAACCACTATAATGTAATGATGATATAAACCGATGCCATGTCAGTCAGAAGATGACAGCAAGAGATTCCTGCGTAAGGAAGTACTCGAGCGCTGTTGTTGCTGTTGCTTTAAAGAGAGATAATTTATTTGCAATTCGACTTTCACACCGTGGCCTCGCCACAAGCCTGTTAATGGAAATGAACGCAAAATGAACCCGACGGTCTGTGAGTCTGTGCTTCGTTCAAAGCGCAAACCATTTCCTCACCCCATTCCATTTGGAAATCCCATTCGTTTCACGTGGGTGGCTGCGTCCCCCAAATTCGCATCCTTTTGGCTTCTTGTGGCGCATCAAGGTCCTCAGCTGGATCCATTAGCATCGCTTTAGCAAAAGGGACTAGTTCAGACGCAAGATCGGAAGCCTCTTTTCCGGGACCACCAACCCCCGTCTCCACTTAGTTTCCTAGGGTGGCTTAAAAAGCGAGGTCCTTATCTGGGCTTTTCCAGGTTCCCTCCGTGTCTCTTGTCAATTTGCCGATATATTGCAGGAGTTTGAAGTGTCTGGCAGCAAAATCCTAGAGATACAAGGCTGAAGTCCTAAGCACACTTACCAGGGAGTAAGTCCCACCAGATAAATGTCCTTAGGCGCTTTCAGAATTGACTTCATCGGGTTCCATGGTCATAAAGATCATATCAGTTTGACAGCCAGTGTGAATTTTCTGCAGGAGTGGCACCTTCGCCCCGCGACCGTGGCCTGCCCGTCCCGAGGCTGTGGGTGTCATGCAACGTGTATGGCCTTGGCACCAAAATTTGTGGGTGCCCGGCACCTTCATGGGGAATTTTGTGGGTGCTCGGGCACCTAGGGAGTTGGCACCTATGATTATCTGAACCACACAGGACCAACCACAAAGGACATGAAAGTCTCACCTGTTTCAGTGGGAGAGTCAAGCGCGCACCGCTTCCCCGATAAAGGCAACCGGTCTTAAAGAGACTTTAAAATGGGCTGGGTAATTCTAAAGAAGAGAGTAGGGGAATTTATTTACTTTGGACTGTTTGCACGTTTTTTAAAATTAAAAAATTAGTCCGACCAAGTCAGGTTCATCATTTTTAGAATCACGTTTCCTGGAAATCAGTCAATGAAACCTGCTTCCCGGTACGGCTCTGTTCCCTAATAAGTTTACTTACAAGTAAACTTTGTTTAGCACCACAGCATTCGCGACACTGCTGAGAAATAAGTGTGATTTTAGTAGAACCAACTTACTTCCAAGTAAGGCTGACATTTACTTGAAAGTAAACCTCGTTGAGCTCGGTGAGCAAGCACGCGTAGGAGCGGGCGGCTTAATAGGATTGCTTCCTTAAACCGGTTTAAAATGCTAAATCATCGCACGACCTACGCTGGGAAATCCCCCAAGGGCGTGGAGGTGTGCCGGAAAGGATTAGGGCGTGAGACAATCCTGCATTTTTGCAATCCGACAAACGACAATCCCTGTTTAGGAGGCAGTGGCATTGACGCAATCAGTATACATATGCGTAAATGTAGGGCACGCAAGAAGCCCCTCGGACCCGAAGGAGAGCTGTGCGAGAGTCCCATTCGTTGAAAGCCAGTGGCAGCAGGGCTCCCCAGTAGCCTGACGACGTCAACCCCTCGACCATGGGCGTAGCCAGGATTTTTTTTGGGGGGGCTTTATGTTGGGGCGGGCCCCGGCAGAACAAAGGTATCCGCGACGCAGTTGGTCAGTTAATAATAATTTTTTATTTATTTACTTACTTGATTTATTCACTCCCCTACTCTCATATCCTTCGTTTGTGGTCCGACTCTTAATCTGGAGAGCAGGTCGCCTCAATTTGGAGACTTTCCCCTCAAAAATAAATAAATAAATAAGAACGTACTGCTTTACAATATTTAGTAAACATCCAGAAAGATCCACAAAGATGCTACATACGGCGTCGATATTATGTTGAAAAGGACCACTGCTTGCTCAGGGTTTGCAGCGGAGCCTTCACAGAGCTGCAGTTTGTTTCCCTCCAGAGTTCTGGCAGGCAGTATTTGCAAATGTGTGGAGTTTTGGAAATAATTTCCTGTCCTTCTGCCGCGACAGAAAGAGAGGTTTTGCTCGAATAATGACTTGGGCTTTGCTTCCTAAACCGAGGCAGTAAGTGTGAAATCTCCTGTAGCCTTAGATCTGTGCGGTTTCCTATAAAGCAACTCTCAGGAATAATCAAGGCAAAAGTGTGTGCCTGTCTGTAGCATGCCTGCAAGCACAGAAAGATTTTATTCCCAGAAAAGGTCACCGTCAGTGAGGACAGAATATTTAAGAATCATATATTTATGAAGAATTAATTTTGATGCATTTTGCTGTATAAAAATTAATGTGTCTCTTGAAAGAGGCCTTTATCTCTCTGTTGAAATTCACCCACTTATGGCACATTCTATTTCTTCCATACACTGGAGAAAAAGTCTTTAATTATTCCATTCTTGCATCCCAAATATGCCATAGGTTTAAACTCTTAAAAAGTTAATGTAAACATGCACACTGATGATGCTACATAAGTAATGAACATCATCATGTTGTGTTTTTGACAGATCAGTTTCATTTGGGGTGAGACATTAATGTTGCATGCAGTATATCATCATAATCATCATCACGATTAGAGCCCAAATAGCTTTCCACAACGGAAGCCAAACTACAGTATTTTACAGCTAAAATGAATTTGCTTTGTAAAAGTCTCCTGGCTGCTGAATACCCACTGGATATTTTCTGGATTTGATGAGTAAAATGTTACCTTGATGTTTGATTCAACATTTTTGGGTACGATACAGCCAAAAGTTAAACACTTTAAAAGTTATATCGATTCAAAAGGGACACATTTAAGTATGCGCTGAATGCTTCAGTTGAATTTAACAGTTTTTCGCTTTGTTTGGAAGTGCAATTTTTGATAGTATTTGCTAGGTGGGATATAAAGTTTGATATCCAAATTAATTTTATATTGTATTTTACATTTTACTCTATCTGAACTGGTACAACAATGGACCTGTTCCTTAGTATTTAACACCTGGCAGTTGCCAGAGGGGTTTACTTCCAGCAAATATGATTAGAATTCAGATGTGTGTATAGTAATTTGTCATTCTCGATGGTATTCAGCTAAGTCATAATCAACGGACCTGGTTATTCATGGCCAACTGATGCCCATTTCAAAATCCATTGATTCCGAGTATGACTTGGTGACTACGTCTTAGGTATTCAGCATACTAAACATGGTTACATGAAGGTGAGCACCCATTCATTTGCCCAAACTGGCCCTCCTTGGCCAAAGCAGAACTCTGTGCCTAGGAGTTAACTTTTCCATCCAGCTCTTTCCTCTCTGTCCAGAGATGCGGCCACAGGCAGGACCACATAGCTGTGTACTTGCAGGGCTTCTTTTAACCCCAATATGGCTGCTTGAGTGGGAGAACTTCCAGGGGTTTCTGAGGCAGAATGCCCATTCAGTTTCATTCAGTACTGTTACCATCTACATCTGCTAAGAGCCATAGCTGGGGAGCAAACTGTGTATTTGCATCTGATTATCATTAGGGTTTCATTTCGGTAATGACAGTGGAGTGCACCCACCCACCCCATCCAGCAAAAGTTTAGATTCCCTTTGTTCATTGGGAGAGATTTTAAGTACCGCACATGCTTAATTCTGCCATTGAAATCAGTGGGACTCCAAAATGTCTAACATTGCCTGAATTATATCCACAATGTTTGGCCATCATTCAATACTCCACATCTTCTAACTGTTTTCACTGGCTTGGTTGTGTGAATCCTTACATTCCTCATAGTGCTTTTGAGTAAGGAATCCTGCAGTTGGAGAATGATAATAATAATAATAATAATAATAATAATAATAATAATAATACTTTTATTATTTCCTCTGGCCCTCTGGGAGGCTTCCAGCAAAATATAAAAACACTATCATTAAACACTTCCCTCTACAGGGCTGTCTTCAGACATCTTCTAAAAGCCATATAGTTGCTTATCTAAATAAACAAAAAAATTAAAAAATTGTCCACTAGCACCTTAGAGACCAACTAAGTTTGTCCTGGGTATACCAGAAAGCTTATACCCAGAACAAATTTAATTGGTCTCTAAGGTGCTACTGGACATTTTTTTTACTTATTTTTACTGCGTCAGACCAACACGGCTACCTACCTGAATCTAGTTGTTTATCTGTTGGTGACATCCGATAGAAGAGTGGTCATGTTGATGATAATAGATCACATTGGACATTTCTGCTACACTCTAACCATTGATGCTTCTCTATGATGTTCTGGCTCTCTCTAAAACCACCATAAGCCTCCAGCCTATTTCTTTTTCTGATGCACACACATGAATGCCCCCGTAAACATGTGTGCGCACACTTAGCATTTGAATAACACACTAAGCTCTTAATATCTGCCTCTGCCTCTTCTGCCAGGTTTTCAGGGTCTGAAATAATTTACGAATAATTAGACTCTGTTGCTTATTATTAACTGCACTGAAATAAACGGGGTCTTTTTGTACGGCATGCGTATTATATTATGAATATTTCTTATGTTGGTTTATATTTCTTATGTGTGTTTTTTTTGGGTGGCCATTATTGGGCTGTTGTTTTTATTTTTATTTGTTTAACATATTTTTATTAAAAGTTTCTTGGTTTACAAAAATATGTGCAATGTCTCTTTTTTCAAGTTACATTTTCTACAGTCAGTTTCACGTGCTGAGACATTGGTGTTGCATTAGGAAGAAAAGGGGGAAAGAGGTGAGGGGGAATGTTGAGTGGGGTGGGGTCGGGTGGCAATCTTTCTATTCTACTTAGTGTATGTGTGGGGTTTTGTGTCAGTGTCGCTTGTGCGGGTTCTCTTCACTATCCGCTTGTGTTCCTTTGGTGGTGAGAGAGGTTAGGGGGTGGCCTAGAGTGTGGTTGGCTGTCTTTGGTTAGCTGTAGTGAGATTTGTTTTGTGTGTGGGGTGTGAATGTGTGTATTTTTGAATCAGGTTAGCCAGATTGATTTGTATGCTGTGGGTGGATTCTTGTCGTTGTCTTGTTGGGCTGCGTATGTGATAAAGAGGAGCTATACCGGGGTGAAGGAGTCTTCTTCTATTTGTCCCCGTGTCAGTTTCAGTTTATTGGTTAGTTTTTCTAATAAGGCTGTTTCCCATACTATTTGTTAACATTGGTCCATGCTTACTCCTGACAGGTCTCTCCAGTGTCTGGCTATTTTTGATCATGTATTTTGTGGTTTTATGTTTTGATTTTGTTGTGTGAACTGCCCTGAGACCTTCGGGCATGGGGCGGTATATAAAATCTATATCTATGTATCTGTCTATCATCTATCTATCTATCTATCTAGCTATCTATCATCTATCTATCTATCATCTATCATCTATCTATCTCTATCTATCTGTCTGTCTATTTATCTATCTCTGTCATCTATCTATCTCTATCTCTATCTCTATCTCTATATCATCTATATCTATATCTATATCTATATCTATATCTATATCTATATCTATATCTATATCTATATCTATATCTATATCATCTATCTATCATCTATCTATCTATCTATCTATCATCTATCTATATCTGTCTGTCTATCTGTCTATGCATGCATGCATGCTGTAAACTGCCCTGTGGCCTTTGGGTGAAAAGTGCCATATACTTTTCTAAATATATAAATGAAATGTATAGTATCCAATTAGGTTCAGACCAGAGTATTTATATAAGCAGATAGGAATGAGAGCTGAGTCTGCAAGATAGCGCTGTGCCTAAGGTCTCTAAGTGAGTTAAGGCTGAGATTTGAACCAGGAACTGCCTAGTTCATGGTGTTCAGCCTGTTCTTATGCACGTTTACTCAGAAGTAAATCTTACTGATCACACGAGTCTTAATTCTCAAGTTTGCACCCAAAAGATTTCAGTCTTAGCTACTATTTGACATAGCTCAGAATCATAAAAAAGATTATTCCCAAAATTCCATTCCTCTTTTAGCTTATGAAAACACTGGGGGATTAAGATCAGCATTATTAAACTCCTGCATAGTATAACATTTGCTTCCAAAATGAAAAGGGTTGCGCATCATAGATAAAAAAAATGACATTTTGGACAAGAAAGCAGGAGACGGGAGGAGAAAATGTTGACAGCAAGCTAGACATTTAGAAGCCAAATTTAATCGCTTTGACAAAGTACAGATAGTAGAGTTAGATGCAAGACTTACCAACAGGAAACATCCTTTATGAAATTATTGAATTGGATTGATGAACTTGAGAAGAAGTGGGAGCCGTGCCCAAAAGCAGTTGAAGGAAAGCTGCTGTTACAGGAACTTAATCAGAAAATGCTTTATGCATCTTGTAAACAACCTCATAGATTCAACAACCCCAGATTCATTTGTAACGGCTCGAGGAAGCTCATTTATCAGTGAACGTTTTGTAAAAATCCATGGCTGGGCTTTTAAAGGCATTATCTTAAGACCAGTGAAGACTTTAGCAAATAATTGCAGGTATCAATGCTGTTAGTGCCTGATTTGTTTTCCTGGAGTCTCTTTGTAAAATATGGTAATTGAAATCTGTTACTTCAGATTGTAGTAAAATTTTATTGGGTGTTGATGGTGAGATCCCTTATAATGAAATACGTTTTAAAGGTAAAACTGTGCTTCTAAATTGGAACGGTGTAGAAAGGACAAATGTTTATTGGCCAGCTTTATGAAACAGAGGTGCATTGGTTGTACAGCAAGTTCCCTTTCTTTTTAAAACATTGGTTCAATTTGCATCTTCCTCTTACACTGGGCTTTGAGCAGGCTTCCCGGGAGGGGTTGATCAGCAAGCTCTCACCTGTAATAATGTTACTATTTGCACAGATAGACAGGAAGATCACAGGAAGTTGACTTTGGTCCAGTTAGGGGACATTCCCATCCAGCCACAGGCAAACTCGGCCCTCCAGATGTTTTGGGACTACAACTCCCATCATTCCTGACCACTGGTCCTGTTAGCTAGGGATGATGTGGTGGGCTGGACTATATTTTTTGGGGGGGAAATGAACGAATTCCTATGCCCCACAAATAACTCAGACATGCATTTTAAATAAAAGGACACATTCTACTCATGTAAAAACACACTGATTCCCAGACCGTCCGCGGGCTGGATTGAGAAGGCGATTAGGGGCCTTAGGTTGCCTAGGTAAAGGGACCCCTGACCGTTAGGTCCAGTCGTGGCTGACTCTGGGGTTGCGGCGCTCATCTCACTTTATTGGCTGAGGGAGCCGGTGTACAGCTTCCAGGTCATGTGGCCAGCATGACTAAGCCGCTTCTGGCGAACCAGAGCAGCGCACGGAAATGCCGTTTACCTTCCTGCCTGAGCGGTACCTATTTATCTTCTTGCACTTTGACGTGCTTTCGAACTGCTAGGTTGGCTGGGACCGAACAATGGGAGCCTACCCCGTCACGGGGATTCGAACCACCGACCTTCTGATCGGCAAGCCCTAGGCTCTGTGGTTTAGACCACAGCACCACCTGTGTCCCTGCCTTAAAGCATCTGCATGCAAAATAGGTGTTCTCCTACTAAGTGACAGCCCTACCCCTAAAAGAAATGCCTTAAAAAGAAGACAAACCATGACTTTTCTTCCACTGAGCAGGCCCAGCGTCTTCACATTTTCAGTGCTTTTATCAGCCGATCAAACAGTTATCGAGTCACATATCCCACTATGCCTGTGCTCTGCAGGTACGCTGACCATCTTTTAAATTAAAAAAGGAGCTCTGATTGCAAGTTTATCCTATTTAACACCCCCACCACCTAATTTCAAAAGGGCCAGTGAGAGAGTAGGCTGGCCTCCGTCCCCACCCCAACCCCCGCATCAGTTTTCCTTAAGCTCACTGCTCGGGCCAATTCTATATGTACGGACAAAATCCAGTGAGTGCATTCCCAAGGCAGCCCCACTGCTGAAAGTGTGTATCTTTGAATACGCATGTTTACGTATGGCTGAGCTCCATTAAAGGTACCATGTAGCTCTCTAATTTAATGTTCTCTCCTACTTCACTTGATAAAGTGACAGGGTCTGAAATGGCCAGGGCAACCAAGGAAGAGATGTTGGGATTGTGTTGGACAGAATGGAAATGACTCATTGAACAATGACAAAAAAAAGGCACATTCAGTTTTAGGGATCCAGCCAATAGATCCAGGCATATAGACCAGAACTGTGGGACCTGAATATGGAGACACACCACATATTTAGCTTATGTGAGGATCCAGACTCAAACTTGGATGTGGTCTTCCAAGTGCCATAGCCAATCTGAGAGACCAATGCCAGCAGTAGGCCAGTAACACCATTTAACACCTCGGGTTAAGAACTTAACTCGTTCTGGAGGTCTGTTCTTAACCTGAAACTGTTCTTAACCTGAAGCACCACTTTAGCTAATGGGACCTCCCACTGCTGCCGCCACGCCACCGGAGCACGATTTCTGTTCTCATCCTGAAGCAAAGTTCTTAACCCGAGGTACTATTTCTGGGTTAGCGGAGTCTGTAACCTGAAGCGTCTATAACCTGAAATGTCTGTAACCCAAGGTACCACTGTATCTAATTGTCTGGCTCTTGGATTCCCCAGAATGCCTTTTATCCCATCCACCTCCCCTCCCCATAATTTAATCTGATATATTTTTGGGGCCTGCCGATTAGTTTCCAGGAAGACCTTGCTATCTACCTCTCATGTATCCATCCACTGGCTCCTCCTCCTCTTCCTCCATGGCGACGACAACTATAGTGGTACCTCGGGTTACATATGCTTCAGGTTACAGACTCCACGAACCCAGAAATAGTACCTCGGGTTAAGAACTTTGCTTCAGGATGAGAACAGAAATTGTGCTCCGGCGGCGCGACGGCAGCAGGAGGCCCCATTAGCTAAAGTGGTGCTTCAGGTTAAGAACAGTTTCAGATTAAGAACGGACCTAGTCAGGCAGAATGGATCCTAGCTCAGGGGGAAGAGGAGCCAGAGGGCACCTGGTCCTAGCCCAGCTGATAACCTGACCTGTGCTGTCCTCTTAACTCCATGCAACGCTGCCCATGGCTCACCAGGAGTAAACAGTGACCATAAGAACACTTTGGAGGTCCCAAGCCTCAAGGAGGTTAGATTGGTTTCAACTAGGGCCAGGGCCTAACCCTTTTCAGCACTGGCCCTGACTTGGTGGAACGCTCTGTCACAAGAGACCAGGGCCCTGCGGGACTTGACATCTTTCCACAGGACCTGCAAGACAGAGCTGTTCCGCCTGGCCTTTGGTTTGGACTCGGTCTGACCCTTATGTTTCCCTCCCCTTATGGTCTTGATTTATCGGCTACTTTAAAATGAGGCTGCATTTTAAATTGCATTTTAACCTGTATTTTAAATTGGTCCCCCCCTTCTCTTTCCCCCTATTATGTTTTTACTGTGATTTTATTGGTGTTAGCCGCTCTGAGCCGGGGAGGGCAGGGTATAAATAAAATTTATTATTATTATTTATTATAGTGGTCAGAGAAAAGGTGCAGACCCTGAGTCCTGATGTTTAGTATACAGTTGAAGCTGCTGCTTCTTTTTTCCGGAAATTGTTTTTATTTGAATTTACAAATATAAGTCTATAACAAAACCAAGTACATATCCATATAGAGAGATTTCTCTGAATCTCGCAACCTCCCACCATCCCCTCCATGGGTCCTATTGTCAATGTTTTCAACTACATATTATTTCATAATCTATATTTTATTTTTTTATTTTATTGATACATCAGGACAATAACAACACAAAAAGGGGAAAAAAAACAATAACAAAAAGAACAAAACAAAAACAATATACAGCAATAAAAAGAAATTCGAAAATGGATATTGACAATAAAAGTTACAACCAACGCAACCTTAACATTTACACCACATAAATATATATAACATAATCTATATTTTAAATCTAGCCATATTGTCTATAGTAATTGTTACATTACAAGTGAGATTAATATCCTGCTAATGTTTTCATCTGCTTACAGTGGTCTCCTAAATAAATTACAATCCCCCCCCCCATTCTTTCTTGAAGTTTTTGTCTTCTTGGTCCCTGACCTTTCCGGTCAGTTTTGCCATTTCGGTGTAGTCTAACAGCTTGGTTTACCGTTCCTCTCTGGTAGGAACTACTTCTTTCCATCTCTGGGCTAATAGCATCCGCACTGCTGTTGTCACTTACATGAAGAGTCTTTTCTGTTCCTTTGGAATGCTGGTACCTACAGCTTCTGCTCTTTTTACAAAAGTTATATTAAACATTTTTTCAATTCATTGTATATCATTTCCCAGAATGCATTTATTACCTTACATGACCACCACATATGATAAAAGGTACCTTCTTCTTCTTCTTCTTCTTCTTCTTCTTCTTCTTCTTCTTCCATTTCCAGCAAGTATTTGTACTTATTTTATACATTTTTGCTAGCTTACTAGGAGTCAAATACCACCGGCACATCATTTTCACCATTGAAACTTATTTTAAATGGTAACCTGTCAAAAGATAGATGAGTTGATGGGCATCATTGGCAAACTGAATTTTCCATTCTCTCATGGGCAGGAAATCAAAACTTCTGATCCTAACCATTGCACCATTTTCTATTTTGTCCACCAAAGATGTATAAAATCTGATGTAAAAGATTTACATCTCCAGCAATAGAAATATTCTTGACAAAGGCAGATACCCAATGTCAATCACACCCATAGTAGAGCCATTAAAACCAATCAACTTCAGTAATTTACCGTATTTTTCGTTCTATAGGGCGCACCGGCCCATAGGACGCACCTCGTTTTTTGGGGGGGGGAAATGAATAAAAAAAATTATTCCCCCCCCCCGCCGCGGCTGCCGCCCCAAGCCTTGTGCACACCTGCAAGAAGCACGGGGCACCCTCCGGAGGGCTCCGCGTGCTTCGGGCGACAGGCTGCCGCCCCAAGCCTCGCGCGCTCGGCGGGACCTCCTGCCGGGCGCGCAAGGCTTGCGGACACTCGCCGGGGCTGCAGGCTGCTGCCTGCAAGCCTTGTGAGCCCGCGGGAACTCCCACCGGGCTTGCAAGGCTTGCGGATAGCTTCCTGAAGCCTGGAGAGCGAGAGGGGTCGGTGCGCACCGATGCCTCTCGCTCTCCAGGCTTCAGCGAAAGCCTGCATTCGCCCCATAGGACGCACACACATTTCCCCTTCATTTTTGGAGGGGAAAAAGTGCGTCCTATGGAGCGAAAAATACGGTAAGCCTATAGATGGGTCTACTCTGAGTAAGGAGCAGTTGAATATCAACCCATCTTTTTTAAAAAAAGAGATGTATGGATTTAATATTATTGGTACATAACCTGCAACATAACTGGCCAACTCCCTGGGGCCTTGGGCGCCTGAGCACCCACAAAATTCCCCATGAAGGGGCTGGGCACCCACAAATTTTGGGGCCAGGGCCATGTATGCTACTTGGCACCCATGGCCCTGGGGACCCACAGTTGTGGGCCCAAGTTGGCGCTCCTGACCTGAATAAATCTTCCTTCATTACTATATTTAGTGAGATAGAGAAGCCTCTTTTTTTTGCTCTAAAAGATTGTTTATATTACTTATAAATATTTATACTGCTATACTTTGTCTTAAAATGCCAGTGAATTCTGTCTTCAATAAAGGATATTTCCCCATTTCCATCTTTTTGCTTCAACATACATATGATGGGGAGAGACAGAGAGACACACACAGAGAGAATTTGATGGTCTTTTTAGTTTTGCAAACTGTAGGATTCTTAAGTCCACTTTGCTTGCCTTTAGTGTGGCATCAAGTAGACTGTACCATCGCTATTTAAAATAAGAGTGCGAATGAATAAATGTCTGTTAACACATCAGGTTTTGGAAGATAAAACTTTGGGTCGACATGACTTGACAGATTGGCTTTCACGACCATCAACAGTCTGTCATTTGCACTGAATTTTCATTCCAAATGGTGTAATTTAATGAGGTATGAAACCCTGATTGGAGCCCATGGGAATGTCCTTTTAAAAAAGCTAAGTTGTGTAACCATTACTCAGTCAACAAACCAGGCATTTTCCTTTTTCTGAAATACATAGCAGGTTTCAGAGGCAAATACTTACTGCAGAGAAGCAAACGCACCAAAGCAACTTGTTAGTTAAGAGGCAGAAAGCGTTTGGATAGGTAAATCACGGGTCCACTGTCCCAATGACTCACCTTCCCTTCTCAGAGTTTGTATTTTCTGTGGATTTTTTGGCCGGGATGTCTTCTTCTCCCAACTGAAATTTAGCCAAATCTGGGCTTTTGCTCACCATCTACTTTTCTTACTGTCGAAATCTAAATTTCCTAAGTTCTTCAGGTATTCTCTTTACTTTGCTTGTGTTGCTCTGCCAGACACCACCTAAACCAGGCATGTCCAAAGTCTGTTTAGGGGGCCTAATCCAGCCCGCTGGTCAGTTTAATCTGGCCCCTATGGCAGTTTATTTCCTGGGGTAAAATCCCTAAAAAAACTCAACAACTTCAATCCTAAAAAAAGGTTAATAACTTCGGTCGGCCCTCACGACCCTTCACTTCATCAAATCCAGGCCTCTTTGAAAAAAGTTTGGACACCACTGAGTCCTACACCAATGGTTTCTTTCTTTCAACAGCAGCAAGAACTATACAAATGGTTTAGGAGGGGCGAAAGGGAGAGGAAATTGCAGCCCTGACCTCAGGCTATTGACCCCCGAGTGAAGCATTTGGAATTATTACTACAGTTTTTAATACACTTGCTCAGAAGTGAATTCGTTTAAAATCCCCTGGAATTTGCTTTCAGATAAATTTGTTTAGAAGTGAGCTTATCTTATTTATTGAAGGAGTCGGATATAGACATCTGGTTTATTATTGTGCCTCTGGTGGAATATTATTTGGTGTGAATTCTTATTCTCTTCACTAACTTCACCTGAAGTGCGTGCCTTACAGTGCATGCCTGAATTTGATTTCAGACAAATGATGACAATCCCAGGCTCTGAGATCCAGCAATGCCTGCTGAACAGCCACCTAGAGCTGCTTCATCACTGATGTGCATGTCCAAAATGTGGGAAAATATACACCTACTTTTGACCTTCATCAGCTTCCATCTGGGATTGGAAGGGGTTGCAGGTGAATGTAAACATTCACCAAATTTCATGCAAATCCCTATAACATATAATAATAATTTTTTAAAATTTATATCCCGCCCTCCCCAGCCAAAGCCAGAGCGGCTAACAATAGTAAAAATAGCACAGTTTACATAAAATAGCAGTCAATTAATTAAAATACATTCTAAAATCAATTCATTCTAAAATCAATTCAGAATCAAATTAATGGCAACCATTGGACTAGAGTTCTATGAGGTTTACAGAAGGAGGGGATCAGACTGTGCCCTGGCCAAGGCCTGGTGGAACAGCTCTGTCTTGCAGGCCCTGTGGAAAAATGTCAAGTCCCGCAGGCCCTAGTCTCTTGTGGCAGAACGTTCCACCAGATTGGGGCCACGGCCAAAAAAGCCCTGGCTCTGGTTGAGGCCTGCCTAACCTCCCTGTGGCCTGGGACCTCCAAGATGTTTTTGTTTGAAGACCGTAAGGTCCTCTGTGGGACATGAAAGGAGAGGCGGTTCCGTAGGTACAAGGGTCCTAGGCCATACAGGGCTTTAAAGGTTAAAACCAGCACTTTAAACCTGTTCCTGTACTCCACCGGGAGCCAGTGCAGCTGGTATAGCACCAGGTGAATGTGATATATGCTAACAATGGGAGAAAATATTACCAGTATCATTCATCTCCCAAAGATAGTATTTTTTTGTCATATGCACAAATGTCTGGTTTAAAAAGCTGGCATCATATTGTTCTGTGCTCCCTGCTTCCTTGGGTACTGGGATGTTCCAGAGACAACATTAGTAGGTTAACAGCACAATATGGCTCCTTCACGGCCTAGGACCCTCGTACCTACGGGACCGCCTCTCCTGGTATGCCCCACGGAGAGCCTCAAGGTCCATAAATAGCAACACCCTAGTGGTCCCAGGCCCTAAGGAAGTTAGATTGGCTTCAACCAGAGCCAGGGCCTTTTCAACACTGGCCCCTGCCTGGTGGAACGCTCTGCCTCACGAGACCAGGGCCCTGCAGGATCTGATTTCTTTCCGCAGGGCCTGTAAGACAGAGTTGTTCCGCCTGGCCTTTGGCTTGGAGCCAATTTGATTCCCTCCCCCTCTTTCTTTTTCCTTTTTCCTTTCTCCTCCTGTGATGAGGCTGCATTTTAATATTTTAATGTTTCAATATTTTAATGTTGTATTTTAATCTTGTTTTTAAGTTGTATTCATTCAACTTGTTTTTATTATTGCTTGTTAGCCTCCCTGAGCCCGGCCTTGGCTGGGGAGGGCGGGGTATAAATAAAAATTATTATTATTATTATTATTATTAATATGTCAGGGACTGGGCAGAGAAGAAGACAGTTCAGAATTACAACAGGGGTTTGAGGGAGATCACAGCTCCGAGGCAGATGGGAAAAGCTGGGAAATAAAGGGAGAGGAGGAGGAGGAGGAAGAAGCACCAGGAAGACAACAGCTGATGGACACAGTATTTATAGAAAGCATTCCAGACCTCCCAGAACCCGGTGAGCATTGAAAGTAGGAGAGCAAAGAGCTCAAAGACAGAGGGCACTTTTCAGCATGCATAGTGATCACGCCTGAGGGATAGGGAGAGACGGAGGGGGTGGAGACTCACTTGGGAAAATGCCATTATTCCAAGAAGCTGCATTCCCAAGCCTTTCTCTGTGAATATGGAATAAAAAGCAGATGGTAAAGACTTTTCCATGTCTCCCCAGTTCCTGGCGACCTGCCATGGGGGTTGGTTCCTTTGCAGCCTGACATCGTAAGACATAAATTCCATTGCATTCAATGAGGCTTACTCCTGGCCAAGGCAGCAATCTTGGCCCTTCTTATCTGAATTCAATAGTGCTTAATTATGAGTAGGTGGTTAGGATTGCCCTGCAAGTGTAGCCCAAGTTGATTTTCAGACAAGAGTTCTGTGTACCTTTGTAATATTTGCTTTGCAATTTGCAAGCAGAGAAGTAGCAAACCAACACTTTTCTAAGCAGATGGCATGTCTGCCTGCCTCAGATTCTCAGAAGGGACCTTGTCTCATCTACTCAGGGATGCCACCTTTATCTAGCCAAGTCCAGCTAAACATTCTGTCCATCTGTCTTGCTTTCATCCATACTGTATTCTAAAAAAATCATCTGTTGAATACTGACAAACCCAGATGAATACAGAGAACATACGTGCTCTATGAAGTCTTTCTGCACCTTTTCCTCAGCCAGAGGGTTATCACCTTGCTCAAGTTGGGTGGGCATTGCATTCCAAAAGCTGGAGATAAATTCTCCACTGATCAGGAGAACATCTCCTGCTGAAACCTTCATTTATCATTCCGGGATACTATTATCCAGCAACTATGCTAACAAAGTAACGGGCGAGAAAATATTTATTTATATTTGCAAGAGTATTTTTATCCCACCTTTCCATTTCTGCAAATATGTTCAAGGTGGCTAGCATCAAAATGAAAAACAATCAAATCTTCCTTTTTTAAAAAAATGATTTAAAACTTTGAACTGATCTTTGAAATCTTTCAGCTGGAACCACCAATAAGATGACATTCTCTGGAGCAAAGTCTAGCAGCATGGGTGGCACTGAGATCTAAACCACCGAGCCTCTTGGGCTTGCCGATCAGAAGGTTGGCGGTTCGAATCTACATAATGGCGTGAGCTCCCATTGCTCTGCTCTGTCCCAGCTCCTGCCAACCTAGCAGTTTAGATCAATAGGTACCACTGAGGCAAGAAGGTAAATGGCATTTCCGTGTGCTCTGGCTTCCATCACGGTGTCCCGTTGCACCAGAGGCAGTCTAGTCCTGCCTGCCACATGACCTGGAAAGCTGTCTGTGGACAAATGCCGGCTCCCTTGGCCTGAAAGCGAGATGAGTGCCACAACCCCTTAGTTGCCTTTGACTGGACTTAACCGTCCAGGGGTCCTTTACCTTTACCTTACCAGCTGTAGGGTCAGGACCTGGTACCTGGTCATGGCCTGATCTAAGGTGTGCCACAGCAATAGCAATGCCAACATGCAGACGTATGGTTGGGCGGGCTACAGTAGCTCATGGCCACAGCTGCCACCTGGGAATCCAGTAGCAAAGCTGGGGCAAAATGATTCATGTTACATGATGGAAAAAAAGCGAGAGCTACCAATAATAATAGGGACGTGGGTGGTGCTGTGGTCTCCACAGAGCCTAGGGCTTGTCAATAAGAAGGTCGGTGGTTCGAATCCCCGCAACGGGGTGAGCTCCTGTTGCTCTGTCCCAGCTCCCGCCAACCTAGCAGTTCGAAAGCATGTCAAAGTGCAAGTAGATAAATAGGTACCACTCTGGCGGGAAGGTAAACGGCGTTTCCGTGCGCTGCTCTGGTTTGCCAGAAGCAGCTTAGTCATGCTGGCCACATGACCCAGAAGCTGTACGCTGGCTCCCTCGGCCAATAAAGCGAGATGAGTGCCGCAACCCCAGAGTCGTCCGTGACTGGACCTAATGGTCAGGGGTCCCTTTACCTTTACCTTTTACTACTACTACTACTACTACTACTAATAATAATGAATATACTGCCCAATACCCGCAGGTCTCAGGGCGGTTCACAGGATAATGAAATAAAATTATGAGCTGGAGCTACTGAATATTTGGTGGAAGGGTCTGAGTCCATGTCTGGGGATAGTCTAACCCACTGCTGAAGTTCCTGAGCTCCCCGGGAGCTCTTTCCTGTCTGGGAATGGTGGGTCATGCCCTTTTGGCCTCCAGCCCTGGCCCAAAGCCTGTTTATTTAGCACTGGGCAGAGACGGTGGGGTTATTAAGGGGATTTGCTAGAGCTGAGAGACCATATCTCAGGGAGTGGTGACAGAGCAGCTCCCTGATCTCTGCGGTTTTCCATGTTTGCGCTGAGGCCTGTGATCGGATTCCTCCTTAGCAAGCAAATTGCACAAACTGTTTGCCTCCAAGTGCTCTCTCCAGCAAAACCTCAGAGCTCTTTTCCCAGCATGGAATATTTTTCTTTCCCTTTTGGACACAGCAGAAGCTGCAATGTGGCATGAAGCAAGGCGCCCGGGAGGCTCCAGGGTTGCATGATGTCATGATGGAACACAATGAAGCATAAGGAAAGGGGGGGAGGGAGGAGGAGAGAGAGAAGAAGAAGAAGAAAAAATTCGGGGAAGAGGCGGAGAAGAGGAATAGAGCGGCAGCAGCTGGATCCAAAACAGTCTGCATGCAAAACATTTGTGCTCATTTTCAGCTGGATCCCAGGAAACAAGGGATGCATAAAAAGTCCAGCTTTTTCTTTCACTGGGCTCACTACTGTTGCTGCGGGAGTAATGTTCAGCATTCAGACAGTGCTCAGAGTGTCCGGTGCACTTCATATGGAATCACAGAGTTGGACCATCTAGTCCAACCCTTTGCAATGCAGGAATATACAGCAGTCCCTTATGGGGACTGAACCTGCAACCTTGATGTTGTCAGCACCATGCTCTAACAAACTGAGCTACCCAGCTATCCTGTGTTAGTAGTCTTTTACACTACAGCATCCTTCTCGTGTAGATCGCTTTTATTATTGTCATATTGCAAGGTGGGGGGTGGGGGGGTGAGGCTGAATAAAAGTGGCTTTCTTGAGTCCCCTCAGTCACTTGTCACTCCAGATGAAGAAGAAGAGTTTAGATTTTATATCCTGCTTTATCACTACCCGAAGGAGTCTCAAAGCGGCTAACAATCTCCTTTCCCTTCCTCCCCCACAACAAACACTCTGTGAGGTGAGTGAGGCTAGCCCAAGGTCACCCAGCAGCTGCATGTGGAGGAGCAGGGAAGTGAACCCAGTTCACCAGATTATGAGTCCACCGCTCTTAACCACTACACCATGCTGGCTCACATATATAGAATGAAGCATTCTATATAACTCAAAACCTTGAATATGATCACCCCACAAAGAAGTGGGCCAATAGGTGATGCCACTCTTTAGAGGCTTGCCACAGTGTATCTGTTCCTGTCTCTTCTGCATAATCTATCAAGGATATGATTACTGCAATGGGTCATATGTAGGGCTGCCTCTGAAGACGGTTCGGAAACTTCAGCTGGTACAGAATTCAGCAGCAAGACGATTTGAGCATATTACACTGATCCTGGTTTGACTGCACTAGCTACCAATTGATTTCCGGGCCTAATTCAAAGTGGTGGTTTTGACCTATAAATCCTTAAATGGCTCAGGACAGCAATTCCTCTTTCCATATGAACCTACCTGGACCCTGAGATCACCTTCTAAGGCCCTCCTTTGTGTGCCTCCTCCTTGAGAGGGCCGGAGAGTGGCAACACGAGAACGGGGCCTTCTTTGCAGTGGCTCCCTGTCTGTGGAATGATCTCCCCAGGGAAGTTTGCCTGGCGCCTTCATTATACACCTTTAGGTGTCAAGCAAAAAACATTCCTTTTTAACCAAGCCTTTGGTTGATCTGATTTACATCCTATGCCCTGTTGCAAAGTGCTTGCCACATTCTCAGATAACTTCTTTCAGCACTGTTGGGTATGCTTCTCAGCATGTTTCTCAGCTTTCTAGTTCGTATTTCCTGAACAAGCTAATTGATTCCAATAATAACAAAACCATATCTCTTTGCAACTATACAGAGCTTTTCCAGGACACAGGACCATAGAACCAAAACTCTGACCATGAGACCTGAATAACGTCTGCTCTGTATAATCTGTATATTGTTCCTAGGGGAGCAATTGTGAAATTCAGCATATCTGTTTGTCTGTCTATAAACGCACACAAGGCAGGAGACAATATCACTTGCTTGAAGACTAATTATCCAGAACTTTGTAGAAGCAAAGACTGGTAGTTGCAGAGCACAGAGAGTGCTTCTCTGTGATGGAGAAAGGAAATGGCCACATTGTTTTGTTGACTCCTAGAGCTGAAACAGACATTGCACGCCAACATCATAGCTCCAAACAATACCAGAGTCCCTGCAGATGCTTTAAATATGGGGCAGCTATTCTCCTAGACTAGAAGTCTGATTTGGCCCTTAAAGCAATTTTTTTCTGGACTCAATGTAGGGCTAAAACAGATATGATATGAAAGTTCAGTGACTGGCTCTCTAGATTACACCCCCCTCTTCACTTTAAATTATTATTAGATATTTATTTATACCCTGCCCTTTTCCCTGACAGGGACTCAAGGCAGATCACAGATAAATATAAGAACAGCTAAAAACAATGGGGGGGGGGGGCGGAGAAGATAGAGCAACCATTAAAAACCATTTAAAGTAGCTGCAGAGATTTTGATCACAGCATTGTTGCTTGGACTCCAAAGCAAAGTTTGTTGCTCCTGGCTCATATAAAATGCAGGTTTTAATTCAATGTGCTGGATAGAGAAACTTGGCCTTTTATTACAAGTATAGATATTAACAAGTACAGATATTACAGTGATATAGTATTAAACAAGCTCACAATTATTTTTTCCTTTCCTCTTGTTTTGATCTAATTTAAAACCCTAGCGTTTTCTATCCTGGGCATAAATGGAGAACGTTTTGTTTGTACTCTGCTAAGCCTCTTTCTGCAGAATCTGACTCTCACGACTGCCTCTAGGGTGGCAGGATGTCCCTGTGCTGAGTTCTATCCACTGATGCTGCAGACAAAATAGTGTGCAGGATGAAGCGCACTCAGTGTATAATTGACTTTTGGTTTGCCGCTGCGAGTGCTCAAACATCCCTGCTTAGTGCAGTGTGCAAAATCTTAGGGGTCAGAACAGCCAAAGCAAGGCTGAATGCAGAAAAGCTCTCACATATTAACAACAACAATAATAATTTATTATTTATACCCCGCCCATCCAGCTGGGCTTCCCCAGCCACTCTGGGCGGTCTCCAACAAAGTATTAAAATACAGTGGTCTGTTAAACATTACAAGCTTCCCTAAACAGGGCTGCCTTCAGATGTCTTCTAAACGTCTGATAGTTGTTGTTCTCTTTGACATCTGGTGGGAGGGCGTTCCACAGGGCAGGTGCCACTACCCAGAAGGCCCTCTGCCTGGTTCCCTGTAACTTGGCTCCTCACAGTGAGGGAACCACCAGAAGGCCCTCAGCGCTGGACCTCAGTGTCCAGGTAGAATGATGGGGGTGAAGATGCCCCTTCAGGTATACTGGACTGAGGCCATTTAGGGCTTTAAAGGTCAGCACCAACACTTTGAATTGTGCTCGGAATTGAAATGTGCTGGGAATTCCCTGGACAATCAAGTACCTGTATTTGCTGTTCTGTCATGAATTTCTTCACCACTTTTGATGTGTGACGGGGGGCTAGATCCTGCTGCAATATCCCAGCACTGTCAGGATACCTCTTTTCCAGCTCTCAAATAACTCTCTTTCGTAGAACCTCAGTATATTGTGGTGAGTGCATCATTCCTTCTATTGGCTGCAGACTTCCGACGCTATAATGACCAGCTGACTTCTTGTGTTTGTTTTGAGTACAGGATTACGAGTAAGATAGAAAACATGCTTTGTTTCAATTAATTTGCACAAGGGTGTACAGTAGAAGGGAGAAATTGATAACTTTTTTGCATTGCTCAGTATTTGCTCAGTACACTCTTGAAATATTCCCCCCTTTAAATAGAGAATTTATTTTTTCCCAGTAGGAAGAAGGAGTTGTTACATACCCTTCACCCTAATGCGAAGGGTTCCGTTTAATACCTAGTGTTTTCAGCTCCTTGCCTTTCTGAAACATTTATCTACCAATTACACTGAAATTTCCCAGACCCCTGTTGCCTGGTTAAAGATGAACATTGGGGAAAAGACTGAGCAAAAACAATGTCAGGGTTTTTGAGTGAAAGGTGAGTGGGAAAAGTCCACAGCTTGTCTCTCAACTGATATGTTCTGAAAAGAGAACAGGGCTGGGGCTCGGATATCAGAAGTTGTCGCTAAATGGGCATTATGGAACAGAGTGGGATCATTGCAGGAAAACGGAAGTGGCGAAGCTTAGCAAAACAACCAGAGTGTTTGCCTAAGTTGAGTTTTTGACAGATCTTTTAAACTGAACATACCAGAGAAAGGATACATTGTCCGCGTTCTTGCGAACCTTTCAAAGCAGCTTCAGTTTATGCAGGAATGGTCCTTTGCAACAACTCCCTAAGCAATTATGTACTGTTCCTGTGTAACAGTTTCTTATAGGAATGGTTAGCTTTGGTTTCCTCCAGCCCCTCTCCTTCCTTACCTAACAAGGATGGAGAAAAATATCCTCAAGGCAATAGGAAAGGAGAGGGTGGGATGAGGCTGAATGGAGCCAGAGGGCTATATAAGCCATTCAGGAGAATTGTCAGCAGGGCCTAACCTTCCCTAAGTTGGGCCAGGCCTCTTCCTTGAATATTCCAATTTCTTTTATTTTTAAAAATAAGGTTTTCAGTCCCTTTACAGACGGGAATATAAGGGGAAACATACAGCCAGCATTCAGCCCGATTTCCCAGGAAACAGGACATTTACACCTTCCAAGTTTTGGGGCAATGAATGCCAGCACAACAGGGCTGGCTCTGTCATTGAGCAGAGTGAGGTAGATACCTCAAGCAGCAGCGCTGAGGGCCAGCAGTAGCAGCTCCCTCCTGCCATTCCTCTCCATTGGAGGACAGAACTGGGGGCACCATGCCACCAGCTCTGTGCACTAGCCAACTTCTGTCTGGGGGTGGAGAATGCTGTCTTTTCAGTGTCACACATTTGACTACCAGCTAGGTCAGCTTCTCCACGTGGACCCATGAGAGGGCGCCATTATGTTTTTCGCCTCAGGCAGCAAAACCTCTTGTGCCACCCCAGACTGGCGGCAGAAGGAGCGAGAAGTACTTGTCCTCTTAAAAATAAATAAATAAATGGAAAGTAATTTACGCTGTAGCATCCTGCACATGTCTACTCATAAATAACTCCTGCTGCAGTCAAGGAGATTTACGACCCACGAAGTTCTACTAGGGGTTTGGAACACCCCACTTCCCAGGACCACATACCCTCAGAAGTGCCATTTCAGGGGGCCCCTGCCAGTGGTAGATGGAGCCAGAGGTAGTTAGGGTCAAATTCGACTGGACTTAACTGTCCAGGGTCCTTTACCACCACACAAATCCTTCCATCCATCTCTCAGTCTAATTAAATAAGTTGTTTCTGGTCATCACAGGAGTGTTTAGAGTTGAAATGTTTCTGTTGCGAACTTTATAAAATGATGAAACAGGAACTGAACTTTACACAAAACTGTGGACCTCTTACTACAATTGTACTGAGCATGGCAGCTGCCCTAAATTTCAATTTTCTGCCAGTGTTTCCCTGAACTACCTCCCTCTATGAAGCCACTTCCTACTGCCAGAAAAAGGGTTTTCTGCTGTAGTTAACAACATGATTTGAAATCATGTCATAGGTTTTAAATACTGCCTGCCTGCCCCCACTCTAATTGCTATGGGGGGGGGGAGAACTGGGATGATTTTCACCAGTATTTCAACTTGGGAGGGAAGCTGTGAATCTCCTTGTTCCATGTGATGCATTGCTTAGGATAATGTATCCCTCCTAAAAATCTTGGTGTTTATTTTTTTTAAATCCTCAATGTGATTGGAAACCACAGCATCATGTAATGTGTACAGTGGTACCTCGCAAGACGAATGCCTCGCAAGTAAAAAAAAAGGGTTTTTTGTTTTTTGAGCTGCTTCGCAAGACGATTTTCGCTATGGGCTTGCTTCGCAAGACGGAAACGTCTTGCAAGTTTGTTTTCTTTTTCTTAACACCGTTAATACAGTTGCGACTTGACTTCGAGGAGCAACTCATAGAACGCGGTGTGGTAGCCTTTTTTGAGGTTTTTAAAGACTTTGGTGATTTTTGAAGCTTTTCCAAAACTTCCCCGACACCGTGCTTCGCAAGGCGAAAAAAATCGCAAGATGACAAAACTCGCGGAATGAATTAATTTCGTCTTGCGAGGCACCACTGTACTTAGGTCCAAAGTGTGTGGGGTTGGGGATGGAATGTCGCACAATGATCTTTACTGCTTAGTGAAGGAACCCTGTGGAGATTTCAGTATCCCACCAAGGAAGGAGGTAAAACAAAAAGGAGCTGTCCAATGAAACTAGTTGCTCCAGTTTGGCTATGAGCTGCTTTCTCTACATCTCAGGGCAAACTCCAGCAGAGGAGGGAAATCATAAAGTTCTCTCTCACACACACAGGAAAGAGAGAGAGACAGACAGAGAAGAGGACATATTTATAGTCTTCCCCCATTCAAGCATTCCACTGATTTCACTCCATCTTGCTGCTTTTTCAAAGCTATTTTTGGCCTTCTTGGCAAGGAATGTCAGGGTTTTGTTTTCCAATTAAACAGATTCACACCCTCCAGGCCTTAAGTAGCTTTGCTATTTTTGTCTGTCATGGATAGTGAGAAATGGCAATCTCAAGCCAGTCACAAGTACATCTACAGATGTTCAACAGTTGTACAGGTACCCTATGGAAATACAGGAAGCAGGATCTCCATGGTGAGCTGTTTCTGGACTCTTCAATAAAACCTTTTATAGTAAAAAGTGCTGGAAGAGAAAAGGAACTTGGCTCTTCCCTTCTTGCCTGTCTCCACAGGTTTCTAGGATCTGAAGCAAACACAATACTCAGCCCTTCCACTTTTTCTTCTCTCCTGCCCTTTGATACATAATCATCTCCAAATATTCTGAGCATGACCACTTCATTTAGCTTGGAGGTAGTCACCCCAGCCTTCAAAGTCTATTAGAAAACTAGGCTAAAAACAGGCACAATATATTCCCAGCAGCAGGGTGTTTTGGAAGAATTATTGTTGTTTTTACTCCAATGTTTCCTCTCCAGGGTTGAGGAAAGAAAGAAAGAAAGAAAGAAAGAAAGAAAGAAAGAAAGAAAGAGTTTTGCATGGTGCTGATTGGCTGGCCAACCCTGTTGCCATCACAAAATCTCCTCCTAAAAAAGAAAGTTTCCATTTATTATTGTTCTAATCAGCACCATCAAGACAAGCAAATAAGTTGTACACATACATATGACATTTAAAAACACACAACATCAACAACAAAGAATGAGAATGCAGGCTCACCTATTAGTCTTCACTAATGCAAGTTTGTTGGCTGAGTTAGCATTTGATTCACTGGTATGCACATCTGACATTTCAACTGTGACGTTTGGAGTGTTGGAGAAAAGCAAATATATTTCCTTCTCTGAAGCTTCTAGTAAATGCATGTGTTACTTTAAACCACCAGAGGGCAATCCTTGTGTAGCAATCCAGCCAACACTTGTTTGTAAGCCTCTGTCTAAGTTAACTCCACCCCTAGAAGCTGAGCCATTTTGTTTATTGTTCTCTTCCAACTTGTTGAGACAAGATGTCTGCTATTTCTTTCATTACTATTCACCCTGTAAATATTTCCTGCATGAATAAAGCCTTTGAACTCTATAAATTGTAAGTGATTATTCTGCTCTAATTCACTCAAGCTGCAAGGTCTGCTAACATGGAGAAAGTCAAATTCACACCAAGCCAGAGGGATCCCTATTTTAGCTCAGATTTTATACTATTTCTGCCTTCTCACAGCTCTTCACTTAGTACAAATAGTGACTGTTTTTTATCGTAACAGAAAAGGCATGTAACTGAAATCTTGCATTGATGTGCACATTACACTAAAAAAATGATAAATGCTTTCGAGTTGTGGTTCAGGTGATGTTTTGTTTGTAGGTGTAAGATGTTGGCTTGCAACTGATGGGCTTTGACCCACAATTTACTTAATTTGAGTTGTGCTGGTGATACTAGGTTAATCTTCTGGAGACTGAAGGAGACAGAGAAAGCATAACAACAAAAAAGAAGACAAATCGAAAGGGGGAAAGGATGAATCTACACAGACAGAAAGAAAGATGGAGTAAAATGTATAGTATCTGATTAAAAAAATAAAATTGGATTCCAAGTTCCTGGTTGGAGCGTAGGAAGGTTTTGGAAATAGAAAGGTTGGTGTAAGAGAAGGCAAGCTATTGAGTTGCAAAGTTGTTGTTGTTGCTGGAAACCTACCCAGTAAGACTTTTGTGTTACCCAGTCAAGTATCCGCTGATCAAGCAGGAGATATCACAGTACATTTTTTATCATTCTCTTGGATTCTCTATGCTTTAGTCATTGTTTTTTAATTCCTGTGTTTGTGTCCCTTTCCTGCCTTATGCCTCCCTAATAAAAATCTTGGGGAGTTCTACAACATGCATTTGCAGTAGCAAGCCAAAAGATCTCACACTGACATCCAACAGGCACTTGTGAGATCCAAGTATCCCATGAAAATGAACAGAGACAAATTATTCTTCTGCTTGAACTTGGCCTTCAGAAACGGGACATGGTGTTGTGAGGCCAGGTTTCACTAAGATCATGGTCTGTTGTGAGACTCTTGCCACTGGTTCCTTTCAAATTTAAATTGCAAAGCTTCCCAGATGTTCTGAATGACTGAAACCCATCTCAGCAATTGGTTCGTGGACTTGCAACAACTCTTGAACTCGTTACCCTCACACGACCATCCTGTTATCAAATACCTGTGCTTCTAGTGACTAAGAGATGGAGCTTTTGGACCAAGGCGTTCGCAGCTCCAAAACTCACCCCAGTCATGAATTCACCAGGTGGCTTTAGGTGAGCCATCGTCTTTCCACCTCAGCCTCTGCAGTATATGTCTATATGCAATATGACGTACAACCTCAAAGGGTTGTGGTGATCCGCGAGCTGCTGAGATAATATATCTGAAGCACTCTGAGCATTCTTAACTGCTGTATAAATGTTGAGCGTGTATTAGTATAAGGCCACTCATTTCGCAGGCTGTACATGTTATTCTCACATAAATCAACGTGGGAATAACAAATGTACAGCATGTGTAACTAATGAACTTATCCCATTATTTGTTTCATTTAGAGTGCTTAAGAGCTCCTTTGGTTTGAAAGATGAAAGGGAACCCTAGTTGTATAACATGTAACAAATTAAAATCTCTCTGGAGGAGAGACTAACCATGAGACATTCAATTTTCCGTCCTAAATTAACTGCCTGATGCCAAACCCATTATAGCTTATGAGTGTGTGAAGGTACATAATACCATTTTTTGAAGTCAAAGGCAAATTTGCTGCCAATAATACGCAGAGCTTTTGAAAGGCTGTAATTCCTCATTTAACCAATGCCAGTTGCAAGTACTTGGTGCTAAGGAATAATCCCTCCATGCCAAATAAAATACAGAGTAAGTCTGTGGTGCAGTTGTCAGCATATTGTTAGTTACAGGCTGAGTGACAGAAAGCATTCGGCAGGGAAGATAAATGTCTCCAAGTTGCCTGCCAAGTTCACTGAAAAGGGCCTTTTCTTCGACATTCTTTTCGGGGTGGAAAAATCTTTCCTGTTTTCATTCCCCCAGCAAACATTTAATGAGCTGTGTTTTACAAACCCATTAGAAGGGCTGTCTTAAACTGGCCATAAGGCATTTGAAACATCTCTCTTTCTGTCCTGATCTATGTCACAAACTATTGGAAATGATACATTTTTCACAGGGAGAGTGTAAGCAACATGTGGCTGTTACAGACAGTAAGAGCAGCAGGGTCAGGTTAGACTAAAGGTCCATCTAGTCCAGGGGTAAGCAACCTAAGGCCCATGGGCCACAAGCAGTCCATGGGGGTCATTTAACCGGCCTACGAGCCACCCCCGAACCAAGCTGCCCGCTTGGCTAGTCCCAGCGCACTGTGCTAAACTGGCACAGCGCGGTGCGGGGACTCGTATCCAGGGTGCCAGAAATCGTGTCTGCGCAGATGCCGGAAATCGCAGGTGCACACACGATCTGGCCCATAGAGGGATCTCTGCTGGAGTGAACCGGCCCAGGCGAGGTAAACCTTGCTGACCATAGATCTAGTCAGTTGGATGCTTGCAGGAAGTCTGTAAGGAGAACATGAAGCCAAGCTGTTGTTTGCACTCAGCACTGGGCATTCAGTGCTATATTGACTCTGAACGTTGAGGCTCTGCTTGACTTGGACTACTGCAATGCGCTCTACGTGGGGCTACCTTTGAAGGTGACCCGGAAACTACAACTAATCCAGAATGCGGCAGCTAGACTGGTGACTGGGGGCGGCCGCCAAGACCACATAACACCGGTCTTGAAAGACCTACATTGGCTCCCAGTACGTTTCTGGGCACAATTCAAAGTGTTGGTGCTGACCTTTAAAGCCCTAAACGGCCTCGGCCCAGTATATCTGAAGGAGCGTTTCCACCCCCATCGTTCTACCCGGACACTGAGGTCTAGCTCCAAGGGCCTTCTGGCGGTTCCCTCACTGCGAGAAGCCAAGTTACAGGGAACCAGGCAGAGGGCCTTCTCGGTAGTGGCGGCCTCCCTGTGGAACGCCCTCCCACCAGATGTCAAAGAGAACAACAACTACCAGACTTTTAGAAGACATCTGAAGGCAGCCCTGTTTAGGGAAGCTTTTAATGTTTGATGTATTACGGTATTTTAATACTTTGTTGGAAGCCGCCCACAGTGGCTGGGGTAGCCCAGCCAGATGGATGGGATATAAATAAATAATAATAATTTTATTATTATTATTGTTATTATTATTATTATTATTGACTGTCATGTCCAGTAACCAATGATAGACTGATCTAATAGCTCCCTTAAAAGCCAGCAGAGCCAGAAACCATTGCCACTCCATGTGACATTTTGTACATGTTTATCCCATTGCCATCTGTTTTTTTTAAAAAACTAAAAAGCTCTACATGTGTTAGATCCCCCCCCCACAACATTTCCTATTTATAGACACATCTGCCATTATTGTGCGGAAATTGATAGTATCACAAGAGTAAAGAATATATCCACACTTATTTGTTTCGTTTATGCCACACAGCTGTAAAATGACCATAAAAGTTTAGGATAACAACAACAGCAACTGCAGCAGATCACATTTTGCTTTGTCACGGTACCATTTCTCTGAGGAATGCTTCATATCCCCAGTATTTTGATAACTCTAGGTTACATAGGAGCCAACTTCTGGGGGCTGAGGTCCATTCGCCCCTCCCCATAAAATATTTGAGAGGGCCAGGCCTTGCCAAAGCTGATAGGCATTGCCATTCAAAAGGTGTACACATTGCCCATCAATTGATCACATTGTCATGTGATCAATTATGCAGGGGAGGGCTTATCTGCCCACCAATATTTTACTCAAGGCACCCCTCCTAGGTTATCAACTAATTTATTTAAAAAGCCAATATCAAACAATATTTATGTAATAACAAGATACAGTATGAGAACAGAGAACAAGGGCAAAACCGCATTAGAGGTGGTTGCACTAGGCCAGGGGTCAGCAAACTTTTTCAGCGGGGGGGGGGGGCGGACTATATATTGAAAAAAAATATGAACGAATTCCTATGCCCCACAAATAACCTAGAGATGCATTTTAAATAAAAGGACATGTTCTACTCATGTAAAAACATGCTGATTCCCGGACTGTCCGTGGGCCGGATTGAGAAGGCGATAGGGCTGCATCCGGCCCCCGGGCCTTCGTTTGCCTACCCCTGTACTAGGCCAAGACATGTTTCAAAAACTTTCTTAGAATTTCACAAGGTGTGTTGTTTTGCTTTAAGGTGTCCAGCCCAAATAGTCTCTCTGAGGTGTCCCAGTAGAGAAGGGAGGATGAAGGCAAGATGCACCAGTAAGGAGTTTTCCTGACGCAAATGTAGGGAGATCTAGATTGGGAGGGCATAAATTATTATGCAAAAGCATCTATATTTGTACTGTTTTCCGGTGTGTGAGTGAGCTGTTACACAAGAAGTCCTTTCCCTCTTCATCCTCTAATAGCTTTCCTTTCAAAACAATACTTTTAATTTTAGGCAACAACTGGAAACCCTTTCTTTTAATTTCTAGGCCCAGTATCATCTTGATCTGGGGCCAGTGTGGTACAAGAACTTAGGGCAAAAAGTTCAGTCTTCTTGTTCTAGGTTAACCATGACACTTGGCAATTCAACAGGTCCATACGTTTAGAAATGTGCTACAGGAATATGTAAGGTAAAGGTAAAGGGACCCCTGACCATTAGGTCGAGTCACGGACAACTCTGGGGTTGTGGTGCTCATCTCGCTTTATTGGCTGAGGGAGCCGGCGTACAGTCATGTGGCCAGCATGACTAAGTCGCTTCTGGCGAACCAGAGCAGTGCACGGAAACGCCGTTTACCTTCCGGCCGGAACGGTACCTATTTATCTACTTGCACTTCGTGCTTTTGAACTGCTAGGTTGGCAGGAGACAGGAATATGTAGACAAGAGTAATTTCGTTTTATGACTTTGAAACCCAAAGCTAAAAACAATGAGAGAAGGAAGAGAATTGAGAGAGAGAATTGGGATTGCATCAAGTTTCAGGTGAGAATATTGGTTATTGTTTCAGTCAGAATCTGGACCTCTGTATTCTTGACCAGGGGAATACGAGAGTGTGGGGATAAGTTTGTTGGACGTTCCCAGCTAGTTGAGAAAACAAGGACACCCAGGACACTCATGAATCTGAGAGGAAAGCAGAAGCTTGAAATTTTCATCACAGATTTATAGTTTTATTGTGCTTGTACATCAGAGAAGGGAACTTTCCTGATACCAACAAGATACTCCCCAAATACCATCCAGTTCTGTTCTCCCTGCTGCTGCCACTACTTCCAGTAGTGCCGATCTTTTGGTGCAAAAGGATGGGCTACATGCCAATGGGCAAAGAGTAGGGGGCTGGGGCTGCCAGGCCTTGGGATGTGTGAATAGAAGTTTCGGGTTTTCAGTCTCCTCCTCAGGGTAATCCAGGGAAAGGAGTAAACAAGGAGTCGGAAATGTGAGGGTGCAGGCTATGTTCTGCCTGGGGATGGAAATATTTTGCTTCTCTCTCTCTCCTGCCTCTGCAGTGTCCCTCATGTTCTCCCATGAGACAAGGTGAGGCAACTGCCTTGGGTGGCAGGATCCACATGAGCAGCTGAGGCTCGCTCCTTGGAGGCTGGATCTGCTGTAGCTCCCCCCTCAATGCCACCTCTACAGTGGCTTCTTGTCGAATAGGAGTCACTGCTTTTCTCCACATCCTTGTTCTTGATGTACGGTAGATCTTTATTCCGCCCTCATTCCCAATGTAGATCTTCACTTACCTCTTCTTCCCTGGCAGAGAGGGGTGCCATTTTGTGGTTTGCCCTGGTGCCAAAATTTATTGGGCCAGCCTTGCCCCAGAGGCACCAGGCTCGGCTGGTCTCGTCCCTTGACCCACCCAGGAGCAGACCCAGACGATTCATGATGCACATTTAAAGCACACAACTTTGCCGGAATGGTGGTGGCAACTGCAGTTTGCTAAGGCTGCTGGAAACGGTAGTTCTGTGAGGGGGAAATTACAGTTCCCAGGATGCTTTGGGGGATGTAATGCATTTTAAATGTATATTGAATATGTTTTAAATGTATTGTGTGGACTTGCAGATAGTGTCAAAGTGATCTCTTCATTCTGTCCTTATTCTTCCAGGTCTCCTTTCTGCAATAATATTACATCTCTTCACCCTGCAATTGGTGGTTCCCATCAGAATTCTTATAGACCCCATTTTCTTTTTTAAAATACATTTTTCCTTTAAGAATAACGTGTGCTCCCTGACTCCAGCACACTGAAAAATCTTTTTGTGCATTTGTTTCTCCCTTCATTCCCTTTGAATTGTATGGTAAGCTAGGAGAAACTGTTGCAATAAGGAGCTACGAGGTTTGAGGTTCGTCATCTCCCCTCATTTATTTCTCAGTTCTCAAGCTATCAGCACTCTTATCAGGGCTAATGCTTGTATACTTCCACAGAAAAGGCAGTACACAGGGATAAAAACCCCACACAATTCTGCAGTATATATGTGATTCAATGGAAAGATATCCAGGAAGCAGATTAGAAGACGGTTGCTTTTACTAATGAATTGGTCACCAAAGGTTGTTTTTTTATTTTTTAAATGGTATAGATCACTCAGACAGGGAGGGAGATCTATATGTAAAGTGCAATAGCTTGAAGCCCTTGTGTGGAAATGGTCGATGAAAAGCAGATATAAATTCAATGCCAGTTTCTTAATCCTCACAATCTGTGGTGATGTTTGGCCCTTCTGCAAGGTGGCAACATGCAGTTATATCAAAGAGGGCACTATCCAACTTTTAAGTGCCATGAATTCCAGAGGAAGAGATGTGTGCATGCCAACTTGTGCTATTGAAATTAATGGGACTCAGAATGTGCTCTGCTTTGACTGGATGATGCCCCCACTTTTTACTCTGAAATTATTCCTCAGTTGTTTGTGGAATTGCATAGATAAAGCACAGACCGTTCTCAACAGTACTAATATTATGAGCCATTCTGGAAATAGTCATACTGAAGGGGAGCATATAAATCTATGAAACATACAAATTAAATTAAATTAATACAAATAATAATTACTCCATCTATTTTTCTACAGGGAATTATGTTTTAAACAGCAGTCTTTGGAAACGTATATTACTCATCCTTGAGATTTAGAATCTCAAGATGGTCATTAGATTTCTGGCAGGAACCCAGGAACAATACGTTCCAAATATTCGTCATACCCAAAGGTTAAGAGATGTGAGATGTGAGTGTATTAGCTAAATGTGAAATCCATTTGTTGTTCATGATGGGTTAAAGTTTCCATCTCTGGGGTAACATTCCAGAGAAAGTGCTTTGCAAAGCCTCTGTTTGCTTACTCCCAAGGAATTACATTGACTTCAAAAAGATGTTAAGTTTCACTCCAGTCTTACTCATCTGTACAGAACTTCTTAGATGGCAATGCTGGAGTAATGAATGTTTGGCGCGCCACAATAATGTGCCATGTTACTTGGAGACAGCAGTTGCTGTGCTCTCTCCCAGTGGTTTTCAACTTTTCCGAGTCCACAGCTCCCTCAACCGACCACATTCTTTCTGCGGCGCCCCTGTGGAAACCACTTACCCTGGGGTTCCAGTAAAGAACGTGTGCAAGTGGGGATTTTCCTGTTCCGCCCCTACCCTTTTTGCCCCAGCCATTTTTCAGCGCCATTTTTGACACGTACGTAAGTGGGAGCGCATGTGTTGATGGGAACCCAAACAATGTCACGGCTCTGTGGGGCCGAGTTGATGCACTCCACATGGCAGCCCCAGCCTGCCTTTCCCAAAATTAGTGTGCACATGGTTTTGGGTGGGGAACTTACTTGCTGGCGCACACATCAATAAACCAATGGTTGTGGTATACAGTGGTACCTCGGGTTGCAGACGCTTCAGGTTACAGACTCCGCTAACCCAGAAATAGTACCTCAGATTAAGAACTTTGCTTCATAAATTGCGCGGCGGTGGCCCAGCGGTGGCAGCGGGAGGCCCCATTAGCTAAAGTGGTGCTTCAGGTTAAGAACAGTTTCAGGTTAAGAACGGACCTCCAGAACAAATTAAGTTCTTAATCCGAGGCACTACTGTATTCTGATAGCTTCACTTGCCAATTGTTCTGCTCAGTCTACAACCACTGGACCAACCACTATCTGGTGTGTTGGCAGTGGCAGCGGCAGCAGGGGGCAACCTTAATATTTGACTCAAATAATCCAGGATTAGTTATGGTCTTGACCTTGGACTGTCATTAATTCCTGCCTCTGAGAAAAAAAACGGCTTTCATATCTGTGGAGGGCTTCATGTTCAGGTTTGGCTTGGCTTTCACCAGTAGCTGACACGATTAATTTTCGTATCTACATATATCATTTCTCTGTGTTTTTCTTTCTTTCTGGAATTTACACTTTCCAAATTCAATCAGTATTCGATCAATATTGAGGTCTCTGAATCATCCCTTTACCAACTGCCATGTGACTTTCACCTTTCCTCAATGTGATTGATTGATTGATTGATTGATTGCATTTATTGCCCTCATTTTCTCCATGGAGCTCAAGGTGGTTTACATGGTTCAACCCCCTCCTCTTTTAATCCCCACAACCACCCTGTGAGGTAGGTTAAGATGAGAGTGAGGGACTAGCCCAAGGTCACCCAATGAGCTTCAGGGTCAAGGGGGGATTGGAACCCTGGTCTTCCAGGTCATGACATGTGTTATAAGTTTCCCTCCCCTCCAAGTGCCAGCTGATAAAGCTGAGTGATTTTGTTCAGAAGGAAGCCCGTCCAGTTCCATGGGGCTTATTATGTCTGAGTTAGTGTACTGAAATGTATGTAAGATTGCAGCCTTAAAGGTAAAGGGACCCCTAACCATTAGGTCCAGTCGTGGCCGACTCTGGGGTTGCGGCGCTCATCTCGCTTTATTGGCGGAGGGAGCTGGCGTACAGCTTCCGGGTCAGGTGGCCAACATGACTAAGCCACTTCTGGCGAACCAGAGCAGCGCACGGAAACGCCGTTTACCTTCCCGCCGGAGTGGTGCCTATCTATCTACTTGCACTTTGACGTGCTTTCAAACTGCTAGGTTGGCAGGAGCAGGGACCGAGCAATGGGAGCTCACCCCGTCACGGGGATTGCAGCCTTAGGCGTAGTCATATCCAGTGCTTTTTTTCCTTAAAAAAAAATGTTTAGGGGTACTCTCATTTTGACTCAAGAAAACCACAATTTTATAGTTCAGATCAGGAAAAATAAATATAGCAAATGGACAAAAGTACAGTCGTACACTGGAAGTTGAACGGAATCTGTTCCGGAAGTCCGTTTGACTTCCAAAACGTTCGGAAACCAAATCGTGGCTTCTGATTGGCTGCAGAAAGCTCCTGCAGCCAATCAGAAGCCCCGGAAGCCCCGTTGGACGTTCAGGTTCCAAAAGAACGTTTGCAAACCAGAACAATCAGTTCCTGGTTTGTGGCATTCGGGAGCCAAAACGTCCCAGTTCCAGGGCGTTTGGGATTCAAGGTACGACTGTACAAAGATTCACAAAATGTTTAGGGGTTTGCGTACCCCTGTGTCCCCCCAGAAAAGAAGCACTGGTCATACCCATTGACAACAGGCTAATAATCTCCGTATAGCTCATTCACCATACAAATTTCAGAGAGCTAATTTGGGACTAGTCAAACGATTTCCAAGTGTCCTTGACTCCAGATCTGCAGATGTGGGAGGGGGGAACAGGAGACCTTGGCAGCAAAGGGCAGAACGGTCTCCATCGAGTTTCAGAACTATTTATCTGAAAATGGCAAGGCCATTAAACTGCAGGAAAGCAACAAATAAGATTTTGCCCTGAACACTCTAATTTCAAAGAAACCAAAGAGATCCACCATACCAGCACGAGATGAAAGAGTCTTTATTCTTCATCCGTGGAATGTGTTGAGCTGCTTGTCTGCATTGAAAGACTAATGGAGCCTGGAATGCAATAAGCAGTCTCAGGTTGTGTTGTTATTGGATCTCGTGCCTTCATTTCTTGAGTCCTAGTCAAGACAGATTTTGCCAAAGGGACCCATAAAGCATATTAGTGGTTCAGAGCTCACTTTCTAAATGAAAATCCGCTTACGGTTCCAACAAGATCTTGGTATTATCCTGGGAACCTGCCTCATTTAAGCAAATAAGATTCATTTCTGTTCTTTTATATAATAAGAGTGTTGCCTTTGGTGGCCTGACCCTTTGCTCCAGCTCGTATTTATGTCTTTCATTACCCTGTAACACCCAATCAGTGCTGGTGAATTACAGCATTGCTGCTCTCTTCCTGGCTATTTGCAGAGTTGGCAAGGAAGGTGATCTGGAGCCAAACATTCTTGCGTTTGTGAACTGAGCATTTGAATGACATGCAGATGGAATCTTTATTAAAATGAGATTTTGTTTTTGTTTATCTGCGAATCCAGCTGGCAATGGCATTTCTGTATGACACATGCAAGTCCCTGGTGGTTCCTACAAAACAAGTCAAAATGAATTTCCAGCTACAGTTAACCCAGGTTTAAGTAATAAGGGAACATCCTAAAAGCAGATCTAGGATGAAATGACCAAAGGTATTTCTTCTTCTTCTTTGGCGATCACTCGTAGCCGAGTAAGGTTGTCTTCCATAAACACGGTTTTAGCAATGAGTCCGTAAGTGACATTGGAGGCCAATTCTGGATCCACATGTCCTTCCACAGTGGGGACATTGTTTTCCAGTTGGGAGTTGATCACGGTGTGGATTTGCCAAGCGTGCCTTCCTCTTAGCATGTTTCTCCCTTGCGTCCTGAGTTCGAGTGTCTTCAAAGCCCATGACACCTTTGGTAAAGGCTGTTCTCCAATTGGAGCCCTCGCAGGCCAACGTTTCCCAGTTGTCAGTGTTTATACTACATTTTTAAGATTTGCCTTGAGACAGTCTTTAAACCTCTTTTGTTGACCACCAGCATCACACTTTCCAATTTTAAGTTCAGGGTAGAGGAGTTGCTTTGGAAGATGATCATCAGGCATCCGCACAACATGACCAGTCCAATGCAGTTGATGTTGAAGAATCATTGCTTCAACACTGGTGATCTTTGCTTCTTCCAGTACACTGATATTAGTTTGCCTGTCTTCCCAAGTGATGTGTAAAATTTTTTGGAGACACCGTTGATGGAATCTTTCGAGGAGTTGGAGATGGTGTTTATAAGTGGTCCATGTTTCACAAGCATATAGTAAGGTTGGTAGTACAATAGCTTTGTAAACAAGCATTTTGGTTTCCATGGATTAATTTAGTCATGTGCCTGCCAGGTTTAGCCGCAAAATCTGGTAGTACCTGTCATAGGATGACTGGATAGAAAATCTATATACAAGACAGGGCTCTCATCTTAAGGTTTTAAAGCCTTTTAACTAAATAATCAGTTAACTGATTGATTAAATAAATGTACATATTACCAAAACCTGAATATAGGGACCTGTTCAAGTTACTGTCAATCTTGTAGCTATTAAAAGCACAGGAGCCCTGCCAGAAAAAAGTTGGCAGCTCAGCTGGAGAATTTTGCTTGGCAATTAATCATTTCCACCCATTATGATTTGAAATTATGACTTGACGTGGTTGCCCCCAGCCCCCACCCCTCAGCCGAAGGTTGATTAGCAGTATGTGTCCCTCGACTTTGCTTCCATCCTACATCTTAAGCCTTGCTTTTCTACAGAGATTTCCTTCTGGGTTATGAGGTCACTGTGTTCCCAGAATGTCATAATTTATTTGCGCGTATCTTGCAGATTGTAAAATCATGTGTGCGGTATTCGCCAGAATTCTTTATATGCTCTATACTTCACGTTTTATAACGGCTTTAATAGGAATGGGATGCTGCCCCATGGTAAATTGTGGCGACCACAACAATTGCCGCAAAGGAGGAAGCTATGGGAGGAATTTAACAGATCTTTCTGTAGTTTGTGAGTGAATCTTTTCAGGCACAGCGTTGCACATCTGGACTTTGACCATGACCGACTGCCAGATTCCTCTCAGTTCATCCCCACTCCGCTCTCATATTGCTGCTTTTATCATATCTCTGTCACTGCAGCTTGCCCTAGCCTTAAAACAGCCAGTAAATCAAGGGCATCCTTCTGGAAGCTGGGGCACCGTGTTCAGTCTTGTGATGTGGGATCAGCCATGTGGATCATCTGGCGCAGAGTGATGTACAGGGCTGGCAGAAGTAGGCAGCTGTAGTGAACATATGGGATGCCACCATGGGGCTTTGTGAACAGCCCTTAGACGCCCATGGTGGCATGTTCCATGCACTCGCTAGTCTCTCCATCTGTCTGTCTATCACTGCCTGTGAACCAAACCAAGCCTAAGTTAGAATGTATATTAAAGAAGAAAAAATGGGATGTCATGTGTATACAAGAAACACGTATATCCAAAACACATGTAAGGGTGTTAAAAAATATGAGACTAGGACAGGAATATTTAGCATCTGGACCGGAAAGAAAGAGGGAGTGGTCATCTATGTAAATACAATGTTGAAATCTCAAATGTTATTCCAAGATGATGAAGGTAGAGTACTTGGAGTAGAAATACAAACAAAAGAAGGGAAAATCATAGTGGTGGGAATATATGCTCCGAATAGTAAAAAGATGATTTTTTTAGAAAATTGGAAGAGAGATTATGGGATAATGTGGACGAAAATATAGTAATTATGGGAGATTTTAATGGGGTGACATCGATAGAAATGGACACAACGCAAAGAGACAAAATGTTGAGTTCAGGTAGATTACCACTCGCCTTTTTCCACTTAATTGAGAATTTTAATTTATATGATGCCTGGAGAACAAAAAATCCAAGTGCTAAAGACATAACCCATTACTCGGAGGTGAAAAAATCTGGAGGACGAATCAATATGGCTATCAAAAACGTTGATGTTGAGTTTAGAAAAAGCAGAGATACTGAATAGATCGATATCAGCCTAAATGATACAAATGACTTTGTTGCAACCTGAGTAAAGCATGCAAGATTTTGCAAAACAGGGAAACTGCATTATAATGATCAAGGAACACACAAAGAACAACTAGGTTTATAGCCAGCCGTTTCTAGTAGTTACAGAGTCTTTTTTTTCATTTCCTGGGGCAAAGGAAGCACATTCATTTTGTAACAACTGCTGGGGGGGGGGGGATTTTACAGGGAAAGAGCAATGTCCTTTTTATATTTTATTTATGATTTTCAGTTTTATACATTTCAATAATTTTACAATCATTTTAACATTTCAAAGCTCGACTTCCTTCCCCCTCTTTCTGCGGTTCCTTAAATTTATTTTTAATGTTTTCTGCATATCCAAGTTCACTTAATTTGCTCATTTATCCATCTACTTTAAATATATACTCTTATAAAACCGCAGGTTATTCCAATAATCCTGCCAATGTTCTTATCTGTAAATATTCCATGAATCATTTCCATTGTTTTATAAAAAGTTTGTTATCTTGATTTCTTATTTTTCTGGTAAGTTTAGCCATTTCTGCATACAGTGGTACCTCGGGTTATGAACTTAATTTGTTCTGGAGGTCTGTTCTTAACCTGAAACTGTTCTTAACCCGAGGCACGCTTTTGCTAATGAGGCCTCTTGCTGCTGCTGTGCCGCTGGCACGCAATTTCCGTTCTCATCCTGGGGCAAAGTTCTCAAACCAAGGTACTACTTCCAGGTTAGCGGAGTTTGTAACCCAAAGTGTTTGTAACCCGAAGCGTTTGTAACCTGAGGTACCATTGTATTCCGTAAGTTGGGAAAGAGCAACATCTGTATCACAAAAAGCAAACCATCCACTGCTCCCCCAACATTCATGCCATTTTGAAAGATGCACCCATCTCCGCCTCCCTTTTTCTGATAGAACTTTTAAAAAAGTTAATCTTGTGAAAAAGTGCACTTGAGATTTTTTTCAGAGCAAATTACAGTGGTACCTCTGATTGCGAACGGGATCCGTTCTGGAGCCCTGTTCACATCATGAGCAGAACGCAACTTGCATCTGTGCGGGTCGCAATTCACCACTTCTGCGCATGTGTGTGACGTCATTCTGAGCGTCTGCGCATGCGCGAGCGGTAAAACCCGGAAGTAACCCATTCCGTTACTTCCGGGTTGCCGCGGGACTCAACCTGAAAAGACGTAACCTGAACCGAACGTAACAAGAGGTGTGACTGTATATGCATATGATCACTGTTCCTTATCCGTGAAAAAATATCCTAAATTGGCAGCAAGAAAAGTGAATGTCAGTGCTTCCGACAAAATATACAAATCAACAGAGGGGTCCGCAAATCGCATCACAAGAGGAAACCAGAAGTTCCAGCAGAGTACAGGTTTGTGGGGAGCTTTGGCCTGCTCGATGTTGTTGAACTACAACTCCCATAAGCCCCAGCAGGCATGGCCAATGGCCAGAGATGATGGGACCTGTAGTTCAGAAATGAAGTTGATTTGGAAGTTAGACTCATCAATAAATCAGTCCTTGAACTGCTACATCACTCCCCATCTTCAGGATACCTGTATAATTTTTCCTGGGATAATCTTTATTACCCTCTTTGCTGGTATGGTGGCAGGCATGTCTTAGCAAGGTCAAAAGGTTCTGTTACACCTAGCTCAGGGGTCAGCAAACTCTTTCAGCAGAGGGCCGGTTCACTGTCCCTCAGACCTTGTGGGGGGCCGGACTATATTTTTTGGGGGGAAATGAACGAATTCCTATGCCCCACAAGTAACCCAAGGATGCATTTTAATTAAAAGCACACATTCTACTCATGTAAAAACACGTTGATTCCCAGACTGTCCGCGGGCTGGATTTAGAAGGTGATTGGGTCGGATCCAGCCCCCGGGCCTTAGTTTGACTACCCATGACCTAGCTGGAAGTGTTCCAAGATTCTCAAACATTTTCTGTATTTTTCCTCCCATCTCACAAGTCACACTCTGCCCTACCTGATAAAGTCAAATCTTTAAATGATAATTTTCAAAATAAAATAAAATCCAATCAAAGTTTAAGAAAACCGCAAATAAATGTGTGCCTGGGACACAACGGGCGGCAGGGGTGGGGATGGGGGTGTGTGAATGGGAAGATCGATCAAAGGTTTGTTGGCCTGTCTTGGGAAGTGATAAGGTTGTGTGGTGGTCAGATTTAAGTCCCTTAGAATGTGAAAGCTACCATTTCAATGAAATTATTCTTTTTTAAAAATATAAATTTATATTAGTTTTTTTAACATATCATTTTCAACAATAGTTAAACATACTGTTACCTCTTATACAATTTTTTGACTTCCATCAATCACATCTGAAAATTTTCCAATCTATTCACTTAATATACATTTCTTACTTTCACTATTACCTTTAAGTCTCATAACTAATATCTCTATTCTTTCTCTACCTTGTAATATTTCATATATTTCTCCTTACAAAACTTCTTGTAGTCCTACTAGTGCAATTGGTTGATTACAGTCGCTCTTCAAATAGTTCATATATTTCTTCCAGTTATTCTAGCTGAGCAGGTTTACTCTTCAGTGGAGCTGAGCGGCATAGGCAGTGTCTGATGTACAGGGAAATAAACAGCTGGCTTAAATAATGTGCCTAGTATCTTGCCTTCTTAGTCAAACTTTCTCCCTTAGAGCTATTCCCCTCCCAGAGAGAGTATCCATGTGAAAAATTCTAACAGGAAAGGAAAGCCACTCAAACGGTTTTCAAACACTTCCATTCACTCCAGCAGTGTTGACGATGAAAGTAAAAAAAAGGTCTGGAAAAATCAACTGTGGTAGTTTTATTAGATTAAAAGACCAAACACTTGCATGAACTGTATAATTTTCGTATTTCATTTAGCAGCTTGCAGAACATGTCTCTGCAGTTTGAAACTTGGATTTGACTTGCGGGTATGAAACAGATGCCAAGGACAAATGTCCCATTTGCCTAATAGATGAGACACCTCTCTGCTAGCAAATGTGGGGCCAATTGACTATATTTTGCTTCTTAGTAATTTCTTTCAGTCGCATAAGACTTTGATCAGTTCAGGGATCTGTGCCTTTTTAACATGATACTTTCCCCAGAAGCTGCAGTTGATTTGATTTGATTTTTTTAAACAAAGCTTATTAACAGCTGGAGAATTTGGGCAACTCTTCCAAGGCAGGCATTCTCTGTGTTTTTTGAATTTATTTTCATCCCTCTGCTGTCTTCCTCTTAGAAAGAATTTGAAAACTCAATTCAGCACAGGACAACCTGAGACTTACAGAGTATGATTCAAGACCAAACTAGACATGACACCAAATCTGCATCTTTGCATTTAACATGCAGGTGTTCTTTTTTGCTTTGTTTTTTAAAACTGCAAATTTCATCAGTGGCAGGATCTGGGCTGGGTGGCTGATAGCAGGATGAGAACAGGCATGGAGAATAAATTTAACCCCTTCCTCCTCTGCTTTGGTCCTGAAGAAAATTCTTCCTCTGAAGCTAGTACAGTCATACCTCAGGTTACAGACGCTTCAGGTTACAGACTCCGCTAACCAAGAAATAGTACCTCGGGTTAAGAACTTTGCTTCAGGATGAGAACAGAAATCGTGCGGCGGTGGCAGGCCCCACTAGCTAAAGTGGTACCTCAGGTTAAGAACAGTTTCAGGTTAAGAACGAACCTCTGGAACGAATTAAGTTCTTAACCCGAGGTACCACTGTATTTGCATTGGTTAGGAAACTTTCCAAGTCAAAAGCCTTGGGTTGAACCCATATTTTCCAGGTAAAGAATCTTGCATGATAAGACTGGGAAGGAAAGTCACTGCCAGTCTGAGTACACAGTATTGAACAAGAAAGAACCAGTTACCTTTATATAAGACTATTTCACATGTTGCATGCATCAGAATTCCCAGGTGTTAGAGCAAGATGAACAGTATAGCTGTGAGCCAGGAAATGCTATTTGAGACTGATAACCCACAACGACGTGCTTTGATATCTGCTCTCAGTTGACTGGCAAACAGAAGAATGAATGAGCAATGGGATTTTGCTTTCCCACTGAGATCAGCTGGTGTCTGTATCAGAGAGCCTTTTTTTTCTTTCAAAGGTAAAGTAAAGGACCCCTGACCATTAGGTCCAGTTGCAAATGACTCTGGGATTGCGGCACTCATCTCGCTTTACAGGCCGAGGGAGCCGGCTGTGACGTTAACATATGAGAGGGCTGGAGGTGAAATATTTAAACAAGTTACCCAATCAGAACCCAGAGGGGTGGAGTCAGAGGGACTATAAAACCAGCTCTGGGAGGGGTGAAGGGAAGAGTTCGTTGGGAGTTGGGTGGTTGGTTGGAGTGGGAGTGAATTGGGATAGAGTCTGTGGGTAGGGTGAGTTAGTGTAGTGAAATAAGCTGAGTCGGGAATAGTTAGGAGCTAGGAAGACAAGTAAATATCTGAGAGGTGGTTTAGTGAGTGAGAGCAGGTAGTGGAAGTTATAGGTCTGGATAGGCACCCCATGATTGTAATTGACCAATACTGTTTATGAAACCACATGCTTGTTAAACTGCAATAAATAAACAGAAGTTTATGTTCCAATTTAACCCTGACTGGACTTAGTATTGTACCAGGTAGGGCCTGGGTGGTGGCAGTGAGAAATAAAGTGGTGGCACAGGGATCAATATATGGTGAAACGTCCGGGGACCCTGTGTGATCGCCACACCCGTGTTTGTCCACAGACAGCTTCCGGGTCATGTGGCCAACATGACTAAGCCGCTTCTGGCAAAACCAGAGCAGCGCACAGAAATGCCATTTACCTTCCCGCTGGAGCGGTACCTATTTATCTACTTGCACTTTGACGTGCTTTAGAACTGCTAGGTTGGCAGGAGCTGGGACCGAGCAATGGGAGCTCACCCCATTGCGGGGATTCGAACCTCTGACCTTCTGATCGGCAAGCCCTAGGCTCTGTGGTTTAGACCACAGCGCCACCTGCATCTCAACAGAATAAAAAATTAACTATGGGAGGTGGGGAAGCAAAGGCACTTGTTTAAATAAGCATCACATATATATTTTTACCACTACTTTTTTTGTCTTAATTCTTGCCCTCTCTAGGCATTCTCCCCTGTCATAAATGTTCCTGGTTCCTTATGTCAGACTACAGTACACAAAGCATGAGTATCCGAGAAAGTAGCAATGATGTTGCTCAAAGTATAAAATCTGGCTTTCAGTGCATTCTTCATGACTTCTAAGGGCAAATCTACAATGCAGTCATGGGTGAGAAATTAGCCATGGGAGAGAGAATGGACAGAGGGAAAAGGAATAGAGTGGGGAGGAAGGTGTTGAGAATTCCATTCCACCTTAAGGAACAGACATGGGATTGTTACATGTCACATGTCTGTTTACATTCCAGCACAGTATGCTGGGAACTTCTGTTGTGTGTATAGCTTTTGCTTTCACTGTTTTCTCTGAGACGACATGTTTATTTGTCCTGATTTATGATTAATAAATCAGTAGTTGTAGTATCCTTCCATAAGCCTCACACCTCACGTTGAGTTGTTGGCATCTATCTATCCCAAAAGACAATGGAGTGCACCTCCAAGGGTGAAGTCAAACCATTGGGCTAGCAGCACTGAAGTGACCTCCCTGGGGCAGTATGTATTGTTGGGAAACTGTGTACGTGCAGCTACTCACACAGAGTCAATTAAGGTTTGGCAGACAGCCAGAAAGTCATGTGAAGGAGTTAGTCTGCCTGGTGATAACAGAGGCATGGAGACAGCTCCCTGATTGGTCAAGCTCTCTCAAGGGAGTGATAATTAAAGGCCTACTAACTGGAATGTGTTAGTTCAGTGTTTGAAGTTCAGTGTTCAGAGTTCTGTGTCAGTGTAGGAGTTGTGAGTCGTTTATAGGAGAGTAAGCTAAATATCCATGTTCTGTTCCTGTAAATAGTCCACTGTATATAATAAACACCTAACTACAAGTTCCTGGTTCCTGCTTCGTCTAGCCTGTCTGCAGCCAAGTCACCAATTGCTTCCGTGGATTCTGCATGTACTCTGCTAGGTCTGGCTAAGGTCCTGCAACTAGTCAGAAAGTTGCAAAACATCAATAGGTTTTGCCAATATGTATGGAGATCCTGGGCTGCCCAGATGACAAGACTCTTGGCTTGGCTGATGTGGTCGAAAGGAAAGCAGAGCAATACGTTTGGCACCAGCTTGGCTGCAGTCAGGGAACATGCAAAAAGCAGAGAGCAAAAAGTTCTGCAGCACCTTGAAGTCTAACCATTTTTTAATGACGTCAGCTTTGGTGGAGACAGTGGCGGAGAAAGGGGTGTGTGGAGGGGGCGGGCCGCCTCGGGTGTCATTCCTGAGGGAGGGTTTGACAACCCCCCCCCCCGGGCATATCGCTGCTGGGCCAATAGGGATGCCCATAGGAACGGGAAATGTGACTCCCATAGAGATGGGGTGCGCTGTGGGGCCTCAGCCACCCTACAGCTGGGGGGGGGGGAGGCAGCGGGCGGACAGCGGATGGGATGGGGCGCGCGGTGCCCATAGGGATGGGCTGTCCCTATGGGCGCCATGGGCGGTTCGCGCCACCCCAGGTGCCCGAGAGGCTTCCCCTGCAGCTGGGTGGAGAACAGTCTGCTTCACGAGATACATGTGTTGCCCCAAGTTGGTAGAAATAGCAATACAGGGTTGTGGGGGCAGAACATTGAAAGCAGTGAGGTTAGAGGGCAATGCAAAAAGTCCAGCCTGTAATAGGAGAGGCCTAGGACTCTCGTACCTACGGGACCGCCTCTCCTGGTACGCCCCACAGAGGACCTTAAGGTCCATATATAGCAACACCCTAGAGGTCCCGGGCCCTAAGGAAATTAGATTAGTCTCAACCAGAGCCAGGGCCTTTTCAACTCTTCCTGGTGGAATGCTTTGTCTCTTGAGACCAGGGCCCTGTGGGATCTGATCTCTTTCCGCAGGGCCTGTAAGACAGAGTTGTTCCACCTGGCCTTTGGCTTAGAATCAGTTTGATTCCCTCCCCCTCTTTCTTTTTCCTTTCTCCTCCTATGAAGAGATTGCCCCCTAATGTTTTAATGTTGTATCTTAATCTTTTAAATTGTATTTTAATCAACTTGTTTTTATAATTGGTTGTTAGCCGCCCTGAGCCCGGTCTTGGCTAGGGAGGGCGGGGTATAAATAAAATAATAATTATTATTATTATTATTATTATTATCATCATTATTGCCATTGCTGCAGTGTCCATTCAATATGCAATTGCCTTCCCAATGCTAGGATACTTAACAAATGTAGAGAAAGTTACAGGTAGGTAGCCGTGTTAGTCTGCCATAGACGAAATAAAATAAAATAATAATTAAAAAATTCCTTCCAGTAGCACCTTAGAGACCAACTAAGTTAGTTATTGGTATGAGCTTTCGTGTGCATGCACACTTCTTCAGATACCAGAAATAAAGAAAGCTGTAGAGAAATAAAGAGTTGTTGTCTCTATTCAAGCCACAGGTGAATGTATTTAAACAGAAGTCATTAAGAGGGATGATGAACCATCTGCTCCCAATGAAGACAGACCTCTTGACCTGTAAAATCCCCTCCAGAATAACCATCTTCTCTGCTTTCTGCTTTGCCAGGTGACCAGCTAAATTCTGAAGAGAAGAAGAAGAGAAAGCAGAGAAGGAACCGAACTACCTTCAACAGCAGTCAGCTGCAGGCCCTGGAGAGAGTTTTTGAGCGGACACACTATCCGGATGCCTTTGTACGAGAAGACCTTGCGCGCCGGGTCAACCTCACTGAAGCCAGGGTCCAGGTAATTAATCTTGCCTTGATCGCAACACACATGACCCAAGAGACAGCTTATCAGGGTGATAGGCTATAGGAACAGTTGTGGTGACATAGATAAAGAACCCTCAGGGGGATGCTGTTAATAACTGCAAATGTTTTGCATTTAATTTAGTACCGTATTTGAGCAATCTCATATATGTGTTAAGGAGAGGATAAGGCTGTCCATTGCTACGAGCTGCAACGCCTCCACTCTGTGTCTCCCAATACCAGTTTCTGAGAATCAAAAGAGGGAAGAGAGGCTGTGGTACCCAGCTCCTGCTTTTGGGCTTCCTAGAGGCATCTGATTGGTCGCTGGGAGAACAAGATGCTGGACCGAGTGTGCTTTTGATCCGTTCTAGTAGGGCTCTTCTACTGGCAAATGAGGGCTCATCCACACTTGTCCCATGCCTAGAAAGCACAGGTCCGAGAGGCATGGCTGTATGAAGTGGGGGGCGGAGGGGGCGGTCTGCCCCGGGTGCCACTCTGGGGGGTGACAAGGTGGCCCCTGGCTCTCCCCAGCTGTAGAGCAGCCAAGGCACGCACAGTCAGTATGGGCGCGGTTCGAGCGGCGTCCGTATGGGCTGCTGCTTACATGGCGACCATATGGGATGCCGCACATGCACAGTCCGTACGGATGTCACACGTGCATCACCAGGTGGTTTGCCCCACCCCAGGTGCTGAAGAAAGTTCCTCCGCCACTGCCGAGAGGTTTTCTGTCGTCCCCCCCCCGGAAACCTGCTAGTTACCGCTGAATTGGAGAAAATGCCAGTTCACTGGAAACCCGATGGACATTTACTCTGATTCAGCGGCAAAAAGCGGCTTTCCCCAGGGGAAGTGGAAGTGTGGACAAGCCCTGAGCTACAGATATGGCAATTTAGAAAAGAAAGGATAAAAATAATTTTAGTTTCTCTACTCAAGGTTGCTATTGATGGTAATTTTCTGGGTTTGCTTTAAAACTGGACTGTGAAGCTGGAAAGTAACATATCTGATGGATCTTATTCTCCCCAGTCTTTCTTTCTTTCTTTCTTTCTTTCTTTCTTTCTTTCTTTCTTTCTTTTTCCTTCCTTCCTCCCTCCCTCCCTCCCTCCCTCCCTCTGTCACAGATGAAAAGCCACTCTTTCAAAAGGACACTTAGCTTTGGAACTCTTTGTCTTTTAAAAAATTCTCCTCCTCCTCCTCCTCCTCCTCCTCCTCCTTCTTTTCATTATTTTCAATTTTATACATTTCAATAATTTCACAATCATTTTAATAATTCAAAACTTGACTTCCTTCCCCCTCTTTCTGTAGTTCCTTAAATTTGTTTTTTCAATTTTTTTGTGCGTATCCAAATTAACTTAATTTCCTCATTTATTCATCTACTTTAAATACATACTCTTACAAAACTGCAGGTTATTACAATAATCGTGCCAATGTTCTTCTCAAACAGAATAGTTATTGAAGTGATATGCTGGAGATGTAACAGAGAAATTGGGTCTTATTTGCATATGTGGTGGAAGTGTACAGATATTTGTGTATTTTGGAATAAGATATATGAAGAACTTAAAAAATTATTTAAATTTACATTAAAAAAGGCCAGAAATATTTTTATTAAGCATCCTGTCAAAAGAAATAGGGAAACTGAAAAGAACATTGTTCATGCATGGGATAACGGCAGCCAGAATATTAGTAGCAAGAAATTGGAAAAATACAACAATACCCAATACGGCAGACTGGCAAAACCTAATGGTAGAATATCTGCAGCTAGCGAAGGCGACAGGAAGGCTAAGAGGCCAACCAAAACAAAAAGTCTATAAGGAGTGGAGAATCTTTAAAGAATACTTTAAAAACTATGGTATAAAAGGAAACATCTTGGCAGAACTGGACTGATCCTTGTATTGTATAAATATAAGTTAGTAGGGAGATAAAAAGAGACTATATAAGTAATATGCAACTGTGCGGTATAAGGATAGATAAAGTACAGTGAGATTAATTGGAAGTCATTTTTAATTTCTTTCTTTATAAGTTTTATAATTGATTTCAGTATCGGGAGTATAAATGATGTTAGTTATACCAATTTTGTTGTTTCTTATATTGTGGTTGTTTGTTTGACTTCTTCATTATTTGTTTGATTGCATGTTTGTTTGTTTGTTCGTTTGTCTGTTTTCCCATAAACATAGCTGTCAACTTACAGATTTGAAAATAAGGGACCAGCAGCCTCGAAAATAAGGGATCAGCAGCCAAAATAAGGGATCAACAATCACTTTGATAAAATACATATTTTGTTGCGTGCAAATGGCTTTAGATACCTATTAGGTCCATAAATTACCATATAGCATATATTCAACACAAAAAACAGCAACAATTTTTTGTTGACAATGGACAGCTGGACATAGAAAGGGCCCCATTACCTTCAGTAGCTTATTTAAGGGACATCATCAATAAGGGACAGCAGCGGGACATGGCGCTGGGATAAGGGACTGTCCCGCCAAATAAGGGACACTTGACAGCTATGCCCATAAATGTATTTATTTTAAATCAATAAAGATATACTTAAAGAAATAAAAATGAAGTGAGCACAGCCAGCCCACCCATGGGTCAAGGTGAAGCAAGTTGCCTCAGTGGCAGAAGCACAATAAGTGGTACTTCCCCTCACCCCACCCCACCCCACGCTTCTGCTACTGCTGGGATGCCCCACTTTTGGTGAGTTTCAGTGAGAGGGAAGCATAGTATTGCCATTCACCTTCCCGGCCCCTGGGCAAGTTCGATGGTGATGGAAGTGGAGAGGCGGGGGGGGGGGGGAAGAGAAGGGAGGGCATGGTGTGGCAAAGTCCCATTTTGCCTCAAGTGGCAAAGCAGGATGGGCCACCTGGGATAAATTTCTTTTTGAAAATAATAGCATTTTGTCGATACCAGACCAGACCAATCCTAACCAATGAATTTGTATAACAATTTTGTATACCTGGCTCCAATACTTCCAACTGAATGAAAGATAAAGTACAGACAAGAAAAAAGGGTTTGCTGGAGAAATATCAAAACTAGAGGAAAATCTAATACAGCCTGAGGGAAAATATCTATCTAAGATGTATAATCTCCTCCTTGACTGGGAAGTCAAGGAGGAAGAGGTAAAATCGGTTATGGTCTGTTGGGCCCAAGACATTGGACATAATATATATATGAATGAATGGGAAAGGCTGTGGAGGGAAGACATAAAGCTCACAGCATGTGAGAGAAAACGTAATGAAAATACTGTATTGATGGTACCCGACTCCAGCCAAAATGGCTAAGATGTACAATAAAATTTGAGATGCCTGCTGGAATTGTAAAAAAAGGGGTAGGTACCTTTATGCACATGTGGTGGGACTATATTAAGATAAGAGAATTTTGGGATATAATATATAATGAACTCAAAAAGATCTTTAAATTCTCATTTAAAAAAAGACCCAAAGCCTTTCTGTTAGGTATTTATGTCCACTGAAATACAAAAAACCCATAGAACCCTTTTTATGTACGCAACCACGGCGGCTAGGATTTGATAACCAAAAATTGGAAAGGAAACTTAATCCCCACAAAAACTGACTGGCAAGCGAAGATGTTAGAATATTTAGAACCCGCAAAAATGATTGGGAGAATAAGAGGAAACTCAAATGAGAAAGTCAACAAAGACTGGATGATACCTTAGAAAGTATTATGATAATGCAAATCTCCTGACAGATTTAGATTGAATCTTGAAGTATAAGGAAACCATAAAAGTAAAATTTCTTGTGATAAGTAATAGAAATAATAATAATAATGAAGTGCATATAGATTAATAAGGTTTAAAAAGTACAATTAGGTGAATTGGAACTTAATGATACGTTGTTAGTTAGTGTCTATGTTTGTTTATGTGTTGTTGTTGTTGTCTATGTTATATGTAAATTGTTTTGTAATAAAGAATTGTTTTAATAATAATAAAAAAGAATTTGTATAACAATTCAGGCAACCCATTTAGGAGGGAGGTTTCATGCCTAAATGGGCAAGGCTTGCAGAGGATGCAATCCAACCAAAGTGCCCTGTGATTTTAGTGAGGCAAAATCAAACAATGCTTGGATCAGTCCCACTGGAAATGAAAAGGTCTTTAGTTTGGGCTGAATTGCGCTCCAAGTCTTTGTTCTCAGGAACTGACAATCCTGATGTTTTTTCAGAGAGGTGTGTTTTTTCTGCAGCAGACTTAAATGTAACATATGAAATTCCAGAGTTGGGGGGGATAGCTATTAAAGTCTAGAAGCAGCTGCGGGTTTTCTCTGCTTTAACAATCAGAAGAAACTCTGTGGAAATAGGAAAAATGCATAGAGAATTTATGCCCCTTTTTTTTTTGAGTTGAATTTACGGCATAGGCAAAGTTCGAAGCCAAGTAAGGCTGCCAAAACAAATCTTGTAGGGCCATGGACTTTGCTGAAGTCCTCATAGAGGTGCCCTATCTATTTTTAATCATAGAAACATATGCTTGCAAAGGTGAGAGCCAGGGGCCTCCCTAGACTGTCAACTATATTTTAAAGAAGGAGGACAAAGGCTGCCTGCAGGTGTGGGCAGGCAAGCATCTCTGTGGGTTACAGGAGTTATTTCCTGTAGATTGCCACTGCAGAACAAATCCTGACCCAGCAGCCATCGTTTTATAACTGCACGCCCTACAACATTTCTCCGATGAAAATAGGGACGTCCTATTCCATGATAATAATACACCACCCTTTATCCGTAGATCTCAGGGCAGTTCAAAACCTAAAAATACATAAAAAATTAAAAACAATCCAATAACCCCCACCCCCTCCTATAAACACATTTTAAACGGTATAGTATGTATATTAGAGACGTGGGTGGCACTGTGGGTTAAACCACAAAGCCTAGGACTTGCCGATCATAAGGTTGGCGGTTCGAATCTCCGCGACGGGGTGAGCTCCCGTTGCTTGGTCCCTGCTCCTGCCAACCTAGCAGTTTGAAAGCATGTCAAAGTACAAGTAGATAAATAGGTACCGCTCCGGCGGGAAGGTAACCGGCATTTCCGTGCGCTGCTCTGGTTCGCCAGAAGCGGCTTAGTCATGCGGGCCACATTACCCGGAAGCTGTACGCCGGCTCCCTCGGCCAGTAAAGTGAGATGAGCACCGCAACCCCAGAGTCGGCCACGACTGGACCTAATGGTCAGGGGTCCTTTAGTATGTATATTAGGCCTATTCCACAAGCGGGGAGCCACCACAGAAAAGGCCCTGCTGTTGTATTCCCACCTTCCGAGCCTCTTGTGGAGGAGACACACGAAGAAGAGTCTCTGAGGATGATCTCAGAGTCTGGGTAGGTTCATCTGAAGTGAGGGGTCCTTGAGATATTGTGCCCCTGCACCGTTCAAGGCTTTATAATTCCTGATTGCAATTGCTTCCCAAGTCAATGCAGTGTTAACATGGACTTGAACAGATCGCAGCTGGCTTCTCATCTAGGAGTTTTCATCTGAGTAGCAGTAGGTAGCAGAGGCTCTTGAATGTGCTGGAGAAATGGTATACCGGTTGTCTTTGAGGAGCAGGAAAATGTTCTGGAACTGCTAGGAAATTGGGACAGGGGCCAAGAGGAACAATCCACACAGCAGTCAAAATAGCAACTGATGCACTGGGGTAAGAGATGCTTTTTCCTAACTACCCTGGGCAGGGAGGGTGGAGAGAAAGACAGAACCCCTCACCTGTCATAGATGGGTATTTTTGACTACTTCACACTTCAACCCTGTTCTGATGTTCAAAGTCTCACATGACAATGGGAGAGCAGGGAAGTCCAAGTTGTTTGGGAGCAGGTATTAGCCGTGCCTCCTTGTGGATGGAGCGTATGCCCCAAGTTAGCTACACATTGCAGCTGCTCATGTATAAAGCAGACGGAGTTGACTGTTTATCCAAGAATCTCCTTCCTACCGCTAACCTGACAGTCAGGGGAGACTGGAGAGGCTTGAAATGGCTCACCCCTGATGCTTTTCCTGTCTCCTTCTCTTTCCAGGAAAAGCACAAGCAACTCAAGAGAGCAGAAATAGGCACTTGCTTGAGGGAAGGAGTCAAGCTTTCCATAACTTGGTACAGAAGGAGTGGTTAAATCTCAAACTGCGTATCTTCCCCAATAAGGATGTGTGTGTGTGCACAAGCAACCATATCATTGCATAGTTCCTTTAATCCTTGGGCAACGGGCTATTATTCCTTTGATTAACCAAGAGTATTTCTCCTTCGTGAAGAGTGAGACTTCAAGATACTCTAGCCTTCTCTGCCTGGGCTCATGCAGACTTCTTTTTTGCACCGTGCTTTCCAGGTCCAGGGACATGGGTGGCGCTGTGGGTTAAACCACAGAGCCTAGGACTTGCCGATCAGAAGGTCGGCGGTTCGAATCCCCGCGACGGGGTGAGCTCCCGTTGCTCGGTCCCTGCTCCTGCCAACCTAGCAGTTTGAAAGCATGTCAAAGTGCGAGTAGATAAATAGGTACCACTCTGGCAGGAAGCAAAACGGCGTTTCCGTGTGCTGCTCTGGCTCGCCAGAAGTGGCTTAGTCATGCTGGCGACAAGACCTGGAAGCTGGAAGCTCCCTCAGCCAATAAAGCGAGATGAGTGCCGCAACCTCAGAGTCAGTCACGACTGGACCTAACGGTCAGGGGAACCTTAACCTTTTCCAGGTCCACACTTTAAAGCTGTGTGCTCATCCACACTTCCGCTTGTCCCAACACTTTCCCCCAGGGAAAACTTGCAGTTGAAGCGCTGAATCAGAAAAAAACAAAACAATTGGCTTTTCTGCAGATTGCTGCTGGTTCTGATTTAGAGGGCACAAAGCAGGGTTTCCAGGGCAAAGGCTTGGACCTGTGTCTAGACAACATGAGAGAAGCAGAAAACCCAACAGACCTGCGGAAAAGTATGGACGAGCTCTCTGCTTGAGAAGGTTTTTCTTTTGTCCTGGCGCTTTCCCCGGGAAAATCCACATTTTATTACTGAATTGGAGCAAAGCAATCTGCAGGGAACTTGATTGCCATTTGTCCAATTCAGCAGCAAAATGCGAGTTTTTCCAGACAAAAACAAACAAAGAAGCTGCTTGGGCACGGAGCTTTAAAATCCAGACCTGTGCAGCACGAAAGGAAGTCTGGATGAGTCCCCTTGTTGGGGTAGTTGTACGAGGGAGACCTTTGTATAAGCAGCAGTATGTGAGTCCAGCTGTATGCAGTGTGTAGCTAAGCTCTTAGCACACACTTCAAGTATATCTGAAGGAGCGTCTCCACCCCCATCGTTCTACCCGGACACTGAGGTCCAGCACCGAGGGCCTTCTGGCAGTTCCCTCACTGCGAGAAGGCAAGTTACAGGAAACCAGGCAGAGGGCCTTCTCGGTAGTGACACCCACCCTGTGGAACGCCCTCCCACCAGATGTCAAAGAGAACAACAACTACCAGACTTTTAGAAGACATCTGAAGGCAGCCCTGTTTAGGGAAGCTTTTAATGTTTGATGGACAAACATTGAATTTTAATATTTTGTTGGAAGCTGCCCAGAGTGGCTGGGGAGGCCCGGCCAGATGGGTGGGGAATGAATGAATGAATGAATGAATGAATAAATAAATAAATAATAATTCAACAGCGAGGTGTTGCGAACTCTCAGTTCCCTGACAAGAAGCATAGCTGCATAATAAACAAGACATGCCCTCTAGTATATTTGTCCATGTTGGGTTGTATTTAGTTCTAGCCCTGTTCAGACTAGACCTGCTGAAGAGGATGGGAGGAGCTGGGCTTCATTCCCGTCCCCTGTGTGCTCAGTGCAATAGAAGACACATAGCCACATCTCTGATTTATAGCCGCATGGGCCAGCACATGCACATCTAATTTGGCCCAATGAATGTACAGGATCCCTTTGCTCATCGTTTAATGATCATCACCTCTAGTCAGATACGACATAAAGCATTTTCTTGTGGCCAGTGAAAACAAAGAGGCCACTTGAACCAAAGCTACCTTTGCCTTGCTGACTTTCAAAGCGATAACAGATCCGTTTTGATTTGTGTGTAGCGGAGAGCAATCTGGGCGTTTGTGGCTAGATGCTAACTGAATTCAGATTGAGTGACAGTTGCAGGATATGCTTCTCTAGGCAGTGGCGGAGGAAGGGGGGGCTGTGGACCGCCCCGGGTGTCATCACTGAAGGGGGTGACAAAATGATTTTTTTTAAAAAAAGTGGGCTCACAAAACTTTTTAGGAGTGATGTGGTTTTTGTTATACAGTGGTACCTTGGGTTACATATGCTTCAGATTACAGACTCCGCTAACCCAGAAATAGTACCTCGGGTTAAGAACTTTGCTTCAGGATGAGAACAGAAATCATGCTCCGGCAGCGCAACAGCAGCAGGAGGCCCCATTAGCTAAAGTGGTGCTTCAGGTTAAGAACACTTTCAGGTTAAGAACGGACCTCTGGAACGAATTAAGTACTTAACCTGAGGTACCACTGTAATTAGTTGTTGTTCTGTCATTATTTGCCTTTTAATTGTTGCCTTGGTCTGTTATCTCTTGCTGATGGGTGAAATAATTAAAATAACTGGCTGTTCAAGAAGCCCCGCCCATGTCATAGAACCTGACTGTCAGGGACTGGACAGAGGAGGAATGATGGAGATGGCCTCCCTGGCCTGACCCTTCCAGAGAAGAGGAAGACAGTTCAGAATTACAACAGGGGTTTGAGGGAGGTCACAGCTCAGGGGAAGATGAGGGGGAAAGTTGGGAAATAATGGGAGAGGAGGAGGAGGAGGCAGAGCTGGAGCAGCTGGCTGACACTTTATCACTAGAAAACCTTCCAGCCCCTTCATCTCCCAGAACCTGGCGTGCCTTAAAAGTAGGAGAGCAGGAGTGTCAGACGAAGATGATGTTCTATGCGATGTTGGCCAAGCGGACTGGTAGGATCCGGAACCAAAGTTACCAGAAATTCCAAAGAGACTGGAGTAGATTTATTTGGTATTTGAATGATCATTGTAAAAATGTGGAGACACTAGCAGGATGGAAATAAATCTTGCAACAAAATGTTAAAATAGTATCTTCAAGTGTAAAGAAGGTCAGGAACTTACAGTCAAAGTGCGCATATAATCTGTGTGGAAATAAAAAACCAGTTGAAGGAATGGAGGGAAGTTACAAGCTCGGCGGATCAAAACCTGTATGAATTGTTATTGCAATGTTCGTATATTTTATGTTTTAAAAAGAAAATAATAATAATTATATATATATATATAAAATAAAAGTAGGAAATCAAAGAGCTTGGAGACAGATGATCCTAAGAGGCAACTGTAGGGGTAGGGTGCTGTTGACGAATGAGGAAGCGGGAGAAAAGGGGGGTGGAGATTTACTCGGGACAACGTCGTTAATCCAAGCGGCTGCATTCTCAAGCCTCTCTCTCTCTGTAGATATTGAATAAAAAGCATATGGTAAGGACTTTTCCTTGTCTTCTCCATTCCTGGCAACCTGCCGTGGGGGTCAGGTCCCCCTGCCGCCTGACACTGACTGCGGTGCTGACACTGCTGTGTTTGTCCTCCTGTCTTAGGTGTGGTTTCAAAACAGACGAGCAAAGTTTCGCAGGAATGAGAGAGCCATGCTGGCCAACAAGAACGCATCCCTCCTCAAGTCCTACTCTGGGGATGTGACCGCAGTGGAGCAGCCGATTGTACCTCGACCAGCTCCAAGGCCCACCGACTATCTCTCCTGGGGAACTGCCTCTCCTTACAGGTGACCCTAACACATCCATATTACACTGCCAGTTTTTCTCTTGCCGTGTCTGGCCGGTTTCCTCTGGGGAGGAAAGGGAATGGAACAAAGGCCTGAGCCAAGACTCTCCACTGCCTCTCATCTATTCAGAACGGTTTAGATATGATCTCCTTTACTCTTCTGTGAGCAAGTAGGCAATGCAGACACAGGGACACACCAAAGTTGCAATCCTATCCATGCTTGCTCACAGGAGTAAGCCCTATTTAAGACAGTTGGACTTACTTCTGGAAGTGTGAATAGGACTGCATTGTCAACCTGGTGTACAAGCCATTCCTTCTCTCTCCAGGGAGCCCTGAGACCTGTTGTTCTCTGTATGCGCGTGAGGAAGGGGGAAGGTAGATCTTTGATAGACTTCTCAGCACCCTCACCAAACTACAATTCCCAGGATTCTTGGGAGAAAGCCATGGCTAACAAACTAGCTTCAATGCAGCATATGTTTGTAGATTAGTTATATCCAGAGGGCTGGGGTGGTGGTGGTTAAAGCAGCAGGAAATGCACTTCTTCAAAACAAAGCAACCCAATACAGCTGGGGCAGCTAGAAAAAGATGGCATCCCAGATACCAAATCTGTTCTGTGCATGTGACAGAATCACCCCTGAAGAAATGTGGTCCTAAGGAGCCTTGGTAGCCTTTTCTGGAAAACCAAGAAGGCAGAGACAAGATGGTGGCAGAGCTGGAGCTTCAGGTGGAATACTTGACATGATGTGCATTTGCTTAAGTAAATTACTTTGTTTTAATCCATTCTTACTACTTGTGGATGAAATAAACACATTCCTGATGATGAGACTTTTTCTTCAGAAGGGATCATACCTCATCATGACTCACTCTGTCTCTCATACACAGAAAGAGAGAGAGAACAAACAAAGAACAGGGTGGCGCAGGTTCAGTCCACACTTCGGTGCAATCTAATTCACATGTCCCAAACTAACATGTGAACCGAAATCACAGCTATCCTTCAAAATTTGTACTTAACTTAATTTTGAAATGCAATCCTAGAAAAGAAAAAGTATACAAATGTACAAATTAGAAGGCAGTATGCATAAAGATGCATGTATTTGGGGAAAGAATGAACAAAAACACATTATATTAGGAAATATTAGGAACGAATCGTGAATATTGGGAGAAATGTGTGCTAAAATGCCGATGGTTTGTGAGGACTTGTTAAAAATGTATATCACAAACTAGTGCAGAAATCTAATGTTGGAAAAAATGAGAAATGGAGAGAAGCCAAAATAGACAGGTTTGTTTTCAGTGAATCCCATCCGAGACAAAGTCAAGCGTCTACCATCCAGGAGAGAGTGGAAAGGTGGCTAATCCTGCCTTTCACCTCAGACACTGGAGCCACCAAGGGGAGGAGGGTGAAGCTGCTAGAGATGAATAACAGGGGCTGAAAAACATTTATTCACATATATAACCTCCTATGAGTGTCACTTTGCCATATACTAAGATACATTCTCCATATTTTATTTCCGCCCCCTCTAGAAGTAGTGGTTTGGGGAAATGGGGGGCCATCGTCTGAAAAACACCTGATCCTACTTTTTTTTGGGGGGGGGGGGAATTTGGAATGCTGTTCACAGTCACTCATTTCCCCATTGATGCTTTGGCTGCCATTTCCCTGTTTTTGTGGGATGTGATACGTAAGTAGCAGTCAAGTACAACATTCCTTGTTTTCCTAGAGTGGACATGCAGGAAAATTTTTGGTCCAGCCAGTCTCCTGGCTGGGACATACTTCCTTTGCATGTGTCCTTACCTGTCCAGGTAACAAAAGGGACAAGGTACGCAGCACCCTCTCTCTTTTTGACTTCCTCTGTCGTTGAAGCAGCTTTTATCTAGAGCTGCTCTCTATTGGGTTTCAGCCAATAGTGTGCACTGGGATTATCCCCATATAGGATAGCTCCACGTGTATATACTTTGTAACTAAGTCTGCCTTCAGGGATCCAACTGTGAAGAGAATGTGAGTAAACTACTTTTATATACTTTACAGAAGATGGTGGCATGTTTATTCTTTTAAGAGGGATATAAGGGAACTTACCAGGAACCTAATAGTGAGAGGCTTACACAAGCCTGCAACCAGCTACCCGCTGTGTGTTTAAAAGGGGAATGTGAAACTCTGCTAAGTAAAAGAACTTCCTAGTGCCAAGTTAGGAAGGATATTAATAAACAATATACCCTCTCTTGCCTCCCTGAACATTCCCACAATTTTATCTGTCCTCAATTCAACCAAGCCAGTTAGGAATTCCATCCTGGGCAGGACTAGACCACATTGCCCTGTAGACGATCAGCAGAGCTGCTGTCAAAGGGTAGCATGGTTGAGTATCTGCTGGGGGCCACAGGCAAGAGCTTCCTGGACCTTTGAAGCCTGCTTGCTTGTTCACCCGCCATTTGTTCTGGCCCAGACGACAGTAGTGGCAAGAAGCAGAGAATCACATCACGGTCTGGCTGGCTGTTGACTCTCTAGCTCAGCCTTTCTAAATGTCTGAGTCCTAGATGTTGTTGGACTGCAACTCCCATCCTCCCTAGTGAGCATGGCCAGTGGTGAGGGATCATGGGAGTTGTAGTTCATGATCCTCTGGCTGCATCGAGCGAGCGAGCAATCGGTGGTAGAAGTGATGAGGAACAAGAGGAGGGGTAACCGGTGATAATGGCCGTGTGGAGGTCAACTCAGTGTGGGAAAAGCAGCTTGTAGCATCTTGCCCAAGGGAAGTTCAAAACCTGAATCAAACACCGCCAGTCAGATTGATTTATTGGTTTCATAAAATTTATATGCCACTTGATGGTAGACTACCTCAAAGCGGTTTATGAAAAAAAGATAGACCAATAAATCACTTAAAAATATTTAGCTATGTGCTGACATTGCTGAGGGTAAATGAAGCCTTTTAGAGTTTAGCCGGTTGGAGCTCACTCTAAGAATCGGTTTCTCAGTACTTTTACAACAACCCTTGGCAAACTGCAAAGATAGGGGGCACAATCTTTCATTTCACATCAACATTTCCCCCCCCCCAAAAAAACGGCTCCTTCTTCCTTTTGGTCCCAGCATCAGTATCATATTTGTATCTGACAATCTCCTTTAATTACTGCCAAATTATAAGCAAATTCCCTATGTCCACTGCAATGGGCAACCCATGCCAAAAGGAAGATTGTTCCCAGGCTTAAGCATTGTTGTTTTTTCCTCCCACATCACTGGCAGCCACCATTGTAGGTCATCCTTTGAAATACTTTTTCTTATTTCTTCCAAAAAAACAACACAAAAAAAGTCAATGGGAAAATTGCGCAAAACTTGTGGGAAACTCTCTTGGCAAAACCCCGCACAATTGAGTGAAACATAACAAATGTGGACCGTGTGGGAAATCAAAAGCTTTTGCTTGGTACGTAATTACCTTTTTTTATTTATTTCCAGCAAGAATTGGGAAAGACAAGGAATGTGTTCCCAAAGTTGCACTGGCTGGGCCAATCACACAGAGGGCTAAATTCATTGGGTTCCACTGCCTTGCAGAAGCGAAGCAGGCCTGTTTTCAGTGCCAGGATGGGTGACTGGCTAAGGGACCACATAGATTTATTATTGTATTCTATACTGGAGAATGACAGGATCCAAATGTTTAAAAAGAAAAAGAAACCAGCTCTCCTGTACCAGCATCTTTGAAATACATGGTTTATTTAGAGGGCATTGTAAACTTAATGGCTACTCCTCTTCAAAGAAGTACCCTGAACCCTGAACCATTGAAACTCAGTACACCAGTTCCCAGAGATATTTTGTATGCATAGACATCACATGTATAAACTTGATCTAAACCAGGCATGGGCAAACTCCGGCTCTCCAGATGTTTGGGACTACAATTCCCATCATCCCTAGCTAACAGGACCAGTGGTCAGGGATGATGGGAATTGTAGTCCCAAACATCTGGAGGGCTGGAGTTTGCCTATGCCTGGTCTAAACCAGCACGATGGACTCCTAGGGACTTCACAACATAGGCAAGAGGGAGAGGGAAGGAGACACAAGTTGCGCTGCAAGATATGAAACTTTCCCCCTAGCCATTTACAGATGTCTCAAGCATAGGAGCAAAGCTCTGTGGAACTAAGCAGACGGAGGCTTTCTATCTCCGTCTTAAGGGGTGATATGATAGCCATGTTCAAATATATAAAAGGATGTCACATAGAGGAGGGAGAAAGGTTGTTTTCTGCTGCTCCAGAGAAGCGGACACGGAGCAATGGATCCAAAGTACAAGAAAGAAGATTCCACCTAAACATTAGGAAGAACTTCCTGACAGTAAGAGCTGTTCGACAGTGGAATTTGCTGCCAAGGAGTGTGGTGGAGTCTCCTTCTTTGGAGGTCTTTAAGCAGAGGCTTGACAACCATATGTCAGGAGTGCTCTGATGGTGTTTCCTGCTTGGCAGGGGGTTGGACTCGATGGCCCTTGTGGTCTCTTCCAACTCTATGATTCTATGATTCTATCCAATCTGGCTTCTTGGAATTCCATTAGAAAAGGAAGCAATGAGTCCACCATCTACTTGATGTAAAATCACATTTTCACTTCTATAACATTTTTAGTATACAAAGGACTTTGCAAGCCAACCAATCTTTTTTTTTTTTTTGCTGCCTTTCCAAAGTAAAACCCATGCTCAAGGCAGCTTGCAATGTATAAAAAAATTACATAACTACAAACATAACCAAAGTATTCATAAACAAAACATCAAAAAGTACACAACCAAATAAAACAATTTTCATATAAATAATAAGATCCAAAACAAAGCTAGCTGCAAAAAATTGACATCAACAGCAGCAACAACTGCCCCACAACCAAAACCCCTAAACAATATCCCAACACAAATTATCCTTACATCGATCAAGAGTGTTGTACAATTTGGAGTACTGTACTGAGGTCAAAGAGGATGGGGATATATTCAATATATGAATAGTGGCTTCTGACTTAGGATGTAAGGACAGTGGCGTAGCGTGGGGGGTGCAGGGGGGGCCGGCCGCACCGGGCGCAACATCTGGGGGTTAGGGGGCGCAAATCCACGGGTTAGGGGGCGCAAATTACTTGCCTTGCCCCGGGTGCTGACAACCCACGCTACGCCACTGTGTAAGGATGTTCTAATGAGTCAAGCAATGGTCCACACAGACCAGAATCTGGTCTGTGAGAGTGGCTGGAGTTGGGCAGTTTAGGAAGTGTTACCATTAAGAGTAGTAATTTTTTCATTTGTTTAGCAGTAAGCCATAGCAAAGAGAAAAAACATCCAGAGTTGAGCCTCAAATTTGGCTTTTAATTTCCTGGCAGCCAACACAAATAGAGAAAGACACAAGGTAACCTAATTTTCCTGGTCCAAGAGCAAAAAAAAATTACACTCATTTGATGTAGCAATATTTTCCTCACAGCTAAATTCAGGCAGGGTGTTTCACAAGGATCTTTCTAATGTTGTATATTATATAGTAAGATAGTGAATAGCCATTTTACAAAAGAGAAACCATCCTGGTGAGCAACTAATATCTGAGAGAGGCCATAATTAGAGCTGAGCAATGACCGAAAAGCCATCAATATTGGCTCCATCCCCTCACTTCGGTATGAGCCAAGATGGTGAAATAACCTCCTTCTTCTAAGTGCGAACCACAACAAGAGACTTCAGAGAAGCTCTCCCTTTGTGCCTCTCAGCTTCTCACTTCCACTTGCTAGTGGCTTAGCTTGTGTGTTGGAAAGAACAGTGGAACTTAGTAGAGTTTCTGTTGACGTTCAATGGCAATTACAGGAGCCCTCCATCCACCTTGGGCTGATGTAGGAAAAAGTGACCAGGGTCAGTAACAAAGGGAGGCCCTGGGCTGCAGGGCCTTATTTGCTCCTAGTGAAGAAGCCTTGGGGACCTGCTTAGCATTATGGAGTGACAGAATGACTCAACAGTCATTCAGCTCAAACAGACTCATCTGATTTCATTTAAATTGTTGTCAGCTCTCCTCGTTGCTTCTGCTAGCAAAAGGCTCCTGCCTGCTATGTTGATTTCGCTCACTTTTGCTTATTTTCAACAAGCTATGTGCTAACTTTGAAGCCCTTGATAGCAAGCTGGTGTGAAACGGCCCTGGCCTTACTTTGGGCCAAGAGAGAAGCACAGCCAATTCATTTAAAGTCTGCCCTCTGCAGAGCCCCAGTTCAGTACCTCACTCCCATATTGAAATATACTCGGAGTCGAGAGTGGATTTCATGCTCTTTATTCAGCTCATAGTGGTGAGGAGGAATGGAAGTTCCCTCAGACTGTCTGCTTTATATACATTATTTACACAATGGGCCCCACGTGATTGGCTAATTCCGGGATTCTTCTGTAGGCCAATCAGGTTGCTGATTCACTTCCACCTGGAGCTGGATTGGGTGGCTCCTGTGGACCAATCAGATTGCTGCATTCTGGATCCTATTGTTCTAGGACCAATCAGACTGCTGCATTCTGAATCCTATTGTTCTAGGACCAATCAGACTGCTGCATTCTGGATCCTATTGTTCTAGGACCAATCAGACTGCTGCATTCTGAATCCTATTGTTCTAGGACCAATCAGACTGCTGCATTCTGAATCCTATTGTTCTAGGACCAATCAGACTGCTGCATTTTGGATCCTATTCAACTCAGTACATAACACATATAGTTCCAACACTCTCTTGCTAGACCAGGAATAGCCAACTTGGTGCCCCCCAGAAGTTCCTGGATACCAAACTCCCACCCTCCCCAGCCAGCATGGTCAATAGTCAAGGATGATGGGAAACAACATCTAAAGAGCGCCATCTTGGCTGCTCCCAAGTCCTACTGAGAAGTGGCGGGTGACATCATCATACTTTAATGCCTTTTGACTGTGCCACCATCTTGCAAGGGCACCTTAATGTCACGGTGGGTGAGCCCTCAAGTACAAGGTATCTGATGAACTCACTTGCCTTATTATTTCTCCCTCCTTTCACACTTTCTAAAATAGCTCCTCATCCCTCCTAAGATGTTGTTTGCACGAGGGGGTCCCTAATGGATTCTAAGCGAAGACTCTACAAAGGTAACTTTCTGGGCAGAAGTGTCATGGTTGTGGGGCTGTCCATAGTCGCCTGGAGTTCTTCTGGGGAAAGGGTGCCAACTCCACTCCCAGGCCAATTTTGTAGCGTCTCTCGACTCCGTTAGGTGCTAGACAGGATGAGGAGATGCAAAAGAGGCGTGTGTAACAGAAGCCTCAAGCTTACCTTCTCTTTGCCTTAGCCTCCAATGAAGTCACCGCAACAGAATGCACAATAATGATAAAAGCAGGAAAAAGCCTAATAAAATGACCCCTGAGGGTGGGTTTAGTGAATGATTCCCCCCTTGCCCTGCCCAGACCACCAGCAAGCTTCTAACTCACTAGTTAGGTCCTTCGTGCATGTATCTGAAGACATTAACTCCAGTTTACGTTACAAATTGCTAGTCTCTTAGGCTGGATCTAGACATGTCAAAGAAGTGATTCAGTTAAAAGCGTTGTAAACTCATACAGGGGAATCCAGTAGGGAAAGACAGGACTCCACAGCGCCATCTGGTGGTGTATATGCATATACAATGCATATAAAACCAATCTAGCTGAATCCTTAGACTGCATCAAAGTTCCTATCTAGATCCAATGGCAGTAGGCTTAGCTCAGTTTTCTGAGAACTTTGTAGAAGCAGCCTTCACCTGTTAGTACTTTGATTCCCCTGCTTTGTGGAATATGAAAGGATTATGGCAGCAGTGGCAGTCAAAGTGTTCTTTATCCACACCCTGGTCAAAACCCTACCCTCCAATGATGGCTGCCTAAATTCAGCCTTGCAAAATGCTACCCAGTTACTGAAGCCTTCCCAGAACATTTTAAGAGACTTGTGGAGTTAAGATTCTTTGAGTCATCACAGAACAAACAGGCAATAGAAGTTTTATATCAGTTCAAGACTTTGTGCTTTTCAAAATGGAGACAGCTGACATGTTCAACTTGCCAGTCATTGTGGAATTCAGAGAAAGGCAACCGAGTGATTATATTATGAATGTGTGGGCCAGCTCCATATATATTTGGCTTCAGATAGCATCACAGCTTAATGGCCACTCTTACCCTAAGAGGTTGTGTATTCCAAAAACAGTTTTGCAATGAGCAAGGGGAAGGGACCTCTGATTGAGTTAGATACCATCAGAACCTTCTACCATCCAAAGCAGGGGTGGCAAACCTTAGACCCTTCTGATCAGTGCTTTTTTCTTTAAAAAAAATGTTTAGGGGTGCTCTCATTTTGACTCAAGAAAATCACCATTTTATACTTCAAATTGGGGAAAATAAATACAGTAAATGGACAAAAGTACAAAGATTCACAAAATGTTTAGGGGTATGTGTCCCCCCAGAAAAAAGCACTGCTTCTGAAATTGTTTGATTCCAGCTCCCATCAGCCCCAGTCATCATGGACAATGGTCAGGGATGATGGGAACCAGAGTCCAAAAACATTGGGGGGGGGGGAGCACAGATTCCTCATTCCTGGTCTAAAATATAGAGGACTCTAGAAACACCACCAGATATCCAGTTATAAGACAATTATCTTCCAACACCTGCACAGAGCTGATGTGCACACCTAGTTCATCTCCAACTTTGCAGCGAGTGTTGATTTGTAACACATACCAATCCACACATTTGAAGACAGCAATTATGGGTCTGTACACTTTGCAGAACATTGATGAAGGCTGCTCCAGGAGAAAAGGAAGACACCTGCTTTTTCCAATACCTTCCAATTTAGTTCCAAACGTTTTATTACATCATTAATCCAAACTGCAGATTGTTGCCATGTGGACAATCTCTCTATATCCTCATCAACCGTGTTTGATATCACCCCAAATTCATCAACTCTCACCTGTTCCTTAGGGCTACCCTGGCTAAATGCATTGTAGATATAAATTTATTGGGAAAGACCTAGAGCAGGCACCCCCAACCTTCGGCCCTCCAGATGTTTTGGACTACAATTCCCATCATCCCTGACCACTGGTCCTGTTAGCTAGGGATCATGGGAGTTGTAGGCCAAAACATCTGGAGGGCCGCAGGTTGGGGATGCCTGATCTAGAGCCAAGAATGTAACTCCCACCTTCTTTCCTTTTTTTTCAAGCAGGTGGGGGTGCTCTAAAGAACTATGCATTAACATGCAGGTGCTTGAGTGAAACTCTGAATATTACGAATATGTGATATCTGTCTTCCTGTCTTATAATAGCCAGGTGCAAGTCACCATTTCTCAGCTTATCTGATCTATAAAATTTGAATAATAGAGCTATTTTCAAGAATACTTGGCCAAAGTCTATGTACAAACTGAAAGAAGCGATTTTCCTAGTACAGTCGTACCTTGGAAGTTGAACAGCTTAGTTACCGAATGTTTGGGCCTCTGAATGTCGCAAACCCAGAAGTGACTGTTCCAGTTTGCTAACTCTTTTTGGAAGCCGAACGTCCAATGGGGCTTCCGCAGCTTCCGATTGGCTGCAGGACCTTCCTGCAGCCAATCAGAAGCCGCACTTTGGTTTTCGAACGTTTTGGAAGTCAAACGGACTTCCGGAACGGATTCCGTTCGACTTCCAAGGTACGACTATAATCAGTGCCCATGGTTAAAGGTGATACTTAGTGCTTGGTTTAATTTTGTTGTTGTTGTTAGTGGCTTGATCCTTTCATTTTTAAAAGTGTTGTTTCGAAGGATTCCATGACATGCTTTGAATTTAATAAAGAAAGTAAATAATAGCAACAGAATCAGCAAGGGGGGGGGGAATAAAACAATGCAGTCCATAAGTATCCATGGACTCCGCAGTGACTTACTTGCAACTTCTATTCTCTTTGATTGGTAGATTACCTCTAGCAAAGCTTTGCTTTAGAACTTGATTTTCAATGTCAACACACAACATTGGAACATAGAGTCATAGAACTGTACAGTTAAAAGGGACCCCGTAACCTGTCGCAAATTCTCTGCGGCACTTTAGCAGAACTACTCAGAATTCCAGGTTCTTCAGTGCAGTGCAGTATATTTATTGTGAGCTATATATATATACCAATATATACCATAATCTACAGGCTATAATACACGAGCAGTTCATACAGTCAAACAGAGTACCTGGCTGCACCTTAAAGCAAATAGGAAGACCTTTCTATCTCTCTGACCACACTCCTCTATACCACCCACTTACCGCTGGATAGGTTTCCCCTTTAAACCAATGACAACCAATCAACTGACAGCACATTACTGCTGAGTCTTTCTGACCCAGCACTTCCATAGAAAGTATTGCAGGCTGATTGCATCAGCCCGTTGCATCAGCTAGCAAACTCAAGCCTGCAGACTTACTATCTCACACAGCATTCTGTGAATCCCGACACAAGAGTCTTGTAGTCCAGCTCCCTGCAACTCAGGAATCTCAACTAGAGCATCCCTGTCAGATAGCCATCCAACCTCAGCTTAAAAGCCTTCAAGGAAAAAGAGTCTACCATCTGTATTGTGTATTCCCAAATCAGGCAGACCCAAGAGAGATGACGTAATGTCATCCTTCTGAATGTGCAGCAGGAACATCTCAATTGTTATAACAATATGCATTTCCTTACCACATGGAAGTGTGTTGTGGGAGAAGAAGGCTGTCACTGAGTCTAAGGAGTGGCAGCTGTTTAGGCTCAGTGACATCTCTCCCTCCCTCCCCCCAATAGTTATTTAGATTAGATCCTACCTGTTCAGGAGTTGTGCTGTTCCTACTGTTGTCCTAGCAATGGCATCAGAGAGCCCTTAAAAGAGATGAATCAACTTCCCTGCCTTTATCTTCAGCAAGAGAGAAGCTGCCCGACAGCTCTCATTCCAGGTGTGCACAGGTAGTGTGCTCCTCCGTGCTCCCAAATCTCAGCCTCACACCTGTAAGTGCCTGGTCCCATTCTAACCCACACTGGTCTGACTATCCAACACAGAAAGATAGAGGCCCAGTATATGAAGCCAGCTTCCTGAAATCCCCACCTTCTCAAGCAGAGGTTGTCAATGTGGCACCCTCCAAATGCTTTGAACCCCAACTCCCTTCAGCCCCAGACAACAGGGCCAATGGTCCAGGGTCCAGGGATGATAGAAGCTATAGGCCACCACACCTGTAGAGGACCACTTCGGTTATTCCTGCTCTCAGGTAGTTGCCTTGAGACCCAGACATGGTGAAAAGTGGTGTGTGTGTGTGTGTGTGTGTGTGTGTGTGTGTGTGTGTGTAAAGTGTCCCAGAAACCATATTTACTTTTTTCCAGGGTTGCTTTCCATGCTTCAAATCATGAGCCCGCTCTGAATTTTGCAAGAGCTTTGCAAATATTGGCAGATATGATTGCCAAGTATCTGCAAACATTTCCACCTGCCCCTGGTCTTTACCCTTTCACAATACTGTATTTTTCGCTCCATAAGGCACACCTACTTTTTTGGGGGGGGGTCAAGAAAAAAAATATTATTTAAAGGGAGCGCTGAGCAGAGCCTGTATGGAGCCCAGGCTCTGCTCAGCGCTCCCTTTCATGAGCCGCGTGGAGCGTGTGTGCGGTGCTTGCAGGCTTCTCCCTCCTCAGGGAAAAGCCCCCAAGAGCCACACACACACTCCGCACAGCTCTTTAAAGGGAGCGCGGCTCTTGGGGGCTTTTGCGGGAGGTGGGGGAAGTGAGAGAGCCTCGCTCTGTCCCTTCCCCCACCTCCCACAAAAGCCAGGGATAGCCGCGCAAAGCCTCCCCAGGCTTGTGGGGCTGGCGGTGGGGGAAGCCTGGCTCCCCCCCTCCACCAGCCCCAAAGAGCAGGTCGGGGAGCAGCCTTCCCGCTGCTCCCAGAGCTTGTGGGGCTGGCGGGGGAAGCCTGGGTTCCCCCCCCCCAGCCCCAGGGACCACACATTCGCTCCATAAGACGCACATACATTCCCCCTTAGATTTTAAGAGGGAAAAAGTGCGTCTTATGGAGCGAAAAATACGGTAGCTTAATCTATGACCATTTGCGTCGCAAAGCTGGGCCTGCTGAAAATCAAACTGCAGTTAAAAGTTACAAGATCAGGCTAGCTCCGCATTTTCCTTTACCTGAAGACATCTAATGCAACCTGGTGGCTTACAAAGGCCATATTCTGATGTCTTTTTTTCTCTCCCCCCCCCTTCTTCTTCTTCCAGCAGTGCCATGGCTTCTTATTCTGCCTCCTGTACCAATGCCAGCCCTGCTCAGGGCATGAATATGGCCAACAGCATTGCTAACCTGAGACTGAAGGCAAAGGAATACAGTTTACAGAGGAACCAGGTGCCAACAGTGAATTAGAGACAGCAGAGGAGTGTGGCCTCCGTTGCTGAAAGGAAAGCAACAGGTCAAAAGGGCCGCCATCTTGCTTGGCAATTCGTTCATGCCCAGAAAGCCAGTCAGCCCAAACTAGGACTCAGTATTGGGAATAACAGCAGGATCCAAATTCAAAGGAAATAGCTTCAAAGGTGACTCTTCTCTCTCCTGGAAAATGTTGCCACTTAAAGTACCAGCAAGTCTGTTGTAGCTCAATATAGCACGAGCTTCTTCAGTGAAGGATGCAAGGCTTATGACTGCACTTAAACTTATCCATTTCCTTCCCCCACCTGCCCCATGGACCATTAGTTTCTGTGCCAGCCACTCACCCCTTTTGTTCATAGGCCTTTTGAAGAAAAAAATATGGATTTCTGGAACCAAAGACCCCATTGTTCATCATCACTTCCATCACTCAAAAAGCAATAGTGGATCACATTTAAAGTTGTGACTGTCAGCACACACCTGGGTGCCTTCGTGTTCAAGTCTTTATATCCATTGCCTGGAAATTATTTTTCTTCTTTACTTCTTCTTGTTAGTAATTTGAGGCCAATCTTGATTTAGAAGTGTGTGTCTGTGTGTGTGTGTCACTGTTTGTTCTGCCACAGTCTCTTTGATACTGTTATGTTGGTTGCAGGAGATTTAAAAACGCCAGATACGAAAGTATGTTATTTTGAACCCATTTTTACTGATGTAGGAATATGCAAGTTTTCAAGTCACACAGAACTCATTTTATGAGAATGTAAGTGTGTGCACTTGAGGCACTCAAAAGCCTGTGTATGCTTCCAGCTTCTTGGAAAACCCAAAGAAGAGCAGAGTCCAGATTTGCAGGTGCTGTCCACGGGAATTAGTTTTCTGTTTAAAAATTGGAGGCCTAATCTGGCACAGAGTTACACATACTTACATCCCTGGATTTCAGTGGGCTTAAATGTGTGCACCTCTGTTGGATTGTGGCCCCACGTAACTTTCTTGCTACTTCTGTTTCTTGCCACATTCAACAGTGTTGTCCAGAATCATTTGATTTATATATACTGTATATATTTATATATATAAAATATACATGCAAGCTTTGTGAGTTTTCTTTTTTTTTATTAAACAAAATAAAATGAACTGAGAGAGCATTCTGGTTGTAAGTGGTCATGCAGCAAACTGCAAAACATAGCAGGACGTTCTGCAGGCTGTCCCCCTCTCCCCGAGACTCCCTCATGCTCCTATCAACAGATACTTTTCTTCTACCCAAGGGCCCTGACCATTGGGACTCCACTCCCATCCTTTCAGGCCTGTTTTGGAAGAATATTCGCCCTGGATGGAGGTGAGGACATGGCTGAAGGGTTGGGGATTCCCCTCCTCAAGGAGAAAGGAGAGATGGTCAGCTGCGCTCTCAGTACCTACCTGAGAGTGCATCGCTCCACACCGTGAAAGGGCTGTAGTTCAGTGGACGAGAACATGCTTTAAATGTAGGAACCCCCAGGCTGAGTCCCTTTTTTGCATCTATTTAAAGGAAGGATCTTCTGAAGGGAAGACACATTTGTGCAAGGCCTTGGGGAGTCTCCCTTTCAGCCTTCTCAGATCCAACCTTCACTCCATCTTGTAACATGAGATCCACTTTTATTTCACCCAACTTCCAGGTTAAGTCCATCCGTTGCTATTGGCAACCTTTTTCTATGGGTGGCTGCATTCCCTCCAGGATGATCTGCTAGGGGCCACGTGCTGGGGATGGGCAGGGCCAGAGCAAATAGTGAACTTTCTGGAACTCCCTTACCTCTCCACCTCTGCTGGTGGAAAGACAGGCTTCTTGTGAATGAAGAGGTGTGAATGAATTTGCTGCTCCAGGGTGAGAACAGCAGCCAGCCACCTTTCACCTCTATTGGTTCTCCAAAGGGGGAATTTTGGTAGGTGCAGCTATCAGCTGTTCTCCTTTAGTTATATAAAGCAACATTGCCTTCCGTTGCACCCAATCTCTCCCACTCCTTCTGTTGCTCTGCTGCTGTTTGTTTTTTTTAAAAAAAAATCAATGCCACTAGTTCAACCCAGCACACGGCACAATCCAGACCAGATGGTCTAACTCAGTTTCATATTTCGATGAAGGAGCCAATGGCTCAGATTATGTTTTGATGTCTCTGTGTTCACCAGCCCTCCCATCCTTAAAAGGTTTTGTTCCCTGACTCCCTGCCTTACTCAATTCTGTAACTTTGCCTGTCTTTCTGCATTTCCTGACTTTTCCTACCAGGCCTCCGGGGGAACCCTCTCACCTGCAGTCCCTCCATGGATCTCAACTTTCCATCTGTGTAAGGTGACAAAACAAATGCTCTCCCCTTCAGGGCCATTCAGTTCACTCCAACTATAATGGAGCTTGCCTGAGAGATCTTCACTGTCACATTCCTTAATATTGCACATTCCTTAATATTGAAGGTCACATCAGATCTCCCAGGGAAGAAATGCCTTCCTTTCCCCCTTATACTTTCAATTAGCACATTTATTAACATATAGGGCTGATGGTTTACTCTTGACTTGATTTCCAGGTAGAGGTCAACATTTATCCCATGTTTGTGATGTTCACAGTGTCCTCAGCACAGTATTTCCTTATGGCAGAGCATGTGTACAGGAGCACTAAGCTACATGCAAGTCCAGCACTAAGGATGCTCAGCCAGTAGACCGTGAGACTCTAATTTCCGGGTTGTGGGTTAGAGTGCACGTTGGGCAAGAAAATCCTGCATTGCAGGAGGTTGGACTAGATAACTCTCGCGATCCCTCCCAACTTTACAATTCTATGATTCTAAAATTCTAAGACAGTCATTTTGACCACTCAAGGGAAATGGCCTTGGCCCAGTATACCTGAAGGGCCAGCTCTGAGGGCCTTGTGGTGGTTCCCTCACTGTGAGAAGTGAGGTTACACGGAATCAGGCAGAGCGCCTTCTTAGTATTGGCACCCGCCCTGTGGAATACCCTCCCACCAGATGTCAAGGAAATAAACAATTATCTGAATTTAATAAGAAATCTGAAGGCAACCCTATATCGGGAAATTTTTAATGTCTAATGTTTTACAATTTTTTATGTGTTGTAAGCCACCCAGAGTGGCTGGGGAAACCCAGCCAGATGGGCGGGGTATAAATGATAAAATTATTATTATTATTATTATTATTATTATTATTATTATTAATCTAGGAAGAGAAAAAAGCTTACACCATAGTTCCCCAGTAATCACCTGATTCTCCCACCTCATAAAATACTAAGTACCTTGTAGTATTTTACCAGAGCTTGAGAATTTTACCAGAGCTTGAGAATGCTAGCGATACAGAGGTATCGATAAGCCCATGACCAGTTTTGCCATTAGGTTATTCCTGCGTGGCATTATGTAAGAGACTCTTCCAGCCAAGCTTTTAGCACACAAGCACCTGATGCTCAGAAACAACAGGAATAGATAACATGAGGGTGTATATATAGAATATATGCATTAAGCAAACAGATGGCAAGACTGCGAGCTAACTATTATTTTAGTAAGTTGTGTGCAGCAAATATATGTAGTATAGGGGTCAAGTTTAGAACCCACAAAAGTTGAGAGCTGGTTCAGCAAAGTTGTTTGTTTGCTGTTGAGCCCATCCTCAGATCCCCAAGGATTCAGGTATGACAAGCCAGATATCATCAGCCTTGACCCCACATTTATCATGTATCTAGAGGACCCATTAAGGTTTCACTTAGTAGTCAAAGAAGTGTAGATTAGTCTCTGACAGGTAAGCGGGAAATATGTTCTGACAGCAACATGCTCTTGTCAATAAAGCTGAATTGCCCAGAACAGGCCAGAAGTTGAGGATTTATAAAAAGGTAAAGGTAAAGGACCCCTGACAGTTAAGTCCAGTCGTGAACAACTCTGGGGTTGCGGCGCTCATCTTGCTTTACTGGCCGAGGGAGCCGGCGTTTGTCCGCAGACAGTTTTTCCAAGTCATGTGGCCAGTATGACTTAGTTGCTTCTGGTGAAACCAGAGCAGCACATGGAAACGCTATTCATCTTCCCTCCAGAGTGGTACCTATTTATCTACTTGCACTTTGAGGTGCTTTCAAATTGCTAGGTTGGCAGGAGCTGGGACACAGCAACGGGAGCTCACTCCGTCACGGTGATTTGAACCACCGACCTTCTGATTGGCAAGCCTTAGGCTCAGTGGTTTAGACCACAGCACTACCTGCATCCCTGAGGATTTATAGGGTTCCCTTTATTGGTTCCCTTGCATCACTAGAGACTGCTGAGTCACTTTCTGAGATACCTACAGACCACCAAGTACTATTATGGCTATGCCTTGGACCCTCAGGCTCTGATTTGTGTCCTGCCTGGACAAGGAGATATTTATGCCATCAAAAAGGAGAGCCAGCGTGGTGTAGTGGTTAGGAACAGTGGACTCGTAATCTGGTGAACCGGGTTCGCTTCCCTGCTCCTCCACATGCAGCTGCTGGGTGACCTTGGGCTAGTCACACTTCTCTGAAGTCTCTCAGCCTCACTCACCTCACCGAGTGTTTGTTGTGGGGGAGGAAGGGAAAAGGAGATTGTTAGCCGCTTTGAGACTTCTTATGGTAGTGATAAAGCGGGATGTCAAAAATAAATAAATAATAATAATTTTTTAAAAATCAGCAACCCCAGCTGATTGGCCCAGTGTACCAAGAGGTTGGTGAATGAGCAGCATGAGGACCAAGAAGTGAAAAAGACTCACCTTTCATGGACAGCTATCTGGTACTGATGGGTGGAGGAACTGGTCCAATATGTATGTCATAAAGTTTAATGGGTTATTGGGTGAAGTGTCCTAGGAGTCAAAGGTGGGGGCAGGACAGGAAAACCTGGGTCAGAGGCATCAGTATTATTTCTATGCTATGTTTCACCAGACCACGTTGCTGCTTACAGTACCAATCCCTCAGGTGCATTTCATAAAATATAGCATAGGGTCCCTCCTTTTTTATGCACATGATGATTTTTGTTCATGATGCCATCCCACTTTTCATAACGCATGTGCCTACAAAGGTTTTGGGACCAGCACAAATTTCTAATCAGTTCATATCCTGTAACGTTCTCCTGAAATCCTGTAACTTTTTATATCACTAATGTTCTGATTTCTCCTGTTTTCTCCTGCCTCTGTGGCACCATAGCCCCTCTAGGCAGTCATGATGGGGTTGTGTTGGGGGAAACATTGCAGAATAAATCAAAGCAAAATACATCCACCATTGATGGCCCGTTATTGTGTCAACTTTCAGGAATGTTGAGGAATACACCCACAATACAATACAAATCCGTTTATTGTGAGGACCATGCCTGTACACAAACATTAACACAACGATAGTTAAAAAAATATTAAAATTCATTACATACTACGCCAACAAAACCTTCATCCCACAAAATAGAAAGAGAGGGAAAACGAGCAACGAGTTAAACAGACGATGAAGGGGTCTTTACATTATCATCCATAAGTCTTTCCCTGGCTTTCATGGCCTTTATCACAAAAACCGCTACCACATGGGTAATACGTGGGTTTGCATCAACTAACAAAAATTTTACTCTATCTTCAGGATTGGTTATAGAGTTGGGTATAATTTGCAGCAATGCGTCTCTAAAGCTCGAGTAGATGGGGCAATAGAGGAGGTAATGTGTAAGATCCTCTTTAATTTTCATAAGGCAAGGGCATAAACGATGTTCTACTGGGGTTTTTGTGAATCTACCGGTCAGATATGCAGTTGGCAGTGTTTGAAACCGTGCCATAGTGAAAGCTCTCCGAAGGGTGGGGTCAGTGATCTCCACCAAGTAGTTGGCACAGATTTTGACTGCTTTTACTCGGGAAACCAGTAGGAAAACCCAGAGTTTTTATCTTTGTGGAGTCCAAAAGGCGTCTTTTCAAAGATCCATTCCCGAACTTTATCAGGGCTCCACAATTTAAGGGTATTAAACTCAGGTAGATTGTATCTGGATAGGATATCTAGTAGGTTTTTATGCCAAGTAGTATTATTTTGTAATAATACAAAGGCTTGTTTAGCCAATAAGTACACCCACAATAAAAAAAACACCAATGTAGAGGGACTCTTAAAATCTACAGCAATAAAATCTAGAGCAGAATCAAAACATTATATGCAATGAACGGCGTAAAAACTTCACAGCGATGGCTTCCATTACTACGCCCCATAAGCCTCAATAAAAAGTGCCTGCAGTTGGTGTCAAAAGGTAACTAATGACTAGGCGTTAGGACTGGACCTGAAGTTTCAGAGTTTCAGCATCATTATTTTTGGGATTTCCAGAGGAAGAAGTAACAGCTCAGGGTCAGAACCTAGGGGCACAGGGTATTTTCTGCTTGGCTTGCTGTTATTTGATTTCCTACCAGCCTATGACCATCAGGGTCAGCCCCCAAGGCAGCAGGCAAAGCTAAGCTCTTTCTCTGATTGGTTCTGTACCATCTTCTCCCCTCATCAAGTATCTCTCGGCCCCACTCCTGTCTTGCCAGTCTCCACCCTCTCAGTGTTTCAGCCTCCGGAGACCTGTCAATCCATGGTCAACATTACTTGGCAGTAGAATTGCCAGCTGACCAGGAAAATAAACCCTGCATGGTCCACTCTTAATAGCCACTTGAGTTGCACAAATCAATCAGCGAAGCTTTCCATAGCATCAAGGCAAACATCACATCAGCTGTTAATTCTTGCAGATCAAATGGCTCTTCAAGGCACAGCAAAGTGTTCTGTTTACTAAGCTCTAACTTGGACTGTTCAGATGACCGAAGGGCTACACTCAAGTGGTACATAAAGTTTATGAGGCAAATAAGTGAACAAACAAACAAACTGTGGGATGTGACACATAGATAGCAGTCAAGTACAACATTCCCAGAGTGGACATGAAAGGGGATGTTTGCTCCAGTCAGTATAAAACTTCCTGTTTCCTCCTGAGCTGGGACAAACTTCCTCTGCATGTGACTAGAGGTGGGTGTGACCTTACCTGCCCAGGTGACAAAAGGGCAAGGCAGGCAGCACACTCTCTATCTTCTCCATTTTGCTTTCGCCGTGTGAGCAGCAGTGACTGCCTGTCTGCAGTCACTGGGACTAACTCCCATATGGGGTGGTTCCATGTTATACTTTGTAACCTAAGTCTGTCTTCAGGGATCCATCTGTGAACTGAATGTGTGAGTAAACTTCTTTTATGATACTTTACACAAGATGGTGCCATGTCTATTCTTTTTAAGGGGGAGAAAAGGGGATTACCAGGAATCCTATATTGAGAAGCTTAAATGAGCTTGCCACAAGCTAACCGCTGTGTGTTTAAAAGGGGAGTGCACTCTGCTAAGTAAAGGGACTTGCTAATGCAAGTTAGAAAAGATATTATTAAACAATATATCCTCTCCTGCCTCCCTGAACATTCCCACAGAAACAATGTTAACAGCCTTCCTTGCACCTATCTATCTGAAATTTGGCAGCCTCCATTCACCCACAAGGGCACATGATGCCTGTAGATTCCATGTAATTCCTTCTGGAAATTTATAAGTCATAGAGCCATTTCTCCGTTTCCCCATGTAACGTACAAAGCCTCAGATTTTCCAGAGCACAGTTCTACTGTAGAGCTGAATCTAAAAGTGGATGTTTTCCAAAGCAGTCCAAACTGAACTGACCTGCTTTGTGAAGCACCAAGGCAGGATTTGAGCTGGATCTGACTCTAGGGCACAACCCCATTTTCAACCCCCTGCATGTGTGAACTGGGGCGGGGTGACCGCATTGTGTGAGCACAGACAGCCTCCAAGATAAGCGAGGGAAGATGCCAAATTCTCCTTGCCTTCCTGTTGCTGTTGGAGAGGAGCCTCCTGTAAATTGTCCTAAAAATCCAAGCCCTGGCATGGAAATATGAAGTTTGGAAAGTGGAGATAAACGCTGAGTGAGCACACAGCGAATGCCTCATTTTCTCCACATCAAGAGATTACTTCTCCTCTGTCCTAAATTGAAAATGGATTTTCATTCGGTTGGAGGGTCAGGAGCCGGAGTCAAGTGTAGATCAGCGATAAAAACATGGTGCCAGTGAAGTTAACTATTCAAAACAACCAAACCAGTGCAGACCTAGTAACTCCAGCACCTCTTCCCAGTTGGTCTTGCCCCAGTGAAGCAGTTACGAGGACTGAAGAACCCTGCCTTCTTACCAGAAATCAGCACCGGCGCCCACACCACTTCTCTGGTGGTGGGGTACGGTGGAACTTCCCATTTCACCTCAAGCGGCAAAACGGGGCACCCCACCCCCTTGGTGCAGACCAGACCACAGCATAACTTTCCCACGCCTGTTAAATTACAAGTCCCAGTAATGAAAAGCTCCCTCTCTGGAGAGCAGATTCCACCATCAAGTATCACTCATTCTGGCATAGTTTGTAACACACGATCAGTCCTTGAATGGTTATTTGTTTTAATTTATCTTGAGTGCAGATTTGGAGTTTGCTTGTTATAAAATCTCCCCATCTACTTTCATTCCCTTCCCTTTTTTATATTAAAATAAAAATAAAAATGGGGCTAAGCCAAAGGGTGACGAATCAGTATAAAAATCAGTATAAAACTGATGTTGAATATGTATCCTAAATGTCTTCTGGGGCTGCAGGAGAGAGCAATATGACAAAGCTGATTAGTATCATTCAAATAGGCAGAGTATAAACTTAATGGGAATCATATACAGTGGTACCTCAGGTTACAGACGCTTCAGGTTACAGACGCTTCAGGTTACAGACTTCACTAACCCAGAAATAGTACCTCGGGTTAAGAACTTTGCTTCAGGTTGAGAACAGGTTGTTCCGGCGGCGTGGCGGCAGCAGGAGGCCCCATTAGCTAAAGTGGTGCTTCAGGTTAAGAACAGTTTCAGGTTAAGAACGGACCTCCGGAACAAATTAAGTTCTTAACCCGAGGTACCACTGTATGTACATTACTTCTAAAATCTTGACTCTAAAAAATGACTCCAAACTGTGACTTTACAAAGCACGATGAGGAGGGTGCTCAGAGATCAGATGTGTGAACCCCCTCTTAGCTGGGGATCAATTATGTTCAGGACCCAAAATCACAGGACATAATAGGCACAGCCTAGTGTGACAAAGAGACTTGTTTGTTCTCCTGTTGGCTTTGTTGCCTCTGAGTTGAAATGAAGAAGAGAAGAAGCTTTGGGGGGAAATGGAAGGAGGAGGCTGAAACCATTCCAGGCGCCATGGTTTGGCATCTACTTGAGACTCTGGGGTGGGTGTATTTTTTAACTAACCCCGGTCTCTGGGCCTGTATATCTGTCCTCACCTCTGGGGCCAATGGAAAAGAGTAGAACATTTATACAAATGGAGATTAGGAAACAAAATGTGGCTCTAGCATTGCTTCAGCATGTTCTGGAGATGTTGAGATGTTGCCAAACTGCCAATTACCACCTTGGCTGAGTTCCTGAGCACATTCTCTGCTAGGCTGAAGTAGTGCTGCTCTCTGGAGCACATCAGGAGAGCTCTAAACTATAATATGAAAAGAAACTTTGACTGCCATATCGAGTCCTGTCCTCTTACTGCACAAAAGCATTTTATCGGCTTTTATTTTACAACACATTTAGAGGATGATCCTCTATCCTCAGGGCAGTTGGCTGGCTTAATGTGAACCAAGTGATTCCCCCCCCCCCCCGATATGGAACAAAGCATCTCAAGAATCTTAGCTTGTCTTTTACAGAACATTTCTGGTAGAAATGTGTGGAACCCTCCCGTTTATGTCCATGGACTGCTCCACCATAACTCTCTGCCTTTATTATATTTTTGCCTGTGGTGTTTGGTTTTCCAGTGTTGTCACATCAGCTTCAACAAGGATCTACACAGATATAAAAAAACACCATGAAAGAAAACGCTATAAAAATACAGCTCCCAATAGAAATTTTCATTGACTTCAGATTGCTGCTCTACAGTGCTATCTGGTGTCACATTTTTATAACGCATTTATAACATTATAAATTGACCTGTGTAGCTGAGTGCAAGGACTGCTCCAGTGTTTTTAGATTTAGGACGTCATGTGTCCATCTGTGTTATGAAAACCATTCCATACCCTTCCTTAATGTTAAAAAACATGTGGGTACAGTAGGTCCATCCCTGGGTTCAGAGATCTGCACTGATTTGCTACCAGACCAGGCTCAAGGTATTACTATTTGTACAAAGCCATTAACAACTTGGGTCCAGTTTGCCTGCAAGATCGTCTCACCCAACTTGTACCCTCTTTGTGGGAATGTTCAGGGAGACAGGAGAGCATATACTGTTTATTAATATCCTTCCTAACTTGTGCTAGCAAGTTCCTTTATGTAGCAGAGTGACATTCCCCCTTTTTATATGCACAGCAGATAGCTGGTTGCAGGCTCGTGTGAGCCTCTCACTATTATACAATTCAATCTGTCTCAGATTGAATTGTACATTTCTGGTAAGTTCCCTTGAATCCCTCTTAAAAGAATAAAGACACAACAATCTTATTCAAAGTCAATAAAAGAAGTTTACTCACATCAGTTCACAATTGAATTCCTGAAGGCAGACTTAGTTACAAATATGTACATGTGGATCTACCCCATATGGGGAAATAATCCCAGTGCTTCTGCTAGCTAAGAGCTAGCAGAGCATTCCTAGCTAAGAAGCTGGTCAAACGAACAAGGAAGTCCAAACGAGAGGTGTGCTGCGTGACTCGTCCTTTTGTTACCGGGACAGGTTAGGTCACGCCCACATGCAAAAGGAAGGATGCTCCAGCCAGGAGGAACAGGAAGTTTTGACCGGCTGGACCAAACATTCCCTCGCCTGTCTTTTCTAGCATTTCAAGGAATGTTGTACTTGACTGCCTCTCATGGATCACATCCTACACTCTTGACTGCTTTGATTGTCGAAACTGGCACTGCTACAGGTGCCACATGACCTGTTCCACATTTGTCATAACTCGATTGTTTGGTGTGGCAGCGTCTGCACTTTGGAACTCCCTGTCTGTGGAGATCCAGCGGGCCTCTTCATGGTACTCTTTCAGCACCTGCCAAAATCATTCCTTTTCAGAGAAGCCTGCTAAGATACTTAGATAGTTGAGGTAATTTTAATCCATTTTAGTATTTTAACTTCTGTATGCTTTAAAGTAGACTTGTGATTTCCCCCCTCGATTTTACTGTTTTGTCTTTTGTAAACTGCTTTGAGTTGTTTTACAGTCAAGCGGTTTGTAATTTTTTATGAAATAAATACATATGAATTAAATCGTGAAGTCATTTCCTAATTTCTTATGAATATTTGTTGTACATCAAAGGCATGGTTGTCTCGCTTGTACATTACTCCTTATTTTAAAAATAACAGGCGTACCTTCACTGCTCGGCGTCTCACTCACCAATCCTTTCCCTGCCCTGTGATCTGTGCAAACTATTCACAGATTTGTAGTTTGTTTGGGACACTCGTCCATAACAGTCATTTTTAGTTTGGGAATGGAAAATCATAGGCATTTGTGACTTCTAGTTTTTAGTGCTCCTAGTGGAAATCATTTGGAATTATGCAGGCAACATCTGCAACAGGTTCCTTGTGTCCAAAGGTTGCAGTGGTATACTTCTAAAAATGTATAGTTTCTTCTAAGCTCCTACAGTTTATTGTTGAAAGAAATACTTTTGGTCAATCTGTTCTGTCATCAGACATTTCAGACGTTTACATCAAAGCCTGAGCTATTTGCCTTTCGCTGCTGCGACTGCAGAAGCTTTCAGCTAACACTTTCATGAAGGAATTTGCAAAAAGGCTCCGTTTCTTCTCACCAGAGAGAAAAGCGGAGTGTGAAAGGCAATTGTTTGACAAGGAAGAAGGAATAGGCGGGGCTGCTGCCTCTACATCCTTCATCAAATCTATTGCTGGAATGAACTGGAAGAGTACTTTGTTTGGAATACAAGAGGGAAAACATTCCAGAAGAAGGAAAAGCAATGCATTTTAAAATTATTACATCCCATACCTGGAATGCAGCCCATGGGAGAGAGTGATTTGCATTGAAGCGAGGGGGGTGGGGAGGGAGGTGAGAGAGTCCAGGACACTGGTGGGTGTGTAAGTGTGTGTGAAAAATGCTTTGAGTGGACAAAGAAGGGTTAACATCTTCCTCACCCCTTCCCCAGTGCAAAACGCTTCCTCTGCAACCTGCTTTGCAACAGAGAAAGCACCATTTTGGCCTTTCTTGTACACAGCTGCTGCAGCGGTGTACTCCACACTTTCGCTCCCAGTGCCTAGCCACAAGGCACCGATAGGTTTGATCTGGGAGAGATTTACAGAATCCTGGGCACAGCCATGATGTTAAAGTTTTATAGAAACTTCTATCACATATGCCGGGAACGTCCCATGCCAAAAACAAACGAACACACACACCTTAAAAACCACACACACACCCCAAATCGAGAAGCCAGCAGCAAACAAACTTAAATATTTATATTTAACATAAATATGAATTTCAGCCCCTCCCCTGGTTTTGCTGGCTTGGGGTCACAATGGTGCAAGAACAGAATGTCTTTGTAATATTACGGTTGTGCTACAATTGCCAACATATATTGAAGCCCTGTTTTGCAGGCTGCAAAACTGGAGGCTATTTCTCTGAGGCTGGGGGCTAAAAATTTACCCCTTATGTTTTGCACCAGTGGCTGGTGTGGCTTCTTTCTTTCTTTCTTTCTTTCTTTCTTTCTTTCTTTCTTCACTCCAAAAGGACTGGATGCAGCACGGTTCCAAAGCATTTTGAATCAACAACATGATGACAACAACAACTGAAAAACATGGCAGCCGCCATGTGTATGCTCAATTCTGACCAAACTCCTAGAGCAAAATATACATCAGGATTATCCCCTCCTCCCAAAATACCATACAATCATAGAATAGTAGAGTTGGAAGGGACTCCAAAGGTCATCGAGTCCAGCCCTGCAAATATGACTATAAAACCTTCACACACACCCCTTTCATTCAAGTTGGCTTTCTTGGCCTGAAAAGCGAGATGAACGCATCACCCCATAGTTGCCTTTGACTGGACTAAACCGTCCAGGGGTCCTTTACCTTTACAGTGGTACCTGTGGTCACGAACTTAATTCGTTCCAGAGGTCTGTTCTTAACCTGAAACCTTTCTTAACCCGAGGTACCACTTTAGCTAATGGGGTCTCCCGCTGCTGCCACTCTGCCAGTGTGTGCTTTCTGTTCTCACCCTGAAGTAAAGTTCTTAACTCGAGGTACTACTTCTGGGTTAGCGGAACCTGTAACTCGAAGTGTTTGCAACCCGAAGTGTTTGTAACCTGAGGTACCTTTATCTTTTACCTTGGTCCTGCCTACCTCTCCTGTATCTTCCTTTGGAAATACAAACTCCAGCAGGTAGCCAAGATCACTGGAGACTGGCTTGACTACGTGATGGATATTTTGTTTTGTTTCCAGAAGGGGATTTTCCGTTTGCTTATGTGTCCCATTATGTTTCTATGTAACCTGAGATCTTTGCTCAAGGCAAAATCCTTATCTTAAGTTTCCAGAAGCTTCTTCCATTACCTTCTAAATACTTAAATGGACTGCAGACTTGCGATTTATTTTATTCTATTTTAATCATCATTCCCCTGATGCGGTGATAGAGGAAAATTTCAGAATCCAATAAATTGGTATGATACCCTAAAGCTTCTGAAAGCTAGAGGTTCCCAGGCAGAATATGAGGAAAAGAGCCTTCACGTTTCAGTAAGCGTATTTATATTTTATATAAAACTAGCCGTATAAATAATATGGAGTGGGGAAACAGAAACCTACCCAGAATCCGAGGCCCATGTGTTTTTCTTCATATAATGACACAAGATGAAGATTGGATGCCAAGTAACAATTAGAGAATTGTGGTGATTTTTCTCTTGCCCTTTTAGTATTCCAGCTAACCAGAAGGTTTGAAATATAATAAGATATTCTAAACTTCAGGACATTCTGAAATATAATATACCGTATTTTTCGCTCTATAAGACACACCTAGTTTTTGAAGGAGCGAAACAAGAAAAAAATATTCTGAATCTCAGAAGCCAGAACAGCAAGAGGGATCGCTGCACAGCGAAAGCAGCAATCCCTCTTGCTGCTCTGGCTTCTGAGATAGCTGCACAGCCTGCATTCGCTCCATAAGACGCGCACATATTTCCCCTTAATTTTTAGGAGGGGAAAAGTGAGTCTTATAGAGCAAAAAATACGGTAGTTTCTCGTCTTGTGATCTCACTGCTGCCCAATTCCCAACACACACACACACACACACACACACACACTTGACATCCCTCTTTAGAGCACCAAGAGTCTCTCAAAGGAGTTCAGAAGAGTATCACAATACAATCATGCTCAAGTGTAGTGAAGCAGGGGATAGAAAACCTTGGTTGGAACAGTATCAAATCCACTTTGATGGCACAATCTGAACTTGCCGGCATGTGACCAAACCCTACCTACAAAAGAGCAACAATCTAAAAGTGGCCTAAGTATGAGGATGGAGACTGCGGACTGGATTAGCCTCTTGCAGGTATCAGGTTACACCAAGAAGCAATGGCAGATCCCCATTCTGGAAAACAAAGCGCTGCTGTTACCCAGATGCGACATTTTAAAGAACACAAGAAGATCCCTGCTGGATCAGGGGAAAGATTCATATAGTCATTGAATCATAGAATTGAGTTGGAATGGACCTAAAGCCCTTAACGGCCTCGGCCCAGTATACCTGAAGGAGCGTCTCCACCTCCATCATTCTGCCCAGACACCAAGGTCCAGCTACGAGGGCCTTCTGGCGGTTCCCTCACTGTGAGAAGTGAGGTTACAGGGAACCAGACAGAGGGCCTTCTTGGTAGTGGCGCCCGCCCTGTGGAACGCCCTCCCTTCAGATGTGAAGGAAATAAGCAGCTATCTTATCTTTAAAAGACATCTGAAGACAGTCCTGTTTAGGGAAGTTTTTAATGTCTGACGCTGTATTGTTTTTAATATTTGGTTGGAAACCGCCCTGAGTGGCTGGGAAAACCCAGCCAGATGGGCGGGGTATAAATAATAAATTATTATCATCATCATCATCATCATTATTATTATTATTATTGGTCATCTAGCGCAACACATTCCCTATTTTGCCTCAAGCAGTGATACAGGGTGTGTTGCCCCTGCACTCAGCGCATTATGGGATTATTAATTAATTAATTAATTAATTAAAGTTAGAAGATCACAGGATGGGTCACCGCCCCACCCCCCCATAAAAACAAGAACAAAGCAAAAACAAGCCAATGTAGTGGTACCTCGGGTTAAGAACTTAATTCGTTCCGGAGGTCTGTTCTTAACCTGAAACTGTTCTCAACCTGAGGTAGCACTTTAGCTAATGGGGCCTCCCGCTGCCGCCATGCGATTTCTGTTCTCATCCTGAGGTAAAGTTCTTAACCTGAGGTACTATTTCTGGGTTAGCAGAGCCTGTAACCTGAAGCGTCTGTAACCTGAAGCATCTGTAACCTGAGGTACCACCGTACCCACCCCCCCAACACATTTAAAAGGACACAGAATGTTAATAAGCCAACAAAATGAAACACACCTGATGAATTGTAGTCTGGGATGCATGTTTTCTCTACTGGCTGTTGGTTCTGGGCAGGCAGCACTGCTGAGGACCCTCATTTAAATACAAAATTTCATGTGGATTTCTTAAAAAATGCATGTTAATGTGGAAACAAGGAAGAACAAATTGAGGAGACGACACTTGCAAAAATGGCAAGGACTGGCCCTACAGCTCACACACAGTTCCCTACCCTTCTATGAGCCCAAAAGTAAAGTGTAACATGAAGCTGTAACTGTGCCTCAGCTGGTAGGCCATTTCCCCAAGGATCTTCTCCAAACACCACAAATGTGAAAAGGTTATTAAAATAGGAACTTTCGTATTAGTGAAAATATGTTGGTTTATATTGGCTCCACAGTGCAACTACATGCTTCCCATCACAATATGAAGACATTAACACCAGCGTTAGGTAATAGACCAAACAGTGTTCTCAGGACAGAAGAGCATCACTTTAGACATTATGTTTCTGGGGCGTATATTTATGGTTTTTAAGTGTACACTTAAATATGTAACATGAAACGCAGTACGATCGCCCGGAATCGACGGAATGAGAGCTTCATGGAAAGCCGGTTGGTGTGAAGGGGAAAAATACCGTATTTTTTGCTCTATAGGATGCACTGGACTACAAGATGCACCTAGTTTTTAGAGGGGGAAATCAAGAAAAAAAATATATTCCCCCCCCAGCCCCAAAGAGCAAAGAAACCAAGACAGCGAGCGGGATCCATCCCGCTGGCTGTCTTGGCTTCTGCCATAGCCGCGCAACCTCTCCAGCTGGGAGCTAAACCTCTCCAGCACGGCTAAAGAAGCGTGGCTGGAGAGGCTGTGCAAGGTTAAAGAGGAAGCCAAGGCAGCGAGCGGGATGGATCGTGCTCGCTGCCTTGGCTTCTGTAGCCCTGTGCAGCCTCTCCCGGCAATTCCCCCACCTCCTGCAAAAGCCCACAGGAGCTGCGCACCCTTTAAGGAGCGCGCGGCTCCTGCGGGCTTTTCTACAAGGAGAAAGAAGGAACTGACTGGCTGTGTTAGTCCCTTCTCCCTCCTGGGGGAAAAGCCCGCAAGAGCCGCGCGAAGCTTGTGTGCGGCTCTTGGGGGCTTTTCCTGCCTGCCTGCCCCCTGCGCTCGCTCCATAGGACGCACAGACTTTCCCCCTTAGTTTTTAAGAGGGAAAAAGTGCATCCTATGGAGTGAAAAATACGGTAGGTATTAAAAGGAAATTCCTTGGATGCCAAGATCCAAGTTTGGGGCAGGTACACTTGGATGAGAGAACCCCAGCAGAGATTTAAAATCACAAAACATGCGCAAAGTAAAGTGTGGAAATACAGTCTGCTAGACCTTTAAAACATGCCATTGTGAGTTCCAAAATTTCCCTCTTCCCCTAGCATAGAAAAAGATCAAGTTAAAAATGGTTGACTTACAAACTCTCCAAAGGTCAGATTCATGTGCTTTTCCATACTGCATTCAGAAAAAGTTGTGCAAGCAGAAAAACGTGGCTTGGTTGCAGTGGTGAAGGTTCCTAAATTATTGGTTTAGGACATAGGCGCCATCTATGGGGTGCCCTGGGTACCAAGGCACCCACAAATTTTTCATTGAGGGTTCCTGGCTAGGCAACACAACACATCATGTGTATGAGCTCACATGATGCACTGGGGCCTGATGGGGCTCATTGCAGCCATGAGAGGGTCTGACGGGGTCCGCCGCATCATGAGACATCATGCGCGTGACACGTCTGGCTGCACCACACTGTGTGATGTCATGCGTGCGATGTGTGCGATGTCATACACACACACACTGGGCACCCCGAATGTGTGTGTGGGGGGGAGCCTGGCCAGCCTGGTATAGGAACACAAGAATGGCTTGTAAAAGCCATGCGGTCTCAGGACAGCTTACTCTATGGCATTAACCCCTTCATGCATTAAGTAGACTTAAGCATGTTAGTTATATGAGGCTGTTTATCCCACAAAACCTTGTTTTAGAGCCTAGGGCTTGCCGATCAGAAGGTCGGTGGTTCGAATCCCTGCGACGGGGTGAGTTCCCGTTGCTCGGTCCCTGCTTCTGCCAACCTAGCAGTTCAAAAGCATGTCAAACTGCAAGTAGATAAATAGGTACCACTCCGGTGGGAAGGTAAACGGTGTTTCCGTGCGCTGCTCTGGTTCGCCAGAAGCAGCTTAGTCATGCTGGCCACATGACCCGGAAGCTGTACGCCGGCTCCCTCGGCCAATAAAGCGAGATGAGCGCCGCAACCCCAGAGCTGGTCCTAACGGTCAGGGGTCCCTTTACCTTTACCTTAATTACACATAGAGTTATAGTTCTTTGACACCCCCCCCCCATGTTTGTGTATGAACAGAGATTCCTGCATTCCCCCCTGCTGGCAATGTGCTTCTTTCTGTATTGCACAGTTTGCTTTTTCAAACTGAAAGCCGTAGCCTTGAAGTTCTCATCAATATTTAGCACCTGGACGAAAGAAAAGACTGAACAAGATTGAAAAAGTACACAGGTCAACTTCCCCACTATGATGAGATTTATTGCATTTCTGTTTAAACAATAGCAATGGCTTCTAATTGCACCTATGCATATAACTGAGAATATGCAAAGGTTTATAAAAAATCGGCATACTTTCTTCTTTTTGTGATGCGAAAGTGGTCGTGCTATGAGGAGGCCACATGACCTGCTTTGAGAGCAGTGGCGTAGCGTGGGGGGTGCAGGGGGGGCCAGCCGCACCGGGCGCAACATCTGGGGGGGGCGCTCGCACTCGCAGCTCTCTGCCCCTACCTGGCTCACTCACTCTCTCTCACTGCAGTGCTGGCTGTGCGAATCCGATCCGAGCCGCTGGGTCGCCGCCCACTGTGGAGGGGTGGGTGCCAGGCGTGCGGTGCGGAGAGAGAGCGAGGGACTATCTGGGGGAGGGACAGTGCAGCGGCCGCCCAGCGCAGCGCTGAGCGCGGGAGAGAACCACACCAGACCAGCCCAGGCAGCAGCAAGAAGAAGCTGGCAGCGGCGGCAGGTTAGGGGTTAGGGGGCGCAAATTACTTGCCTTGCCTCGGGTTAGGGGGCGCAAATTACTTGCCTTGCCCCGGGTTAGGGGGCGCAAATTACTTGCCTTGCCCCGGGTGCTGACAACCCACGCTACGCCACTGTTTGAGAGAGCCATTTCTTCAGTTTTGGTGGAAAACACTGGTGAGGAGCGCCTCAATGCACCTCAACAAACAGCAGCAGCCACCAGAAACTGCCAAAATGGGACATTTTGAGGTGGGTTGGGATCAGGGAACTTAAGGATCCTGAGCCAGCCCTGATGCCATTGTCTATTGATGGCAATGGGCTTGCAGGTACAGGTCTCTTTTCTGTGCCAGTTGGGAAGCTGGTGCAGCAAAGGGGATTTTTTCCTTGTTCCGCTCCCCCTGTAACCTTTCTGCTCTGGCTGCCATGAAAGGTGGGGCTATGGATGTGGATTTTGGCAGCCCGCGTAGAGCTTCCAGGTCATGTGGCCAGCATGACTAAGCCGCTTCTGGCGAACCAGAGCAGCAGACGGAAACACCGTTTACCTTCCCGCCGGAGCGGTACCTATTTATCTACTTGCACTTTGACATGCTTTTGAACTGCTAGGTTGGCAGGAGCAGGGACCGAGCAACGGGAGCTCACCCCGTCTCCGGGATTCGAACTGGCGACCTTCTGATCGGCAAGTCCTCGGCTCTGTGGTTTAACCCACAGCGCCTCCCACATCCTGCCCCCAAAGACTCAATGTCAAATTATCTTCCAAGAAACCCCTATACAGTTGCCACAGAACCACAGTGTACTGCAGAGAATTCTGGGAAATGTTTGAAGGTGCACATTCAGCCAAATGGGAGGCTCAATAGCAGGGCAGGGAGAAGGGAAGGGGAGCTGAATATCAAGGAAAGTGGTCAACTATCGCTGAGCCCTTAAATATATTCCCACAGAATGCAATGAAAAAAAAATCCTCTGATTTGGAAAATAATGCCACAGTTGGAGGAGGCATCGTTCGACTAGACGACCTTTGAGACTACTCTCAACTTTCTGATTTACAGTTCAGCAGATCAGTTTATGATGTGAGGAAACATGATAACTGCCTGTTCAGAACCCTCCCTTCTTTTGGCTTATCATGTGCAACTTCCCTCCAATCATGTTTGGGAATAGTTAAGTGTCCATCTTGATTCATTTAACCCAACAGCCAGAGACTTTTTGCTGCGATGACATGGGATTTATGCCTTAATAATACAATAATGTTCCTTAAGTGTCAGGTGGTTCCTCAGAAAGATTTATGTCCCACGGCAATCTGAGAAAAGTTTCTTTGGCCCAAGGGAGGCAGGGTTACAGCGAGCGTCTGGGAGAGATGTTGCGAGACCTGGAGTTGATTGAAAATCATGCCGTCTCCAGACACATTGAGTGCAGGAACCGCTGGTGTTTCTGTACACCGATATGTTTCATTTGCAGCGTTTTCCACTGTAGCTTGATTGCTACTGGGAGAGCTTTATTAACTATGTTAGTTACAGAGCTCTTATAATGTAGCAGTCAAGAAACAGGACCGCAAACCACAACACCCATAGGTCAAACCTTTCCATTGTCACAAATGCACCAAATTGTGTTATGTAAGCTACTATATAGGGACACTGGGGACACTGTGGGTTAAACCACAGAGCCTAGACTTGCCGATCAGAAGGTCGATGGTTCAAATCCCCACAACGGAGTGAGCTCCCGTTGCTCGGTCCCTGCTCCTGCCAACCTAGCAGTTCGAAAGCACGTCAAAGTGCAAGTAGATAAATAGGTACTGCTCTGGCGGGAAAGTAAACGGCGTTTCTGTGCGTTGCTCTGGTTCGCCGGAAGCGGCTTAGTCATGCTGGCCACATGACCCAGAAGCTGTACGCCGGCTCCCTCGGCCAGTAAAGTGAGATGAGCGAGGTGAGAGTTGGTCATGACTGGACCTAATGGTTAGGGGTCCCTCTACCTTAAGCTACTATATTCCACCTTCCATGATCACATTTGATCAGATGCACCAGAGCTTGCTCCGCATCTTTATACCTGCTTCAAAAACAAACTCTTATCCTGGATGAATACTCTTTTATGTGGGGGAATTCATGTTGTCCCACCCAGCTGGCAACCACAGTAGCAAAGACATTTCAGCAGCATTTTACTACCATCTCTTAGCAAGTCTACCTTCTGTGTGTGGGTCTCCCCCTTCCCAAGTGGAGAACGTTCATCTTCTCTACATTACACTACACGGTGATGAGATGCAGCAGCGCTGGTGCTGAATCAAAGCCACTGGATTTAATAGAGGTTTATGAATTTTTGAGATCAGGGTGTAAATTGATAAGAGGTTTGGAAAACTGGGTTATTTTTTCTGAGGGGACGCAGGGGTATGCAAACCCCTAAACATTTTGTGAATCTTTGTAATTTTGTCCATTTGCTGTATTTATTTCCCCCGATTTGAACTATAAAATGGTGATTTTCTTGAGTTAAAATGAGAGTACATTTTTTTAAAAGAAAAAAGGCACTATAAAAACTATCCCTTAGGAAGAGAAAGAGGGAATTTTTTTTCTCACTCACTAGAAGATCCTCGGGGTCCCTTCCACCTCTACAATTTTAAGACTCTGTGATTTCATCATACCAGATACCACCCTGTCAAGGAAACCAACTAGCAGTAGATCCATGATGGACAAATGAAAGCATTTCCATCGCACAATATACGACCAATATTTGGTGCTCATGGCTGCAAGATGAGGAGAAGGTTGATGCCCTAGATGGCTTTGAACAGGCAGATTAATATAGCAAGGTTGATCTACCCATGCCAATTAGCCATACTGTAATAGCTAACCAGAACCTCCACATTCGGAGGCTGTGCACCCCTGAATATCATATGCTGGAGGCAAGTGGAAGATGAAAGCTGCTGCCTTTGCGCCCTGCCTGTGGACTTTCCAGAGAGAAGCATCTGGCCCGTCACACATCCTATGTGCATATCCTACAAAAGTTAATACTTGTGTGAAGGGAACACTGCTTTTTGAATGAGCGTCAAGGGAAGTGCTTAGATCTCCCGTTTTTCTGCAGGGTTGCAGTGACAGT